GGGGGCGGGGGGGGCTCCGGACCGGGGCTCCGCGCGTCCTTCGTGGTCGCCCGCGGGTGGGGGGGGGGGGGGGGGGGGGGCCCCCCCCCCCCCCCCCCCGCGTGCTCATACCAGATTGGGAAAGTAGATAGCGAGATAGACGCGGCAGATGAGAGGAAGAGGCATGAAGTAGGTAAACAGGCCCACACAATCTGCCGAGAAATGGGTTCAAGGATGCGGCATGCAAATGGTGATTACCAAAGTACAGGAATTACATGTACGCCGTGCTGCGAATCGGGGATTATAGGCGAGCTAGGTTTGACCCTGTCAGACTCAAGGTCTAGCCAGCGCAGTCTTCGAGCCCCGACTCGTTGTGCAAATATGAAATGCAGATGAGTCTTGATAGAAGCTTGGCGATGAATGTACCATTGACGAAATGTAGGGTCGTAGAGCCATTGTGATAGATTCGCCGTGGCATTACTCTATATGTATAAGTACAGTACTATGACTTAGGCATTGAAGCTATCGTTGCCTGTTCTAATCATGTGACCTGTCGAGATGAATTGCCGAATCAAGTCTCACTCTGGCAGGCAGGCACCGGTGGTTGATTACTCAGCCCGGTGACTGTTTCCCGTTTTCTGTTTTCTGTTTCGTTTCCCCTCCTCGACTGCCTTGACTGCCACGACTGCCTGCCTACATCAGGCTAGCCAATTAGAGAATAGCGCAGCCCATGCACGGTAGTGGCTGGAAAGAGCAACTCCCCCTTGCCTCTCGCCGCCTCTCTCTCTCTGCCTACATATCTAGCCTACCCATGTAAATCTCAGATTGTAGTAAGAGTTGCTCTCTTCTGCCTCACAAGGCCATTGACCACTGACATCGCAGATATGGGCCATTGCAGCACCTGCTTAGTCCGCGTACGGTGTAGCCCGAATGCCTCGAGAGAGCAAGTCCTGTTTTTCCGTGTGACCTCGTCCGCATACCCGCCGAGGCTAGATAATGACCTGCATCGTCCCGACAAGGTTGCCCACTCACACCGTCGACCAATGTCGCTGGCTTCATCGAGGTGAGGGGTGTCTTCCGTCGCCCGACTAGCGAGAGAGCCTTGAGGAATTGGGTCACCGAAGAGGGGCATCGCCATGCACTCTGATATACCGAGTACGGTAGTACTGTTCCCTGCAGGCAGTGTCTCGCTTCTTTCTAGATGGCTTCGGAAGCTTTCTGTCACATATACAAGACCTGGCAACACTGCCATTGAGCATCCGCCAATGCCAAGCTCGATGTAGACCGATCCTTATGGCAGAAAAGGCTGCTGTGTAGAAGCCAGATCCTTCAGATGAATACATGCCTTGTTTCTGATCGGAGACAAAGTAGGAACAATAATCATATCCCCCTTTCCGACCTCCATACGAAGTACTTCCCTTTTCCTCGCGTCCGTCAGCCCATTCATACCAAGTGGATAAACACATTGCGCACCAATTGAGTCGTTACGACTGCCTGCATGATCCCAACTGCATAACAAGAGTCGTTGACATCACGAGTTAGCATATGCTTGCTTACATTACATACAATTGGAATACCGCAGTCATCCCTGCCAAGGGCTTTTTATTTTCTTGATTGTCCGGCCCAAACCCACATGGCGAATGCCGTTTATCCCTCTCCATATGGTAGGTAACATTCAGCTTCCGATAGAAGAGGCCGTGAGAGATAGGTAGGGTTCCATTCAACTGTCGGCGCGGTGCTTGCTTATCCTTGCTTAACATGCAGCCACAAACCCGAGCATCGAGGTTGACAGCCGTCATTGGCGGGCACAATGCAGGCCGTGATGTGATGGGACGCAAGCTGCTGGTGGCATTGGCTCTCTGCAGATCGCCTATGGCCAATCACTGTGCGCGTCTAGACGCCCAATCATCTCCTCCCGGCTAGTTCTATCCTTGTCATCCTCCGCCAATCTGCTTGCCTATCTACCTACACTCAGTTGTGTGTGTGTGCATGTGTGCCTGCGCTTTCTACAGTACACTCTCGCAAAGACCCCTCTCGCCCTCCCTTGCTGCTATTTCTGATATCCCCCACTCATGTTGTTGTTTTTTTCCCTGCTCCCCATTACAGAGTAGAATCCATGTCTAAGGTTCCCCACTCGCACCCCACGTTGCTTAACCGCCGGACTTGCAGTACGGCTGACTTGCACCGAAGTGCTCTTCCCATTTGTGCATTTGTGTGCCTCTATGGAATTGATCTAATGACTGGTATTGGCTTGGCTGACGGTTGGGCCCAATGGGAGGGCAAATCTGTGCCATCACGATCTGAGCTCCCTGGCTTCGTCGTTAGCTCCGAACTCATGCATGGTGGAAGCTGTACCGGCAGGCTGCTGCCAACGTCGCCTCGTGTGATGGCCGCTGCAACTGGTCGTTGGGGTCGCAACCTTGGGCCCCCAAATGTATATTAGAGCCTGCCTATCCGCCCTTCTGTTTCCCTTTCCTCTCTTTCTTTCTTCGGCAAGCATCCAATACCTCAAAACTAGTTTCTTGTTTTCTCTCTCTTCCCTTGTTCTATTTTCTCTTTACGCCTGATCGAGCTGTGCTCTTTCTCGCATCATAATATTCAATTAATTTTTCACCTATACTCCAGAAAATCATACTCAATATTCACAGTTGCCGGTCAACTGCCCCCCTAATCATCACCGAATACCCCTAATAGAATCTAGAAACTAGTTTTCCTTGCTCAAACGAGTCCCTTGAATAACTCCAATTTTAAAGAAACGTCAATTTTTTGCGATAACAACACCAACATAATGGCGACCATCCAGCTGTCTTTCTCGCTACGCGTTTCTTCCGGTGTCAAGTCCGTCCACTTGCTCGGTTCATGGGACAACTACGTCGGTCAAATCCCCCTTTCCAAGGACAAGTCTTCTTCCAAGTCCGGATCATGGAAGGGAACTTTCCGATTTCAGGGCAACCTCGAAGCCGGCCAGCGCTACTGGTACTACTACATCATTGACGGCTACCACGTCTCTCACAACCCCAGTGAGCCTTCAACCGTCGAGCCCACAACTGGCCGAGAACTCAACATCCTCGATGTCCCCAAGGACAAGTCGAGCAAATCATCCAAGTCTTCCTCAAGCAAGAGCTCAAAGCACTCTTCTTCATCATCGTCCCGTGATAAGCACAGGTCCTCAAAGCGCGGCTCCCTTGCTCTTGATATCCCCAAGGGCCGCCCATTGTCAGTTTCGCAGATCGTAGCACCCAAGCCCATGTCTCCCCATGCGACCCGAAACATCCTGGACGCCGACTACTACGATGATGAGCACATTGACGAGCTGACTGCGCGCTTCGGAAGCGCTGACCTTGAGGACGAAGAATACATCACTGATTTCAGCACCTCGCCCGTATCTTCATCTGGATCGAGCCTCTCCTACCGATCTGGCAGCTCTTCGCCATCATCATCCCTTTCTGGCTACAGCACGCCCGCTTCAGACTGCAGCAGCTGCACATGCGAGCGCTACGGTATCACGCGCAAGGGTGACCGTGTCAAGATTGACTGCGGCGGCTCCCGCTGCGGCTACAGTGACGATGACAGCTCATGCTCAAGCTCCGGTGACGAGGAGGAATACGTATCGCGCTCCTCGCGCCGCAATGGCATCGTTATGCGCTCGTAAATGAGACCCTCATCTACGGCAGGCGAATGGAGAGAAATTAATGAAACCGAGGAAGAATTTTAATGATTTTGCCTTAATCTTGGGATTAGAGGACAAGGGTTTTAATATTTCATGCCCTGCCCACCCCACCACCGCTGCAACCAGCAACTGGAAGGCCGTTGATAGCAATGTAGCTTCTTGGCCGTTCGCTCATTTTACGGGCAGAGAGGGATCTTCGCAATCCCTTCGTCCTGTTGTTCCATTGCAACCCGCGCGGTTCAGCGCCGATAGGCTCTAGCGATAGGATCCCGCGAGGAACCAAGCTGGATCTTGGTCGCCCTCTGCGGTCCGACTGTGTCGCTAGATTGCTAATTATAGCCTGTCGCCACTGCGACCTGCGCGTCCAGCCCATCTGGGCCGATGCTGCGGCCCCCACGATTAGACGCGAACCCCCCGTGGGTTTAGTCTACATCGTGTGCTTGTTTCGTATGTTCTGACATACTGCTGTCTTGAGCAACCTTGGCTTGGGATCATTCTTCATTGTATATATTTATATCATCAATCACCACCCAAGCCAAGCGGAGCCAATTCCCAGCTTGCTCCGGCAACAAACCCCACGTCAAAGTGAGACCCACGGATTCCGTCCGGGCCAGCCACATAGCGCCAGCGATCTTTGAATTGGAATTTCCTAGACTTTCACTCACCAAGATCTGCTGCTGCCGCTTCTTTTAACTTGATCTGCAAGAATGGGATGGAGATGCATATATAAGCGCATTGAGAAAACTGGACAAGATTGATTGATTAGCTGCCGGATTTCCCTACCTTGGATGCTAGTTAGTTGTCTCTCTCTCACCTGCTTTTCACTCATGTCTAGATAAGTTCATAGATGACGTTTGAATCTATTTTACGATAACGAGAAAACCATCACACTCTGTTCTTAATAATTTTGTGACTTGTGATTGTTAAATGTGGAAGTACTAGGTCCTATTTAGATTGTAGGTACTGAAGCGAGTAGGTATGTCTGAGCCGGCAGTTCGGCAGTTAGCAGTCATGTGTAAGCGGGATTGGCGGAAAAGGCATGTCTCCCTTGGTAGCATGTATACGAAAAGACATTCGAGTAGGTATATTGGATGGAATTAAGTGTACATGATGGCAAGTCTCCTACAGCGCAAGAAATGACCTGGGTCACGAGACACGTGATAAACAGCTAGTACATCACAATATCACAATTTCACGCAAGTCAAACAGCGTTTACAGTTCATCATTTTATTTGGTACGGGATAGGCGGTGTTATCCCACTATGGCGTTCCCCTGACTCCCCGGCCAGGCCAGATTTCTCCCCTCCCTCCCTTCCTCCCCTCCAAACTAACGAGCAGTGGCTAGTCTGATATATGCCCTGCTGTAAACAAACACAATGTCCTCGCGTATCCGAAAGAATAATTCGCCATTTGAGCGCGGCTTGGTCCGCGGTATAAAACAAGGGAGAAAACAGCATTAAGCAGCAAACAGAATAATGTGAGAATATAAATACCCGATGCTCGGAGCGCGTCAGGGTATTCAGTTTTGAGATTGATGTGTATGGTCATGTCCCTTCCCGTCTTAAACGCCAGGCGCCTGTGGCATCATTATCCCCTTGGGATCAGTCGTGGTTGCCTCCTTTCGTTTACCGCCGAAACGCCGAATAAATGCGCATCGCTACTATTATACATGGATGGAAAACGTGATGATATGCATGTCTACAAGAGAATGGTCGAGAAGCTATGCAAGATTATAGTTCTCTATAGTCGCTGGGTCGCACTCTGCGCTGTCGGTTTTGGTGTCGTCCAGGATTGACAGGTTTCCGGAAATAGGCTTCATCATCGTTGTTAGGCGTCGTAAAATTGGGTCGGGGCTGTTGCTGGTTGCTGTTATTGTTGTTGTTGTTGTTGAATCCATTCATGCCCCCGTTCATATTCATGAATCCCACGTTGTTCATACCGCCACCATTCATGCCGAAATTCCCGCCGAACATGCCGTTCATCATTGCGGGATTGAACGGTCCACTCATACTCATCATAGGGTTCATCATCGGATTCATGCCCATCATGCCCATGTTCATATTAGGTTGACCAAATCCATTCATCATGGGGAAAGGCATCATGTTGGGCATTCCGCCCATCCCATTCATACCAGACATCATATTTTGCATTTCTTTGGCCTCTTGAGCACGTTGCATAGCCTTTGGCGCCTTAGGAATTTTGGGGTTCTCCATTAGTTCATCTGCTGGTCTCTTCTTGATCGCAAGTTCCGTAGTCTTAGATGTGTCATTAGGTTCGGCTGAAGAGCTAGGTGTGACAGTGGCCTTTGTTGGTGCGTTCGGTGATTGAGGTTTCACTTCGCCATTCGCTGGTATAGCTTTCTCTGGGGTGGGAGGAGGCTCAGTCTTTGTGGGAGCTGATTGTACTGCTTCTTTCTTTTCACCAGGGGATTGTGGCTGAGATTTGACTACCGGCGGACTAGACGAGCGTTCTTTCACCTTTGATGTCTCTCTTTCTTTAAGAAACTCCACAATCTTTGCGGAAGCTTCGTCATCAGACTTTAGATCATCAATGAGCACTCCATCAGTCTGGCATCCAGGGCAGATGAAGTCGCTTTCGATCAGGGCATTAGTGATGCAGTCATTGCAATACGTCTTCTCACAACACGGTGTCTTCATTGGGTCTATGAACATCCTGTTGTCGATGGAGCACAATAATCCTCTCTCTTCTAGCTCCTTGTCCTCAGCAGAGGCCGCCTTTTGTGCCTCGGCCGACGACTTTGTCTTGGCTTGGAATTGTTCCCAGCTTGCTTTGTCAGGTTCAGCAATCACAAATTCGCCATCTGCGTTAACCATCAAACCTGAAGGGGGCTTCACTTCCTCGCCATCAGCACCAGTTTGCTGCAGTGCTGACTTATCCACTGTCTTAAGAAACGAGCGAGGGATGCCCGTGGTCCGTTTGACCCGAGGGCGGTTGTCGAATTCAGGATTGTCATTCGTCGGGCATAACTGAATCCAGTGACCTTTCTGCCCGCAGCGGTAGCAGATATATCCGTTTGGAGGTTCATGATCGGGAACATTTGCAGGTTTTTTGGCACCTGGCTTATACACTGCCGTTTTCCTACACCCAATGTTAGTGCTTGAATGTAAATGGATGCATGTGATACTTACGTAGACATTTCTTCTTGTTGTGCGGTCCATTGGTCAGATTCGGCCTGAAACATTGCCATCATCTTTTCCTCCTCAGTTAGAGCTGTGCTCATCTGTGATAGGCCTGTCGTTGCGGGCTTCGTCACTTTCGTCGTGGCTTCTTTGCGACCAGAGTTTTTTGCACTCGATGGCATTTTCCCCGAAACATAGCGAGCTGCGCGACCAGCACCAGGCTTCTGTGGGGGTAAACGACGTGCCACAACAGTGGTGGACCTTGGGATAATGGTAGTATCGTCATCATACTCTATAGAGAATTAGTAGGCTACAACATAGAATCACGGGCAAGACATACCTTCACTACCATCATCTGTATAGATGGCGAGATCAAAATCTGTGCCATCGCCTAGACCACTTTTGATGATGATATCACGCTTGAGCTCAAATACTGAGATGCCAGTGCCATCGAACTCAACCCTTGTCGGCTCCTTTTGCGACTTGAACTTGAAGAACACAGAAGAAGTCATGGTGAATTATCCTAAATGTTTTGTGATTTATACTACTGTTGGGGTAAGACTGGTGAAATTGGGGCTGGGAAACCGCAACAACTATGATACGACGACGTAGAATGGCTAGATAGTTAGTTAAGTCGCTCAAATATTGTTGGCACTTGTACGGATGGAGTCGTTGCGCAAGCTAGTAAGTTTTGATAAACTTGTGGTGTGTGAAATGAGGGTATGCAACTGCGTAGTCTCTGCGCGCGGTATTTTGTTTCTTAAGAGCTCGCTGGCAATATGACATGAAGGGATGGGTATCAATTTCTGATTGTACTTCAAGAACAATGAGAGTTCACACTCTGAATAGAAGAAAAAGGAGGAATGTACAAAGCCACGGGTGGGTGAAGCCACCAGGTCAGCTCGATGAAGAACGAAGAAAAAGGCAAATTCCCTCTAATCCCAACAAGCCACACGAGGCGAAAATGACACCACAGCACCGCAAGAATCTCGTCTCCTATGTAGTCCGAGACCTCCCACCGTACCCTATGGATGCTATCACAATGCTCACGCACAATCGCGAGGAATCGGCCGAAAGAATGAGCGCGCGTTACTCTTCACGTATAGTAGTGGCTGCGCGCCAAGATGCGACCGGAGCCCACAGGCAACTACCGACTTGGGCCGCTCTGATCGGAGACGAGAGAACACGAGGCGGGTGGATCGTCAGATAATTGAAGAACGCACACTACTCGACCGATAGGAGGAACGATGTCGGTTAGCCTTGTACAAACGGTGCGATGGTCGGAAGAAAGGTGTCGTTGAGGAAAGATTCATAAACGAGTTGGAGATGGAGAGAGAAAGAGGGATGGCTGACAGAGGATGGAAGGAGGAGCGTGCTTTGAAGTAGTCAGACGCGCTAGGGCCAGAATTAGATATATCACGTGATTACACGGGTGAGTTGGGCAGATCACTGCCAGTTGCGCTGCAGCTGCCATAATGCCTACCTATGTAGGTGCGGACTCCAATGGTAAATGCAATGTATTGTTCATTCATTCATTTATTCACGTGCCTGCAATTATTTAGCAACTTATAAAGAAGTGCTTTGTATGCTATCAACCCAAATCTATTGTTATATCTTTGTCCAGTTCATCTCCTACTAGTCACGCCAATGTTATCATTAGTAAATAGGAGTTAGCTGTGTGAATATCCTGAAGTCCTCCGAGAAACGAATGAAGACCTGCTTAGGAGTTTGGAATGTTTATTCAGAATTGTCATCATGTTCAATCTCAACATCTTCCCGTCTATATACGCCGAATCTTGTATATCGACTAGCTAGCAGGACTAGCAGGGCTAGCAGCTTCCTGCATCTCTCGTCCTCTCTTGCGGCCAGTCCGCAAGTCTCGGCGCGATGTGCAGCAACAGCCTAATCCGGCATGGAATATGAAGGCAAGTAAATTGAAACCAGCTGCTGTCCATTGGAATGCCAGCATCTGGGTCCCAAGTGAAGCCTCCACACCAAGATCCGGTTGAGAGTTCAATGCTGCGCGGAATACGTAGGCGATCACGGTGCCGAGGATGGCACCGACGACAACGACCAGAGCTGAAAGGCCAGAGAGCAGCCCGACTGGAAGGCTCCACCACCTCGAATAAAGGACGATTGGTGTGATGATCAGTAGGACTCCATCCAATATGAGGCCACCGAAGAAGAACCCGAACATGATGTGAAAGGCAATGCGAAGAATGTTAAGGATGTCATTGACCTCCGAAGGGAGCGCGATAGAGGCGCCCGAAAGAAGCTCGCTCAGGATAATCTTAACGGGATTGAACCAAAATGCGAAATTCGGTTTCGAACACTTAGTGATTCCACTATCACTACGTTAGTCCACGTCGTACTTGGGCCACCACCATATCTGCAGTCACTTACTGGCCATCGTTATACCCCTCGCAGAAATTCCATAGGCCTACTTGGTAGAAATCATGAAGCCCTAGGGTTCTAGCGACTGAGTTCTGAAGTGTCAACCCACTGGGCGCCGCTTGGGGTAGGATATTGCTGAGATCTAGCTTGAAGCTGTATGTATCCCTTAAAACTGGTTTGTCGCTTGTGTTTCCAATCTCGACCTGCGTCCGTCGTTAGTCTACTGGGCTACTTGGAGCAAGAGGGGGCCTGCCTCACCAAGATTAAGAAGATTATGGCTAAGAGGTAAAAGAATGCCACGATGCCGATGGTAGTGCGTCTTGTTCGTGTCGCTCTCTTGAGCTTTGCTTCAACCTCTGCGTTCACCGGGCTCCCACTCTCCTTATCATTTTCTATAACGTTCGGTGACTTGTGACGTTTGCGAAATAGCGCCATGGTGGGCTACTCCGAGCAGTCGGCCCCCTCGAGCTTGCAACCGCGAATGGCTCGGCTTCGGTCTGAATTTCGAATCTCTGAGCCTCCTTACGAATTCAAAATGGTGAGAGGATATTGTGGTGTATTCTTTTGTTTTGTTTTTTCACATTATCGACGCCATTCAGGAGGGGAACGAACATGGGTTGATGCAATGGATGTCGCGCCAAACACCCAGACCCTGATCTGAAAATACCTGGTTGAAATGGATGACATGGTGATCAACGGACTACCATGGCCATTACGGACTAACTTAATTGTACGAAACCCTCTTACTCATGATGGATGTACATGGAGGTACCTGGCCTCTCACTCGTGTACACTCCCTGTTCAGATGTATGTAATCAGGGATGTAGTGGGCTGCAGGTGTACCTGATCAGCCTCCTCAAAGCGATAATCGTCATCACATATTACAACCTAAGCAGATACCTACCCAAGTAAGCACGAAGTCTACCATGCGCCACAGTAGTCTGCTGGACTTTATTTCCTTGATTGGGAGGGTGAGATGTGAACGTAATGTATTCTAACCTTACCTGATTTTTGCGCCGTAGAGCTCGAAAGTGCGTTAAGGTACCTAGGTAGGGGAAAGCAGTTTCAAGAAGTGCCGTGCTTCTACATATCTCTATGACTTGAATGACTTCGAGTTGTTTTGATGATACGGTACCGGTAACATATGCCCAGCTTCAGCACCGCCTTCAGCTAGGTAGCAGGGTCAGACAGGGTAGATCGGCCCCCGGCAGTGGATGCCTAGCCACTAAGTCTAGAGCCTCGTAAAAGATTGCCGCAGGGGATTACAGGGCATCTGCGGGCCCCGCTATGAGCCAATCGCAGCGAGCACCAAAGGGAGACTGACGTAAGTGGGCGGAACCCCGAAAAACCTCGCAGCCGATCCTAGCAGATCCTAGTAGATCCCAGCGACTGGCTTCGTTTGCTGACGCGTTTACTCTCTGCACATCGTGCTGGCGAGCTGGGAATCTGCTGGGAACAAGCATGAGAATCAGCAGCACAGCACACACAGCACACACAGTACCTACCACAACACAGCCTTCGTCGCATTACTCACTAGCAGAAGGACTAGCCGCGGCACTTTCAAGCTCAGACGTCGGCCGGGGTCAGCGATCCACCCGGAAGTACTCAAATGTACTCGTAGTCACCCCCTTCTGCGCTTCTGCGCTTCTGCGCTTCTGTGCTTCTGCTGCGCCCTCGTCGAAATCAACGGCTAATATTGCCGACAGTCTGTCGCTGGAAAATCATTAGGTAAGTCTACGTGGTCACCAGCTAGACTAACTTACGGTAGGATATGTATGGTGAGTATGGCATGTGTACGTACACATAATTGGTCTCGCAGATAGTGAACGTTAAGTGCCAAGTGACCCAACGACTACCACATCCGGTTCAGTCAAAGTCCTGTTATGAAGTCACGAGCGGGCTTCGTCTTTTGGTCGTTCCCGTATCCGCCAACCAGCTTTACACTCATTCCCTGAGAGATACGATCTGGTACTGTTCCTCGCATTTATTGCTAATCGTCACTCTCGTTGAAGCGACTGTGCAATATGCCAAACACTTGATCCAAATCCCTACCATATTGATTTCCGTTCCACCAGTTCACCACCGTTCGCTGTTTAACTTCCAATGGCTTTTCGGCTAGGAGCGTGGTGGCTCCTCGCTGTTGCGGGCACGCTCGCTCAGATCACCATCACCGACGACAGAACAACGCGGACTGACTCGACTCTGAGTTTGACCGAGGGCACTACACCCACGAGCCTCTATCAGTCCTATACATCTCAGCGAACACAAGAAACCGATAGCTTCGCGTCCTTCTCGGATAGCACCGGCTCTGTTATTACAGACAATAGTACACAGTCGATAACAACTCACTCGACATCCAGCAACTCACTGACGCTCCTCAACGGTTCAAACAAGCCGGCAACAACCGGTATTTCCGGAAACGCCACGTCGACAATATCCTCGGCGCCTGCTGCAACAAACACGCGGCCCTGTAACAATTACCCCGAGTTCTGCGATCGTAAATATAGCAATATCACTGAGGTCGCTTGCCACAACTCGCCATTCATCACAACGAACAACATTGCCGCGAACCAACAATATGGTGTAACGCAGCAGCTAGACGATGGTGTGCGCTTTTTGCAAGCGCAAATCCAGTGGCCAAGCAATGATACCAAGCCGCACTTCTGCCACACAAGCTGTGACATTCTAGATGCTGGTCCAATCACAGACTGGCTGACCAAGGTGAAGAATTGGGTTGTCGACCATCCTTTCGACGTTGTCACTATTCTCCTGGGCAATGGAAACTAGTAGGTCAATTTATCTTCGTTCTTAGTACTACGTGTGTAGATGGCCTTTGCTGATCATGAATAGTTCGACACCTGACCTGTACGTGCCATACATTGAGCAGTCAGGCATTCTGCGATATGTATATACACCTCCCTACGCTCCAATGAACTTGAGCAGCTGGCCAACCTTGACCGATATGATCTTGGCTGGTGAGAGGGTGGTCATGTTTATGGACTATATGGCCAACCAGACGGCATATCCCTGGCTTCTTGACGAATTCTCCCAGATGTGGGAAACGCCTTTCGATCCGATCGATACCACCTTCCCTTGCACGGTACAACGGCCACCTGACCTCGATCCGAATAGTGCGAACAATCGGCTTAGCCTCATTAATCACAATCTCAATACCCAGCTCTCAATTTTGGGCGTGGACCTACTCGTCCCTGCTCGCACATCACTCAACGTCACAAATAATGCAAATGGAACTGGTAGCCTTGGGCTTTCCGCCGAGAAGTGCCTCAGGCAGTGGGGTCGCCCACCAAACTTTCTCAATGTTGACTACTACAACTATGGAGGCTTCCCAGGCTCCGTCTTTGAGGTCGCCGCTCAGATGAACAACGTTACATATAAGCGACCGTGCTGCGGTGTGCCAGCTAATAGTGGTGCGAAGGGCTTTCCCAGCCGAGGAGCCAACATAATGTATCCTCTAGCGGCACTGGTATTAATCGGCTTATCCATGTAAATAAATATATTCGCGATCGATAATACTTTAGAATTTGTTTTATGCTTCAGCGATAATAGGTACTTAGGCATCGGACAGCCGATGGGAATGACTGGCATGTAGAACAATACAACAAGATAGAACTTTCATTTATTTCTTTTCCATTCTTGGTTGAGCATTATATTATTCATTTTTCAGTAGTCCGTCCACCACCGTCCGTATCCTTCATGTTGAGATACTCTTTTGGGTGCTCTTTCACCGTTCGGAATGGCATGTTGATACTCACCTGGTCGTATGTCCATGCCCGAAAAGCTAAATGAAAACGCATGGGTCAACGTCGAATCCGTAAGGAAGGTACAAGGTATCGCGCTATTAACACCGGAGGAGATTGTAAGAATCTCTTTTCAACACGGTCGCCTCACCTGTACACCTCTTCAGTCAACTGATTGAAATTCCAAGTATTCTGTCGGTTGCGGTAGACATCTGAGTTATATTCTTGCCGCGAAGAGATATTTCTGAAACCATTCAGAGACAGCATTTATCGCAAATAAACCATTACGAGAATCGTCGCCGCAGACCTCAGAGCGAGAAGTGCCCTTCTTGTGGAACTGCTTCTGAGACATACTATGGAGTTCCTCTATCCCCCCATCGGCGACAATATCCGAGAACAAGGCCACTGTGGCTAATACCACCAAGTCATTCTCGACTTTAGTGAGCGATCACTGTCATGAAGGGGGCACCTAGTTTGCGTAGCACTCGATGGTCTGGGTATATAAAAGCCCATATGATGTCCTTACTGAAGAGATACGTGATTTATTCTTCGGCTCCCTCGTGATATTTCTCTTTGGAGCTTATGAGAAGACACCGTCGTTTCTTGTGGGTGTTGGAGCAATGGCCCAGTCCATGTAGTATGCAACTGGGTTTGAGCCCATTTTTCGTCCAGGATGCGCTGGTAGACCCCCTGAGCCACGGCTCTCATACCATTTCTACAGTTATAACATCGTTCAGTGAAGTGATAAGGCTTAATGGTCCCAGAGAGACGTGGAATCCCTGGTTGTCCATGGGAACCGAGACAGGGCTGAGGATTGTAAGGGGAGAAATTTTTAGTGTTGTCTTCAATCTGATATTTGAAACTCACATGGCTGAGTCCACCTCCAGCTATCTAGTGAATGACCCAGAAAGCGAGGACATTCAACCCTTGTCTATAGAATTAAGGGGTATATCCCAATCGGTCGCTATCTAACTGCTCCAATCACCATTGGACATTAAATCCGGCAGCACGCCAGTATCTTGCTTCTTCAATTCGCTTTCGACATCCCAATCCTTATACACGTGTCCCTTGGGCAGATTTGTGTTCTCAAACGGTGCGCCCGTCTGCAGATGATCGAGCGCGGCTGTGAACCGCTCCTGGGCATATGTCTCCGGATTATGTTGCCAAATCCAGCGACCAAGACGAAAGACGTTCTCGAACGGATTTTTCCCCTCGTCGAGAAGACTCATATCAATGTGATGTAGTGTATGGCGTGTTACGATGCCTAGCTGCTGGATCACCGACACGCGCTGGTATCGCAGCTTCGTGTGCACTTGAGTTGCCCATGGCACACGGCCTTTGCCGCCCTGGTGGAGGCATTCCGCGAGTGATATGCCGTCTTCCATTGCTTGTGTAGCTCCATTGGCCGATGATGGCAGAAAAGCGTGTGCACTATCACCCAGCTGGATGATGCGACCTCCTTGAGACGCCCATACGGGTTGGGGGTCACGCCACGTAAGCTTCCAGTCGATAAGGGTGTCTGCAGGTACTTGCTTGACAAAGTCCATGATCTCGTCACCCCAGTTGGTGCGCTCCCTAAGTATCGCGACGAGGTCCTCGGCTGGGATGGTGTTGCTCCACGATTCTTTGGCACTCCCGTCTTCCTTGTGCGTAAATGCAAGGCCTACTTTCTCGTGTGTAAACAGCGTTATGAGGTGCATGTCTTTGCTGCATGGTACATTAGTGATCGCTTTTGTGTCGACTTCACACTTGTTTTACTCACCCAGCGTAGGTGCGAACCTCGGGGGTTTGCCCGGGCTCAAGTAAAAGCTTAGCCCCTTTTGAGCCGGACGCAATGAGACTGGGACTGAATGCGCCTCTCATGATTGCGTATCCACTATCCACGAAAGGCACTCGACGGCCTGTGACAATTTCATGAGATTTGGTACCAATGCCTTCAGCAGCGACGACAACGTCACCTGTGAAGACTTCACCACTCGCCGTTAGGACACGGGCCTCTCCGGAAGAACTGTCTTCTTCATAACTGATGGTCTTACGGCCGTAATGGATTGAAATACCTAGACCTGTAAGGCTCAAAGTCAGTTAAGCTCACCATGAGCGCTACTATGATTTCTAGGATTAATATGAAGAGCTTCGAGATGACATTCCAGCCCATATGGCAATTGTTGCCCTCTTATGTAGAATTCTTGAGATATAAGAGAATATAGATTGAGTCAATTGGCTTACGATTAATCTGGTCTTCCATCATATGAATAATCTCGGGACGGAGCTTGATGAAACCAACAATTGGAACATCTTTGGCAGCATGCGGCGCAGCTCCAGGACGATTCCATTCAGGAAATTCGCTAACGAGCTTATTCCCAGCTGGATCACACCACCATAAAGGTGAATTCCACGAACTCGCATTATATTCAGCAAGCATCTTGGGATAATAATGCAGTGTCGACAGTGCGGAAGGGCCAATGACGAAGAAGTCGCCCAGAGTGGACGGGTTGTCGTTCTGCTCTAAGATCTCAACATCGTTGCCCTTGCGCCAGCATTCCAGGGCAGAGAACAAACCGCCTATCCCAGCGCCAGATATAATGACTTTGATGCCCGTACGAGGATAACGGCAGATGCCGTCAACGGTTTCGACTGTGTCTGAATATGAGGGTAGAGTCATTGCGACGTTGCCAACTGCAAGAGTAGGAAGAACAATGGTAACGAAGCGTTCAGCAAAGTTGACGCTTGCTGCCTTTGCTATGAGAATATGAGCGTGTGCAAGTATAAATGCTAGAGGGCCCCGAATACATGATGCTCGGTATGCCAGATATATATAGACATCGTGTTTGACGAGGGCTGCTGCAAGCCAGCCCCGGCTTTCCCGCAGTATGGCACCCGCCGAACTGTACCATCTTAGAAGTCCACTTAGCAAAAATTGAATCCAAATTTGAAACCTCTAATTGAAAGCTTCTTCGAGGGCAGTAGGTAAACCCGCTCAATGCATGACCAAGGATTCGTGGTATGGAGGGTCTATTAGTGGAACATGGGGTGCCATACCGACCCATTGAATTACATAAGCGACGGCGCGCGAACTAGGGAGATATCGACTTTGGCCAATGTCGACAATCGCAGGCTTATTGACCAGCCCATTACTGATGTGCCAGACTCTCTGCCGATATTGAGAGTGCGTGACTGTCTGTTCTCTGTATATGGCATGATGACTCGATCCGTCAAGCCGCCCCTATCGAACTCGGATGCCGGTCTGGGCGGACTGTTGACCCATCTGCCGGACTATGGGGTTGTGATTTGCAAGACTTGTCGATTTGCTATCCAGCCTAGTGCTTTTTCTAGTCATCTCCAAAACCATCATATCTTACGCTCCAAGCGTCGTGATATACTAGATCAGCTGCGTTCGCTGCGCTTAACGCCGCCTGAGCGCGTCGGCGTTCCAGCCTCAGACTCGCGACCCGTTCCGAACTTGCCGATTCTCTCCGGCTTCAAGTGTGATGCCGCCGAATGCAGTTATGCCTGCACATCCGTCAAACGCATGTGTCAACACTGGAGTGATATCCACGGCGAGCCTAACTCAAAGGCCATAAGATACCGTGGCGCGAGATTGCAGACATTCTTCAGGGGAAACAAAATCCGCTATTTCGAGGTCGAGGGGCCGAAACACTTGCAATGCTGGACCCAGAAAGAAAGTCAATTGGCCTTCAAGAAAATCAACTCATTGTCGCCAAGTGACTTAGTGGACAGGGTCCCGGAAGATATCCAAGCACCACTCTTAGATCACCGGTCTCTCCTGTATATGCATCATTACACGCGGCATTCAGGTTTGTTTCTTAACAGGGGTAATGAGAGCACGGAATTCTGGGTAGACACAATCGTCCTCGAAGCTGAAAAGCACCCGTTTCTGATGTACAGCCTGCTATGCATTTCGGCCATCGAAAAGGCACGTAAGACTCCCAACACTGACGAGAGACGCAATCACTTGCAGGCGTCTGCCTCTTATTGCGCCGGCGCAATATCAGGATACCGCACTGCTGTGTCATCACCAACAAGAGAAAATAGTAATGCGATCGTAGCATGCAGTCGACTTCTTGGTCAACAAGAGGCAGTACGCGACCTAATCAGATTTCAAGATAATGGTAATCATCACTTCACAATAGATGACATTATCGAACACCTCGTGCTACTTCGGGGTTGTACCGACTTGATGATACAACTGCAATCTACCCTGCCACCAGACTCACTCTTTCGTCTTCCTGATAAGGTCAGAATTGGGCTAAGGGCAATTGAGGAACATGATACCAACACCATGCTTTCGAATCCAGGCTTCATTCCCGCTGATACTTGGCTGGTTCTCAATATGCTCGAAGCTAGATTGAAGGCTGCCGGACTGCTGCCAGCGAGTGAGGCTCCTATGATAAGACGTGCTATAAACTTGCTCGCCTATGCGACAGCACAGGCGTATGGCGCTCAAGACGACGAGGTCGGCTGGGCAGGCTGGAATGCCGTTGAAGGCTGGCTTCGCTCGCCTCTTATTTCCGAGGAGCTCCTCCCCGCCATGAGGGGGCTCCGTCCCTCTGCACTCATTGTGTTCATCTCTTGGGTAATGATCCTACTCACAAGAATAGAAGGGACATATGACTGGATGGCAGGCTTGTCTGCGTGGTTTGTACGAGTTGCAGTCCGAGTTGCAGATAATACACAAATGGAAACTCTGGCGAAGCAGCTGTACCAGTTCGATTGAACTAAGTGCTCATTAGAATGATGTAGCAAAGCTTCAGCGCCCACTAGCCCAGCTACGACAAGGATCTATTGAGGTTAGCCATATGCCAACAGAACACCCACGATCATGGACGTATCAGACACAGGTAAAGACGGAATATCGCAGCCCATGCCTGAGGCAGCAGTTTTAACATTCATTTTATTTCTTCTTGTTCTTGCCCTCAACCCAAATTCCACCCAGTGTTCATTTTATGGGCAACAGAGCCCGCAGAGGGGGGTTTTGGGGGGTTCTTGATTCGGATTGGTCTAGACGCCGCTTTGGTGGAGGTGGCGTTATGTAGCACAACTCGCTGCATATCGGCGAAGTTCTGTTAGGAGAAGGGTGCAAATGATACGCATAATCACATGAACAAAAAGAAAGATGTCACTGAGAAAACAAGAGCATCTCTTTCATTTGTTGAAAATCATTGGGTTTTGCATTTGGAATTGTCGCACGTAAAATTTTCTCCTCCCGCGCTGACTTGGAAAAGCCAAGGGGAGCTTTCGACAGGGCCAAGTCAGGTCGCCGATGAGCCCGACCTACGAAGTAAGGGTTGCTGCATGTAACCGCAACCCTCCTCTCAACAGGATGCTACCCTTTCTTACCAACTGCCGCCCGCGGGTCCGTGGGCATATTCCGCACAGATGGCTGGCGGGCTGTGGCTCTCTCGTCTGACTGCGAAATACATAAGCCAGGCTGTGCGGACGGGACCAACAGCCACTTCAGCTTTCCTTTCTGTCTCCCCAATGGGTCGGCTCAATTGAGAACCAGAGTGTCCGACGGGTATATTCTTCGCAGATGCGCATCCATCGCTTTTCTCAGTAGTATCGATGGGATACTGATGTACCGTTCCTGTCTGAACTCCGACCCCGCCCTGCGTTTCCATGTCGAATCATCAATACTAGTGATAAGGCTAGGATCCTGTGGTATACCCCCTCCCTCAATCCTCCAATGGCGGCGTCTCTGTTGCTGCCCTTAGCATTCCTCTCCATAACTCCCGCTCTCAGCGCCGTGCCCCGCCCCGGCGCGGTCGACGATGCGACACTCCTCCCCTTCGCCGGCTTCGCGCCGCGCTGGTATGATACAGAAGGCATGCCGGCGGTGCCCGTTAGTCCTAACCCGCGACATGCTGTGCTAGGCGGCCTCGTGGCAAGAGATGCCTCAATATGCGACCCGGGCTTTCACAGTTGCGTGGAAGCGAACGGGCCGGCGACATGTTGTCCGAACGATAGGTACTGCTATCTAGACGAGCATTGGGAAACGAAGTGCTGTCCGCTCGGCGTGAAATGCGACGGCTCGCTGTGCGCGGCCGATGAACTCTACTGTAACCGGACGTCGTCGACAACTATCCCCGTAACTACCACCACGGGTCGAGGGAATGACAACACTGTAACATCTTTCGTTTCGTACACGACCTTCGCGGCGTGCTGTAACCGTGCGTGCTCTGGGGAGCGGTTCTCATGCGAGAAGGCGTTCGGCGGCCAATGCTGTTCCTACGGGTTCAAATGCGCGTCTATCGGTTTATGCATTGCGGACCCGGTCCAGTCCACAAGCATATCGGCTTCGACCACGGCCCCTGATTTCCCGCCCGGATGCACCACCTCGCAGTTCTCATGCGCAGAGACGGACGGTGGCGGGTGCTGCAACACAGGATCCATCTGTACCTACCAGACCATCGGTGCTACTACGTCTAAGGTATGCGCGCTGGACCCGTCGTTTACGAGTAGCAGCGGCGGGCTCCCGAGTGGTGCAAAAGCGGGCATAGGGGTCGGCGTTGCAGTGGGGGCCGCGACCGTTATCGCAGCCGTGACGTGGCTGTGTATCCGACGACGCCAGAAGCGGTCAGGGACTACTGGGACGAACGCCTCGGCGCACGAGATGCGGCAGAGCATGGGGGCTGGCGGAACGGAACGCGAAGACGCAGGTGACTCGCTCCTCGTAGGCATTATGACACCGGGGCGCTCGCCGCTCACAGAAAGGGGCACCGACTGGGCGCCTTCGCACGAGCAAGAGCACGGACGCTACCACTACGGCGATGTGAGAGCGGGCCCTTACAGGGATCGAGAGGGCGACGGGCAGATGCCGCCCAACCCCAGTCTTGCTACCACCCCTCCCGCGGGCTCAGTACCAAGTGATGGTGGTGGCCGGTTTGCTGCCTCGATGCCGTTTGGTCCTGATCACATAAGGATACCGGTGGAGATTGGTGGGGCCGAGACGCAGAAAGAGATGGCAAGGAGTGAGGGAAATGGGCGCGTAGAAGAGATGCCAGGTAATCAGGGAGACTCTCCCGAGGGTCGGTTTGAACTTATGGGAAGTCTGGGAACGCCGTCGCCCTTGAATCCTGATGGAGAGGTTAATCCCATGGATAAGGGACCGAAGTGATACAGATAGTAATGTGATGAGAAGATAAGATATCGGGGGAACGTAGCGAATCTTTCTCTAATGTATTATTTTGGGCGGGTTGTATCTACAACAACACACCCACAGCTTCAGACGAGCGCAAAGCAAATAATCTGAAAAACATGTAACTCTATCGCTCTGCCTGTTACTTTTCTGACTTGTATGGAACATCAACCCAGCAACAAAACTTAGAACAACTCCTATTCGCCGAAACACCATAACAAAACGCCAGCCTACTAGTCTCGTGAGACAATATGCACAATATGATCGTCGATCTGACGATGATTCTCAGATCCAGTCTGTTTCCTAGCGCTTCAAGTGCAATGAAACCAAAGATAGCGCCAAGCGAAACAAATAAAACATCCAAACCAAATGGAATTAGAGATACAGCTCCTAGCCATATCGTTGGCAATATGCGCACATTCAAGAAACAACGCCGTTGAACAAGGTATTTTGCCGTAGATCCTTAACCAACTCCTCGACGCTATTAAGATGTCGGCCTAGCAAGGCTTGTTTCTCTTCTTGGGTGCGGGTGCTACTCTCGCCAGCGGACCGCGGTCGGCCGTCCTCGTCTCTGCTGCCGCCGTTTGAAAACGCTTTCGCGAGCTTGCTGGGACTGCGCTGTAATAACCCTGGCACAGAGTCGCGGGATGCCGCGCTCGGGATCGATGGAGTCTCGGGCATCAGGTAGAAGTAGAGGAACTCAATGAGCTTGAGCTTGACATCGCGACTAGTGCCTCGAGAACGAAAGAGCGAGGTCACGGCAAGTAGACCATCGAGGCTCTCGAATGTTCGCGTATTTTGGGGCGTGTCAATTAGCGCCGTAACGAGTGTGAGGAGAGTGGCTGATTGAATGGCTGGACAGAAATCGGGTTCAATGAGGTCGAGGAGGAGCTATTTCAGACGAGTTGTTAGCGATAACTGACTTTGCCTAAAAACATAGAAGGACCCGTACATTCATATACATCTCTCGTGAGAACAGGGCTTTGCTGGGCGGATGGAGCAGCATTACTCCCTGTATAAGATCCAGCGCATTCAGAATAAGCAGGTCGTTTGATCCATCACCGCCCTTTGCGAGTAGACGGTCAAGCGTGTTCACAAGTCGAACGGCAACATTCCATTCAAAGCCCTCCTGTAGCTTGAAGAATTCGTAGAAAGCTGGATCATCGGCAAGTTCGCTGAGGTTTTTGTAGTTGGGAGGCGATTCCTGTTCCTGTCCTGGATCCCTAGCCATGGAGGCGCGGCGGTCCCTGCTCGTCTCCTGTCGGGACAGACAAATGTTGGCTAGAAGGCCTTCGACCTGGCGTAGACCTTTTCGAATCTTGCCGTTATCGTATGACGATAGATTATCGAATGCAAGAGAGAGTAGGTTCTCCATGTTGAGTTGGTAGTGACTTGTTGATTTTCTAGAAAGGTAATGAATTGTACAGGGAAAAAAAGGGTAAAATGCCAAGATGAGCTGCGGATCAGTCACCGGCGAGACTGTTAATACAAGTAGAAAGAAGGGAAGAATATGAGGGTATCACGGACAAGTACCGAAGTTCCTGAGAGAAAGCATGGGGAAAGCTGGCGTCGAGATTCGAGATGTAGGAGCTGGCGGACCGTTTGCATGAAACAGCTGGTTAACACAGCAACGGTTTATGCACCCCGTGCACTGGGAGCTGCCATAAAACAGCTCTGCCGGCACAAAAGGACACTAAAATGCCCCGCTGATCCGCCGACGTGGGGTACTTACATTAGCGTACAATAGGCCTTGTTAGCCACTGTACGGTACTTAATCAAATACCATGCCTTTTGCGAGATTTCCCATCAATTCTAATCATCATCATCCCTACGTGTATGTATATGGGTCTTGTTAGCAGCTCTATGGTTGATGAAACTGTGCTGATCCTGCTCCAAGTAATGACGTGTTTTGGAACAGTATATACTTCAATAGGGAGATCTAGAATAACTCTCCTGATGTACGTCTCTGCTGCTTCAGGGTTGGTTTAGGGTCTTACATGTATGTTCGCTGTTCCAACAATCCCTCACCAGAGATTGCTTTTTTGAAAATTACTTTTCTTCAGACTGTTAGTTATCTCCTTGAAGCCGTGCTTTGAGTGTCGTATCCTGCGCAACATCGGCAATGATTATGGCCAGTCTGTCGTCGCTGGTGCTACTTTCGGGCCAAGGAGGGGGGACGGCCGGCATATGATTTGCTCACCACTCATCATCAGTCGCCGGTCCGGTGCCATGTCAGAAGATTAAGTAGGTAACAGGTAGGTACTTCAGTAGGCAGCTTGCCGATTCAGACTAACCTGTAGGTATATATTATTGGGATCCTTCTTTGTGAAACGCCGTCGGTCATCTCTACCTTTCGCCTACACGATCCCCGCCGCGTGTCCTTCTCCAAATCTCAATCTTCATTCTTATATGAAAAGCTACTTTGGAAAAGCTACAATATATTAGCCCTAGTTCGCGTAGTTGTGGCCTCATTAGTACTTAATCATCCCGCTGCGTCGGCTAAGACACTTGATTCGCCGCCTGTCTCCGCCGCACCGCTAATATCGCGGCCTCTATCACATGCCTTGACATCCCAGTTGCGACATTCGGCTTGGTGGCTTGGATCGGCTGCAGGTACTTGCTAGAACAAGCAACCCACAATCAGCCAGACTCATGACGGCATTGACTGCAAGTTGCTCGATAAATGCCAACCTAAGATCTGGTCATTGCGGAAAGCGGCCTGTCTAAGTGGGAACGAGGGAGTCTTGGTGCTTTCTAAACCCCGCCATTCTAAGGCGGCTGCCTCGGAGCCTGTGATGGTGGCGGATACGTTGTAGGTAAGTATCTGTCTGACCTGCATGCCAACCCAGACTCGGGCATTATCGTGGTCGCATTGGCTCACCCACTATCTAAAGCCTCCATTTCTACTCCCTTCTCCGGGTTTGCTGTTATGAGGCAAGGCAGCAGCTACACCTCGTCGAGTGAGACCAGCTCACATTGCAAACTTCCTTCCTAGGTATGTACCTACCGACATAGGTATGCAGATAGATAAGTACTTACATAGTACCTACTTATAACATCAGGATGTGCTAGGTATCAGGCTAGGTACCAGCTACCTCACTAGACCGCGTGGCCTAGCAGCCCACCCAAGTATTCGGATCAGGCACGATACCAACACCCAAGCGCAGTTAGCCGAATCGCAACATATAAGGTACGATCCATGATGGCTGCGGCCAACATCAACGATGGCATCCACGCCCACGGCAGTGGCCCCAACGCTTCTACTATTTCTACTACTCTGCCCTCACCCAACCGCATTCCTCCCAGGACCTCTTCTACCAACTACACATACAACGCACTTGCACCCCCTGCCAGGTCCGTTCTTCGACCTGTTCTAGAGTCCGACTGGTTAGCACAAAGTACTCATACTCACAGTCATTCTCATCCTCATTCTGATACTCACGCTCATACACATCGTGATAACCCTTCCACCTCGCATCTTACCCAACAGCACTATTCTGACACCATGACGTCTGCCGACTTTCGGGATCCCTCGCGGTATGCGACAGAGGATTTCGACTACCTCGCACGCAAGACGTGGTCTGAGAAGAAGGAGAAGGTCGTCCTGGCTCCTTTCAACTACCTGCTGAGCCAGCCAGGGAAGGACATTCGTTCCAAGCTCATCAGCGCCTTCAACACCTGGCTTAACGTGCCCAAAGAAACACTTGATATCATTTCCAATGTGGTAGCTATGCTCCACACGGCGTCATTGCTCATTGACGATGTCGAGGACAATTCTGAGCTGCGGCGAGGGCTACCCGTAGCGCAACACCTGTATGGCGTAGCACAGACCATCAACTCCGCCAACTGTGTATATTTCCATGCGCTTCGGGAACTTTCGAAACTCAACAATCCAATGGCCACGGCCATCTTCTGGGAAGAGTTGATCAACCTCCATCGCGGGCAAGGGATGGATCTGTACTGGCGAGACTGTTGTATATGCCCTTCCGAGGACGAGTATCTGGAAATGGTGGGCAACAAAACAGGTGGACTTTTCCGACTAGGCATCAAACTTATGCAGGCTGAGTCCAAGGTTAAGATTGACTGCGTGCCACTAGTCAACATACTGGGCATCATATTCCAGATTCAAGACGATTACCGTAATCTAATGAGCACCGAATATGAAGGAAACAAAGGCTATTGTGAAGATTTGACAGAGGGCAAATTCTCATTTCTCATCATTCACAGCATACGTGCCGATCCACTTGATCAGCGTCTCAGCAACATATTGAGGCAGAAAACGACGAGCCACACGGTCAAGAAGTACGCTGTGGATTACATGAAAAGTACCGGTAGCTTCGAGTATACCAAGAAGGTCCTCGAGGTACTCATCGAGCGGGCAAAAAAGACCGCGGACGAGCTAAGCAGCGATGGACAGAAGAATAATGAGATCTATGAAATATTAGATAAGCTCACAGTATAATGCCTCTTCTCCGCCCTACGCGTTCTCGAAGCTTGATGCCGAGTTTTGGCATGCCAAAGCTGTGAGTCGATATCGCAGGTATCAGCCAGGACAGAATTGCCAGGAGTCTCACTAAGAATATCGAAAGAAAAATCCCACCAAAAGAAGAAAAACATCCTCGATAGAATTTTCGTCATCCAGGAGTCGCGTGCTTACTGGCGGGGAAATGTATAGGAAGGAATACCCTTTTCTTTTTTGGTTTTTCTCCAGCAGTTGCGAAATGTTCAAGGCGTGGAATTGGATTTTGGGCGATTACCTTCTCCCGATAGGATCACAGGTTAGGTTTTACTTTCATAGGCTTAGCATTAATAAATGAGCGATGAGCGAATGAATTACTACATTTACGACTTGGCTTCAGCTCATATATTAACATCTAGCTGCCCAACCGGTCCTATGCCTGTAACAGTGGTCTCGTTTTCATTGTGAATACACTTTGTGACATGTGAAATGGCATTGTTGATAAACTGCTCGAAATTCATGTCTAAGATCACGACGCGTTTACTACCAAATGATGGATCTACCTAACCAAAAGTATGAATAAGGTAGTGTAGTAGATGTAGGGCTGAGGGGCTATACTACCGCCAAACTCCTGCCAGTGCTGGATTCTTCAACGTGGCTTTCCCTCCCTTTTCAATAAGCTGGTATCCCGGACCGCACTTGATCGCTTTTCACCGGAAATGCTTAACACGTCTAAAGGTCTATTGGGCGAAGCCAGTAATGCCTTACTATCATAACGTTATCTCATCCCTTTGCTGTATTTCATTTCAGAATTTCCGTTTTCTTATTGTTTCATAGCCGCTCTTCACGCCGTAACCTTAGCGCTAAATTTCGAGGCAGACTTGTCGAAGAGGTCGCTCTTCTCCTCGAGATCTGTGAGCAAAGCGTGGCGAGGCGCCGTCTGTTTCAGGGAACTGTATTTTCAGGGATCTTGTCAGTCTATAGCTGTGCGACTTCTGCGCAAGGGATGATGGGGATGGAAAAGGGATATTGCGTACCTGGTAAGCTCTGTGGCGTCCTTGCCCGTAATAACTGTCAGCACCATCAAGTTCGCTATAGCATCCGCGTGGTCGGGCTGCTTCTGCAGTGCCTGCTCGAGAGCAGCTTGAGCCTCTTCCACGCGGCCGAGGTGGATCTCACAGATCGCTTGCGAGACGAGAGTTACGAGCGATGATGTTGCGGGGGCTTGGGCTAGTTCTTCGAAGACATAGAAGGCTTGTTGGTATTTCTCGCCGCCCTATAGAAGAGGAGATATGGTCAGGCTCTGGGGTTCAGTTCGGGATGAGATATAGATAGATAGGTAGGTGGGATGTAAGAGATTGAGTAATCCTACCTGCCGCAAGCCGACCCATGACTCTGCAAGGTTCACTAAGAGACTATCCTGAGCCCATCTCCGCGCGGCTGTTACTTCTTTGATCGCGAGATCTGTGCGGTTTTGCTGGAGGTGGATTTGTACGATAAGTGCTGCGGCATCAACTGTACGCGAGTGAAGTGTTAGTCGTATTTGTTCGCAAGCTTATTTGGCCCATGATGGAAAATCTTGCTCTTCCCATGCGAATAAGTCTTCTCCAGCTGTATAAGAGCCAATGATGAAAGACATGTACTCACGACTACCTGAGTGCTTAGACAGGAGCGCAAGCGCCTCATCCGACTTGCCAGCTGCCTGCAACACGATACCTCCGAGAACCTGGACGGTCTGATTGTCACTCTCGGACTGCGCTAGCTTCTCAATGGCCTGCGCGGCCTCCTCTGTCTTGCCGAGAGCAGACTGTGCCAGGGCAGCCACGGCAGCGAACTCAGGCTCTGATGTCTCGCCCTTCACATCAGCGAGCACCTCCTTAGCCTGCCCCAGTGCAATGCGTGCCCTCTGTATAAGGACTCGCGCGGGGACCTCGTTCTCGGCTGATAATGATGATGTGTCAAAGTCGACGACCTCTTGGTACTGGCCCTGGTGGAAATAGTTGTGGATGTTGATTAGCTCGCCTTCGGCCGAGTAGGGATCCATGATGGGCAGATGGTCTGGGTCGTTTCGTTCGATGCGTCAGGTGGGATTGGATTCCTTATCTTGTGAGGGTATGATGCGATTCGCTTTGTGTACGTCTGATGATTAGGTACTTTCGAGTTCCTATGAATTAAGGGGAGGATTCGAGCCGCTATACGTTGTGTAAACCATCTGGACAAGCTATCTCATCTGTACACCGTGGAGCTACGTTGGTGGGATGTCAAGCCGTGCCAGCTGTCAACATCAAGTTGCGGCCCGAACCGGCTGGTGACAGAGCAATGCTGCATTGAACAGCTAGCTCAGGCTGCCCTATCTAGACACTCTAGTACTGGATCAATTGAGGTTTGTCAACAGTCCTATATTCAGGTATTATTCTTTTGAATACAAGTTCATGGCACTGAGGGCGCCGAACTCGCCATTTTCAGAAATCTCGGGCTAAGAAAGGTATGAAGCAACACGAGTAGTGTTGAGCACTGCAGCTACCTTGCGGTGTGTTGCAATTCCCCAATAGCTCCAACTACCCGCAGATTACATGAATCCCCTCTTGGAACTAATAAGTTGTGAGAAAAACGAGGAGCGCCATATTCTGTCGTCAGTGTGTGAGCGAGTGCGCGACTAGGTAGCATCATCATGGACCACCGAAACTCTCTTGTGTCAAGAGCAGTCAATAACACCATAAAAGGACAACACCTAAGTAAGGGATCTAGATACAGTTCAAATACTAGGGCTGCTCCTGGATTCTAAGCATTTCGGAGGTTACGGGTTTGAAGGCAGATAGGTTTAACGAAGTGGGTGTCTGCATGAATTCCCAACAAGATGAAGTATTACATGAAGGTTCGGACGTTAGACTGCTTCAAACAATCACTTAACCCCATGAACGAAGCACACTTGCTTACCTCAGCTGTGTGCGGCTCTGATGCTCTATGATTTAATGCTATTACCTATGGCGACACGCGATACTGGCGAGGTACCAATTTCACGAGCGCGCGAATATTTCCCGAACAGCTGCAAAGGAATTTCGCCGTAGCTAGCAAGACTGTAGCTGCTGCATCCTACAAAGCATAGTATTGACAACTTTCCATCGACGATTGGATGAAAAGACATACAGTAGGGAGCAGGCATATGAATATAGGATCTACGTACGAGATTAAGGCAAGTGAGTCACTATGATGCGTGTGCAGATGATCAAGCAAACAATCCCGCAGACGAGGCCGCGGGTAACATGCACTGAGCCGGGAGTTCGCGAGCAGGCGAAGTGACTTTCGTCGGTAGGATAACTGGGCCGTGTTGCATTAATGGAGGGCTAAAGAATAATCTGGTGACTTCAGAAGACAGTCGCTGAAGGATGACTCTAGAGAGGAGAGGCAATTCTAGAAGGCGCTGTTGCCCGAAGAGCTGGAGAATGGTATGCTTGAAGGGGAGAATGGGCAACCCAGAGGAGTCCTTACCTTGCGAGGAGGGCGATGTGCAAATTTGGTGACTCTCCCAACTCTTCAGGAAGCCACGCAAATTTGCACCTAATTCTGTCCACTCAATAGGGAAGGAGGTGATGTCATGGACATTGCTTGTGACAATTGACACAGAAGTAGGGGTAGAAGCGGAAGGTGCTCTAGACAGCGAAGTAACAGATTTGCGTGCACTTGCCTAGTCTAGGTCAGAGAAACTAGGAGAGGGATTTTGGGTGTAGAGTAGCGTCGAATCTCAGGAACTGACGAGCAAGAAGGTTTCTATCAGTCTTGTGACTGCCTCACAGTAGTGGAAGCAATATTCCGAAGATTCTCTAGCTATGGGAAGGTGCTCGCCTCTTGTCCTGCCAGTTGTGAAGGAAGAATTTCGATTGTGACTCTAGCCCCCTACAAGGGTGTGGAATGATGTTACTTTTTCTGAAGATAGGTGGCGCTGAGTCCAAAGCTCATGCCCTTGCCAACTAAGTCTTGATAAGTGAGGAGAGACAGGTTAGCATAATTCATTTCGTATAATCTGAGCAACCGGCGTGCAACGGCAAACATAGGGAGATTAGCTAGCTATGGGGAAAGGAAATAATTACCTGATGTGCTAATGAGTACGATTTCGAATTTCGCAATTCGCGGGCGCCTGGAAAGAATCCATAAATAAAGTCTTATCCCGGCTCGGGGTCACAATATTCTTTATTAGCTGTGACCTACCCAGAGTGGCAGTAAATGACCAATCTTCAATGTTGACCGAGACGAAGAAAAAAAAAAAAAAAAAAAGTCTTATTGTGTTAATGAAGGGATCACATCGGCGGTAGCGGATTGCGAATAAGACCACATGTCGGAGGGTTGAATATGATGAGATCGAGAGATCTCCATGATGAGCTGGAACTTGGCTTAACACACGACTAGGCAGTGACTTGACATTAAGTAGAAAGCAAAGTCAGGAGGCAAGGGTAGGTGATGCTAGCGACTTTAGGCCTTGCTGAAATAATAACTGTTGATGAGATGGAAACCATCACAACTCTCAATTGTTCATGATGTGCTGTACCTCACACACACATGGCACGGTGATTACTTCGGGATTCTGACGCCGGCCGGCTGACGAGGAATCAAGCGTATGCCTTAAATCCGCTATTTCCTACCCGTATTATTTGCAGTATGTAATCAGACAAAGAATCAACAGTGAAGCTGTATACCATCTAGGAAATGTTCCTCAAATCTTCAACCATTTCATTTTCAAATAGCACTCTGGGAATTGATTGAGTCCGTGATAATCTCGCAATAACTTCGTCGACTCCAATATTCAAAGTTTTCGGTTGTAGTCTATCTCAATGATCCCAATGACTTCCACTAACCCCTTATCTACCAATCCAGTTGGCCTTGGCCTTATGGCAATGACATGGTGGGTAAAGCAGACACATGACAAGCAAGCTTTTGGTACCATGAAAGCGGCCATCAGAAACGGTGCGACATTCTGGTCAAGTGCAGCCTTCTACGGCACTGCCGATCCAGCAGCGAACCTCTCCTTGATACGTCGCTACTTCGAGAAGTACCCAGAGGACGCCTCTAAGTCCATCAAGGGATGTACTGACCCTAAAACGCTTCAGCCAACAAACAGCAGTGTTGCACGCGTGCCAGTGTAGAAAATACCCTTCGCATCCTGGGTGGCGCGAAGGATATCGACATCTTCTCCCCCTCACGCTCTGATCCTAAAATTTCAACTGAGAGGACCTTCACTGAGCTCAAAGCCCTTGTGAACGAAGGAAACATTAAGGGGGTCGGCTTAAGCGAGGTCGGTTCCAAGACTATCAAGAGAGCGCACGCCGCTATCCACCTTTGTGCCGTTGAGGTCGAGTTCTCACTCTGGAGCACGGAGATTTTGACCAACGGCGTCGCGGCAACCTGCAAGTCCCTCAACATCCCAATCATTGCCTATTCACCCCTGGGGCGCGGCTTTCTCACCGGCCAGCTGAAGAACCTAAGCGACGTCCCAGCAGGCGATGTTCGACTACATTTTGATGGCTTTCAACCCAAGGTAGGTGATTATAGCTGTTTCGATTGGTGTAAATCCCAAAGCTAGCCAAAGGTAGAACTTCGAGACGAATCTAGAGCTCGTTAGCAAGCTCGATGCCTTTGCTGGGAGCAGGGGCGTCACCACTGCTCAGCTGGCTCTAGCGTGGGGTTTGGCCAACTCAGATTCAGCCGAGTGTGGTACCATCGTGCCGATTCCGGGTGCTACAACTACCCAACGTGTAGAAGAAAACACGAAGATAACCGGGCTATCTGCAGAGGATAAGGCTGAGCTTAATGCCATTGTTAACTCTGTCCCGATTACTGGTGGACGATATAACGAGTACCTGGAAAAGGGGCTGTGGGGCTAATAGGGGGGATGTTGTATGGATACTTGTAGTATGTTGGGCAGCGCAAGATTCAAACGCATCATGGTCAAGTGATGTTAGCACAGCATACATGGAAGCGAAGAGTCAGGAAAATCTTTTAGGGTATCTAGACATGAATTGATGAGTTCGCAAAGAATGGCTTGGGAGTTGTGGCAACATAGCTCTTTATGTGCCCGGAGTAGATTCTTCATGGGGAGTGTTGGCTTTGGTTTGAGACCCTGCCAGCACGCTCTCGTTGCTATCTCCTACCTAGGTATAGATAGGTGATGTCCACTAGAATTCAATTAGGCGCCATTTCGCCCCACTTTGGAACTTGTTCAGGGGCCATTGCACCCAATACAGATTTCCTCATCATCAGGGGCAGCACACAGCTGATCTATTTCTGCTCAAGCGAACATATTCGGGGTTCATTTGTTCAAATAGATAGCGAATGCTGTTCTGCACGCACGAAAATGCCTGCTTCTACAGTTAAATAAACGCAAGGAGCTTGGTCTTCGTGTCAGTCACCCGGAAAGGCATATTTGCTAGACCCCCTTACATGTCAAACAGTTCTTTGGATGCGTCTCGGGGCTATATAGCAGCTATATGCATCATTTCATGTATTCAGCTACCTTCGAAGCCTAAAAGAGTTTAAAATCTAACTTCTCTCAGCTAACATTACATGGCCCCTTAGACAAAGCGTAAAGTACAGTCGGATTCATTACTGCTTTGAACTAGAGAACTATATGATGAGTCTAGCTTAGCATATTAAATAGATGATATTATTTTATACTATGTTAAAACTTAGGCCTCAATAGCGGTTTAAATTGGAAGGCCCTGATAATAAGGCTAAAGGGCATTAGACAAGAGGACAGCACAAGTATTAGATCTAAAGAAGGTACCACATGTGTTGACTGAGTATCAGACTACTGAGAGATAGCTAAAAAAAATGCACAAGATAGAAAAGGCTGAGGTGGAGAGAAACGAACAAATGCTAGCAGGCCTCAGGGGTAAACCTATGGGCAGTCCTTTCAGGCCTCAGAATTACCTTGTCAAATTATAGTATGCGTGATTCTCATTGTTTTCATCATGTGAGTGAACCTCTAGTTTTCTACGACCATTCTGTAATAATGTTACCTTTATCTGGGATGTATGACCCCCTTACCATTTTCGAAGGCTGCACAAACTAGTGTCTGTAAAACGTCAAATAGGCATCTCCTACTGCTTTCTTTAGGCCTCGTACCTGTCTTTAGTGCCATCTTTCAACTGGAATAGAAAGAGCATTCAAAAACGTGTCACCAGGTGCACACCAGCCGCACACGGCACAGGTCGTGTACCAGATCCTAATCACAGCAGGGTTCCTTCCTCTATATTACTTCTTGGATCCCGAAGTGATCTTGTTGAGCTTGTTAACGACGTATTGTGATACTAGATCTAAGAATCATACACTCTACGTAAGAATAAGGGACTGACAAGAGGTATGGTGCTTGACATGTTTGTGGTTCTGCTTCTGCTATTCATCTTCTGTCCAAGACTCACCCGGTATCCCCTCACTATTCCCCAGTCATGACGAAGTAGGAAATGGCAATGCTAAGGTGTCCTCTCCCTCCTGTGGCTCGCCGTGCCTGTAGCTCTGAGCTTCAGGTACAATGGGCCTACCAAGCCGCAGATGATACAGTCAAGCCGCCCATTTCGTATCGTGTCACCTGATCATATTGGATTTGTACCTAAGTACGCCTGAGTACGTGTTTGCACCTTCCATCGTCGTGGAAACTTGTGGAGTTGAGGAAGGAGGAGAATGAGAATGTAATTTGTGGCCTTCTGCTCTTGTAGACCCCGTGTTCCCCTCTTCTCAATTTCCACCCATTCTCTCCTTTTCTTCCTCTGTCCATCTCTCCATCTCTCCATCCCCATCTATTCCTCTTACTATTGGCCTCTATCACCTCTCTAAGTAACACTCAGCACGTAAAGCATATCCTCTAGCATCTGATAATCTCATCATGGCACACAACAGACCCAGCCCTCCCAACTCGAGTGATTCGGATGACAACATTGGAGATCCTTTCGCCTTGTCAAGCCCTTCTTCCAGATGGATGGACCATGACTTGCAAGCCACAGTCGAAACTGCTTCAGATGACTCATCTCCATCAGCTGGGCCTAGTTCACGCCGACCCATGGAACCTAGCGAAGAGCGACAAGGTACCCAACCCATTCCAACTCCCCAGGGGGGACGTCGATCTCGAATCCCGCACTTAGAGGAACCTGATGACACGTTCCTGTTTGATGCGATTGAACAGAGACGCCACCAAGAGCAAAGGGAAATAGCCGAAGCAGAAAGACTTCGTCGTGCGAGACAAGAGACTCATAGATGGCAAGATGAACAAATCTACAGCCAGGAACAGGCTCGTAGAAACGGAACTGGCGGCGGCAGAAACGTCATGAATCATTCTACTCGCAATGATGAGAATCTCCCGCCCCGATTCGGTGTGCTTGGTGAGCAACAAGACCTAGTCCCAAACTACCACAAAGTTGTAATGCAGCCTTACGCACACCAATATCCTCATACCAATGTACAAATTGGTTATGACGCGGGATTTGAGAAAGGAATCGTGGAGGGACGTGAGACGGGATTCACAAATGGGTACGGTAGAGGATATGATCATGGATTCATGGCTGGATTGGCGAAGGGACGTCAAGAAGCACCTGAGACAGCTCAAATTGAGGCCTTCATCACTGCCTACCAGAAGGGTTTTGGAGATGGTTTCGAAAAGGGGCATCAAGAGCCGGAATCCAGAAGACGAGGTAAGCATATGAGTTTCGCGAGCTTCTACTCAGAATGTCTAACTTGTATCTAAAGCATCTTTCAGCGGCACTAGCCGCCGTCCAGACCAGGGACAACCAAGCTGAACCACGGCCATCGGATTTTGTCGCCGCCATGTCCCTCAATCAGCAACATGTCCACATACTTCCCCGCCCTGATCGCTAGTGTCCTCGAGGCCATCCTACCCTCCCTATGTCTGCGCCTTACCCCTATTTGCCTGAGCGTCGAGAAGGGATGCAGTCACCTTGCTTTGATTCGCAGCGCTTGATTTCGCCAACAGCACGATTTGTACTGCGAGTTTCGGAAGCAGTATCTTATCGCAGACAAACTAGCTTTTGCCCACATGGTCGATGTTTTCTTTATTTCCTTAATTTCCTAACGTTCACGTGTTGTCATCCTCGGGAAGGTCAACTAAAAGTTCGACTATGGGATCCTAGTCATGTTTTGAGATGGACCGGCTTCATGTAAGCTCGCGCGGAAGCTTGCTAGTACTTCCAGCCCAGGTCGAGAATATCCTGCTATCAGAGCAGTTGAGAAATGGAATGGTTTCACTTCGTATAGTCAGACTAGCTCTAGACTACATCGAATGCCACGATTATTAACTTTGGGACATTTATTGAACTGGTGAAGGCAACTATACAATCAATCAATTGCTTGTGTTGTAGATCAATGTAACTAGGTAATCAACTTAATCCTGTAGAGCAGCGCTAACCTGCTGTTATCAGCTTGCTGGCACGTCTCTACGTGTTCTAATTGCCGTTGACCTAGCCAGGCTATTCAGAAACCTCCATCGAGAAGATCAATAACAACAGGGCGGGCTAACGATATACGTAGAATTGGCAGAGAGCAGCCGCCAAGCTTAGGTACCCTCTACCCCGCGGGATTTGAACCGCACTAAAGGGGCCAGCCACTGCAAACCGCTCCCTGGCGAGAATCCACTTCGCGTCTTCTTTTTCGTTTCTCGTTTCTCGTGTCAACTTGCCAGTCTACATGAGCATCTACGTCGAAGTGTGTCCGGTCTGTTATAGTTTTACCTACCTATGTTAAGCACTTATGTCCGCTCCCCCGGCACGGCGGCAGAGTCCTCCCCGGCGACGACGAGCCTGTGCGTCGTGCGCGAAGGCCAGAGTTCGCTGCGACTACGAAACTGGCGACAGCTGTAATAGGTGCACATTCATTCCTTATATGCTTTCCTGCGTGTATATCTATGTCCTTTGTTTGCATGAAGGTGATGATACATGAATGCGGATTTCAACTAAAGTGCAGATCCCATAGATGTCAGCAAATGCAGCTTTCATGCATCCCCCCAGCTACCCAAAGCCTAAGAAAGCCGAGGCAAGTGAAGCCGAAAGAAAAATCGCAAGTGATTCTACCACATTTCTTATTCGTATCATAGTACTGATACAAGTCCAGTAACACTGCACATGTGTCCACGGCACCAACCCGGGGGCGCCGTCAAAACCTCCTAGCACACTCTAGAGATACGCCGACAAATAGTGCATCGAATGCCGGGCCCGTAGCTTCCAGTAGCAGTCTAGAGCAGCGAGCTTACAACATACCGTTCCATCCTAGATCGTTGCCACTGAAGTCATCTAACCCTAATCATCCGCCACCAAGCCCTGGGTTTGGAATATCGTGGGAACAAGCAGAGAAGGCCCTTGTGGAGTTTACCAACCTTTTCAAAGCTCACTTTCCATTTGTGATACTAGAGCATGATATCACAGCTCGTCGGTTATGCACTGAAAAGCCCCTGTTATTCCGAGTAATACTCATGATCGCAACCGATTTCACTGCCTCCAAAAGTCGTGAGTTAAGGAGAAGTGTAGACGCCTGGATTGGACAACATATGCTAGTCATGGAAGAGCAAGATATAGGGGTTCTTCAGGGTCTGCTTGTTTACATCCTCTGGTACTCCTTACCAGTCCAATAAAAGATTCAGCCGATGCTGATAGATTGACCAGGACAAGCCCTCAGTTCTATTCCGATCACAGGGCGACACAATTACTTTACCTTGCTATTGGCCTTGCACATAGCCTTGGCATCACCAGGTGCCTACTGATTTTCCCCAGTGCGCGCTGACCACAGCTGACTCAAACGCTCCCAGAGAGACTGTCCCTGGAAATGAAAAAGCTAGGAAAGAAAGTGAAATTAACGAAGAGCACCGTGCCTTTCTAGCTTGCTACTACATTACATCCTTGTATGTGCCGACAGCCCACAATGTACCGAATCCTGAATATTCTCTCGCTAACCATCCACTCAGCAACTCTTTGCAGTTCTGTCGACCTAACCCGCTCTCAGATAGCTATGTTCAGCATTGCATCGACTCACTTGAGCGATCGTCAGAGTTCGCAACGGACTTTCTCCTTCTTAAACTAGTCAAGTTTCGACAGTTAATTGGTCGAGTCCCAAGCGTGTATCAAGGCATTTGCGATGGAAACTGGTGCCGGGAGATTTCAGAAGATGCTTCCGATGAACTGCGAAAAATTACAAAGGAACTTGATGATTCTATGTGCGATATAGCCTCCAATCATCCCAAACTCCGTATGCCACTCATATCTCTTTGCTTTCACTGCATCCATACTCATTTGAAAACAGTGTTGCTTTGGAATCTCCACAATAGCGCTATTGTCCAGCTGCATCTGCCCATGACGTATATTGCCCCAAAGAACGAAACAGTCTGCCGCATACAACTAGAGTGCATGCAACACTGCCTTCGAGCGGCTCGTGCGTTTGTCAGCAGAGTGATGTCTTTCAGTCCCGATGCGATGTTGTACGCTCCTTTCACCACACTCGCCGATGTTATGTTTATGCTTATCGCTAGCTCACGATTGCTTGTAGTCTGCATAGAAGGTTGGGATCTCAAGGAAGCTCGACGAGCCATGAATCTCAAGCCTGTGCTAATGGAATTGAAAAATAAGTTGACCGCAGCAAGCAAGGTTAGAGCCGCAAGGCTTGCGGAAGCTGCAATGGCTAATCCGTCCAGCTACAAACCAGACGGGCCAGATGACGACAAGCACAATCGGATTCACGTGTCCATAAAAATGGTTGAATGCATTGAAATTTGGCTTGACAGCCAGGGTTGCTTTCTTTCTAGCGACGAACCAAGCCAGAGCCAGGAGGGTGGCGCTGATAAGACGCAATCACCTGTGCCTGATTTTGCCAGTCCCCAAAGTCCTTTGTGGGATTTTACGTACTATTTCGGATCTCTTGTAGGAGTCGACCGAGCTCTAGCCTCGTAGAGTAGACCTGCATTTGGAAACAATAGCATTTGTTATCAGCCCTGAGTTCGGCGCAGGGACCAACTGAAAATAGGGTTTAGATTATCAGCATGCGTTTCTTCTAGAAGAGCAAGCTCAAGTGGTATATCCATAGACTACAGTCTAAACAAACACCTCATTTCTACGGTCTTTATCATCAAAAACAATAACTTCACTTCCCTTAAGCTTCTCGACTTCTCCACTAGCTCAAACACCTACTTGTTCTAAACAAAGGTTCTTTGTCAAGCTTGAAATAGTAACAATCGGAGTATCTCTGAAGCCTCGATAATGAATTGTTCTTTCTAGCCATGTAATTCTCTTGCTTAAATTCTTGCCATGTCTGTGTGTAAGTTAACGTACTATTGACACACAAAACACAACAAATTGTCACGGTCATCACCATTGGCGGGGTAAACTAATTTTCAAAAACGCACCAACTAAGGAGTATAGCAAGCAAGAGAACAAAATGTGTGTGATTGAAGTCCTACGAAGCTACGGCGACAACGACGAGCCTATTCCGGATGACACACCCACCTCAGATGACAAATTCTGTCTCTTCGGCATGCACTGTTTTCAGGTCCAGCACACTCATGTCATTTTCTTAGATGGCGAGTTTGAAGTATGCCCGGCCTGCGATATAGTTGAGCTCCTCCCGACAGCGCTTTGGTCCCTTAACGTCTCGGGGTTGACCATTTCTAACCCGTTTGTTTGGGAGAAGCGAGCGCCACCGCTAAAAGCTTCGGTCGAGCTCTGGAACAAGACGGCGCAGAATGAGCTTACCAAAATCCTTTCTGAAGATGATCTAGACTTGAATCGGTGTAAGTTTATTCTTCATTATATTTTAGGGTTGCCGCATTTTATCGAGCGGGTGCCATTGCTTAAGATTTTCGGTGAGAGCATAGGCACTTGGTGTGGTTATGCTGGCAGTTGTGAATTGAAGGAGATTGCAGAAGATCATGATTGGGATGATGAGTTTGATGCTGTTTTGGAGTATGCTTTTAAGTCGCATATGGATGAGAAGGTGGCGATAAAAGAGCAAGGTTAGAGGAGTTAGGGTCATTAAATATTTGTCAGATTTGGTTGTTGCATATGAAGGATAGGGAAGCATGTATGCATATATGGTGGCGTTGGTTTTAAATAATGTATTTTAGTTATTTAAGGTTTTATTACCAATTCATCATTCCATGATAGACTATGCGAGCCCACATTCTACATCTAGACTGCATTATAGCTGTCTTAGCTGGTGAAGAGTAGTATCATGTTTCGCTCTGTTAGTTGACTCAAGAATGCGTTTAGCAAAGTTCTCAAGGCACATCTCCAATGGTAAATACTGAATTTCTTTATATCAAGTCTCTTTTGCTTCTGGAAAACCTCAAAGTCACGATAGCTTCAATAGACTCATAATGAACTCCAGTCCAAACATCTTACCTCTTCTTACTCCTCCAAGCCGTATATGAATTGTTTATGTCTAACTTATCATAGACTTTACAGCTACTTGTTGTTGTTACCTATCAGCTTATACTCTCCGCAACCGAAGGGAATCTAGCGATCATCAGTTCTTCTAAAGCCGATTATGACCAGCTTAAGCTGAATCAATAGTATGTGGCCGTCTTGAAACCTTGGCTTTGGAACTCGGAATTGGATGCGCTCCAATCTCACGCGCCCAGCCCTATTACCCGAGTTCTTTTAGTCCAAACGCCGAATATTCGAGTAGTCTAACCAACCTAGTTATGCTTCTCCGCACTCATGGAAGCTACCGTGGTTGATGCTGGTCCCGCTCCGGGGAATATCACATCGCTCCGTTCGATTTGGGGTTAATGCGGGCTGCCCCGGTGCCTTGGCTTGGGGCGCCAATAGCCTCGACGACCCAGAACAGCGCTTATCTGGTACAACAGCATTTATTTCATGGATTAGAATTATATTGCACGTGGAGTTACTGAGTTGCATCGTCGTAGATGACAAGGGGTCTAGTGCGTATACATTTGTTTATGCCTTGCTTTCTCCCCGCGGCAAAAGTGCTGATTATCCACCCTCTTGGGTATAAAAGCCTGAGTTTATGCCGGGTGGTGATCCCCCAAAGATCATATACATGAAGGATACACTATCATAATACTCAGGATTCTGTTTGCGACGGTAACCTCGAAGAATCATGCGACCGCTCCACAGTGTCATCATCAGTCTCACAAGACTTTTATCACTACAAGTGTCGGCAAGTCCGACGCCGGTAGTGAAAAGACAGACCGCGACAATCTCCAATAAAGTTATATTCTCGCCGCCCACGAATGCCGGATGGGTAGACCCCCGCGTGCTTTACCCTCGTACTGTGCAGCTGACATCCGGTGCCTTACTTGCAACTTGGGAGAATTACTCCCCAGAGCCGCCTCAGGTATACTTCCCCATCTATAGATCGACAGATGAGGGTGCGACCTGGACTGAGATCAGTCGAGTACAAGACACAGTCAATGGATGGGGACTACGGTATCAGCCCTTCATATATCAGTTGCCAATTGCTATTGGAAGCTATCCGGCTGGCACGCTGCTTGTTGCGGGCAATAGTATCCCGACAGATCTTAGCCAGACTAAGATCGACATTTATGCGAGTAGCGACGAGGGTCTCACTTGGTCTTTTATCAGTAGTGTGGCCAGTGGCGGTGTAGCCCGGCCGGTGAATGGAGAGACGCCTGTCTGGGAACCCCTCCTTATGTGAGTCAACTCACATGTCGACTTTAGTGGCTTCTCGTTTACAAACTGATGTCTCACAGGGTCTACAACGACCAACTTGTCATTTATTATTCTGATCAGCGGGATACCAAATACGGTCAGAAGCTTGCTCACCAGACAACAACTGACCTAAAGTCGTGGGGCTCCCTCGTGGATGACGTCCATGATGATAGGAGCTACGGGGCACGGCCTGGCATGCCTGCTATCACGAAGCTCCCGAATGATGATTACATCTTCGCTTATGAGGTATTTTTCTTAAGGTCCATCTCATAAAGGCCTGCTACTAACGTGTATTCCCACGAAAGGCTTGCGGAACAGATGGATGCCGAGTTCATTATCGGCTGACAAGCGACCCTTTAGAAGTCATATCGGCACCCAGCCACCTCCTTAAATCTACGGCCGGCTCTACAACCACGAGTTCGCCGTTCGTGATCTGGTCTAGCATCGGCGGAGCCAACGGCACTATCATTCTCAGCGGAGGCAGCACCTCCAACATCTTTACCAACAAGAACCTCGGTGACCCGAATTCTTGGGTAGAGTACACTACGCCGCAGCCCAATGCTTACGCGCGAAGCATGGTGCTCTTCCAAGACGATGATAGCAAGATGCTGATCATCGGGGCCGGTCATCTTCCACCTAGTAACACGAATTATGTTAGCGTGAGCGTGATCGACTTGGTAACTACGATGAGCCTTTGAGGAAGATGCAGCGGCACTGTTTTTGATTATCTGTTCCCAGAATACTGAAGCGTATAGTCAAAGAATCGAGAGTCTTCATATAATTCGTATCATTTTCGAGTGATTTATAAGAGAGTCTCGCATATATATGGGAAGGGCATCGATCCGAGCCGACTCGCCTTAGCATAGAGGCTTCAATACAGTTCTCACATTCAAAATATTAAATGCCCAAAAGGGGGATATTCTGGAATATGCTGAATTGCAAGATCAAATGCTTGTACCTAGGAGAGATTGCTTATTGGAGGGTATAATATACCCAACATTTGGCAGCCTAGAATGAGCCGTCCCTTAAACTGAACTATGCTTTCGCAGAAGATGAACGAACAAAGAGATTATGTTGAATTCTCTAGAATGATCTTTATTTTGACCAAGACATACGAACTTCATTCTAATGGACTTTTGACAATCTACAATAGAGGGTCGTATGAAAGAACAGGAATATGAGGCGTGTAGGTTCAACAGGCTAAGAATATTTAGTGTTATAGACAACTCTAGAGTATTCTAGTAATATCATTCTTTCGAGAATATCTCACTTTATTTCCAATAATAGTAGCTCATAAGTATGGTTGAGTTGTCAATATAGTAGCCTGGCTTAGGTTGCCCCTTACCACAGCTAGCTGCCTGGTGACTTGTATTATGTAATTGTCACAACCTAGAGTGCAGTCATATCATAGAAACCGAATGTGCTCGAGGGAGCCTCATGTCAAAAATGATGCCTTAGGAATACAATGACTGGGAAACGGCTGCGATGCGCGTTTGGCTTAAAACAAGTCGCGTTCTCTTCCTCACAGGACCTGGATTCTTTTACTACTACCACCGGATCTACACCCATACTCTAGCCCACAACCCTTCTTAGCATCACATTTTGAACAACATCTAAATACCAGTGTAAGTTGAAATTTTTCATACTTTATCGCAGTCTATCATCTGAAATAGCCTTTACATGTTTCTTGGGGGCGAATCTCCTCATTACTAATACTTGCTTTCCTAGTCGGTAATTCAGAACCTCAAACTTGACTAAGGCCTACCATGGCTTCAGAAGAAGATGGAAGTCATTTGATTCCAGTATCAGAGCTTCAAAATTCGTCACCAGATCAACAACAGGCAACTCTGAACAAATACTTGTTACTTCAATATCTACAGAATCAACTTCCTCTCTACGACGCTCTTATCCCACAGCCCAGAGCACTATGCAATCCTCACTTCCCAACCGAGAGCCCCGACTCCGGGTCAAGTATGATCTCAAGACCTCTGAATACTCCTCAGCCAATAGTCCAGATGGGTCCAAATGGAGTTCTGGAACAAGTAACATGGCCTCCAAACCAGAGCAATTGCCCATCAGCTCATGACCAACCTGTCAACATCCCAGAGGAACAAAACACAAGCGTCTGGATCACCAATCTCCCACCAACATGCACATATGCCGAGCTCCTCCTCAGCGTGCGTCACGCAGGACACACTGGCAAGATCTTCGCCACAGTAATTCACCCGCCTCGAGGTAACCACGCGACGTCCGCGGCGAAAATCGTCTTCTTCGACGTTGAAGGCAAGACTAGACTGCTATCATACGCAGCATCAGGCGCATTCTCCGTGAGCGGATTTCTCCCCAACGTCATCCCCAACCGAAACCGCACGGCGGCCCGCTTGCCCAGCCCAGAATCCCGCGTTCTCTTCATCTCAGGCCCGGCAGAAGTGGTGAATTGGGACTTTCTCTGCGCGGAGTTCCAGAAACTCTGTTCTTTCGACCTCGAGTACATTAGACAACGTGTTGATAATAGTACCGGCAGGGTGACGATGGAATGGGCGTTCGCAAGCTATCGACGTCAGGCTGAGAGGGTGTATGAGGCCGTACGGCACGCGCGATATATGGAGATTCGTTGGGGACAGGATCCTTGCGATCTACTCGGTGCGCAAGGGCTTCTTTCCGGTGTCTAGGAAGGGATTGGGTGCTGCTTGGGCTACAATCTTCGATCGCTATTTGCTGATATTGTGTTACGTGGGTTTATCATGAGAGAGATGGTGTTAGGAGTTGAGATTATTGGGAATACCTAGTCAGATGTTGACAGCATCGAGAATACCGCACAACGCTAAATTAAATGGTAATGGGTTAGTTAATGTGAAAGTCATTACAGCAAATGCGTGAAACCAAAGGACAAGTGTCAAAAATTCAAGGTCATAAGAATTATGTATTGAGAGCATCTCATCGTTAAACCTAACCAGGACGCCAACAAGGTGCAAATGTAACTAGCATCTAAACAGCGCAAGTCGCTAGTCGTTCAAAGATCTCCATGACACGCCATTCCTCTAGTCCAGATTATTGAAACACTTCAACCAGCTAGACAAACCCGCTGCCGATCCTCACTTTTGAAATCGCGGAAAGCAAAACGAAATCCACGCCATGTTCACTCGCCACGTCCACGATAGCTGCCCATCTTCTCAATGGAGCTCATGATGCCGCTCCTGCTACCCGTTCCACTACCAGGGCGAGGGAGGCCACCAATCTTGCGTTCACTACCGGGGCCGCCAATCCTACTCTCAGTAGGTTTCTTCGCAGATGCTGGAGGCCGTAGCCCGGACCCGCCTCTCACGCTGCTTCGGAAGTCCTTCGGCGCTACAGATTGCGGCTTGGTAGCAGAGGGGGGAGGTTGCGGCGCTTCCGTCTGGACAAAGCTCTGCATTGACATCATTTCTTCAGCCAGCTGTACTAATTCGCCCTTCTCGACGCGCTCCTTCTCTAGTAACAGTCGAAGCTCCTGGTTATCAGACTTGACACTAGTGATGACGGCACTGAGCTTCTGGACCTCTGCATTGAGCTCTTTGATCTGCGTGGAATCTTTCACAGCTTGGGCTTTGCGCTCATCATCAATGATAGACTGGTTCGGGTCCACCTTGGTGATAGTGGCGTCCCGGCCGGCCCGGATCTTCTCGTTCTCGTCGATCAGTTCTTCAACCTTGGCTTCAAGCTCGTGGACTTTCTTAGACCACCTGTTCTCGTAGCTCTTCTTCAAGGCGGTGATCTTGCTCTCATGCTTACTCTTGTACAGTGCATGCAGTTCGCGGGACACCTTTTCCACGGCAATCTCGACCTCGCGTGAACCTGCGAGTTTGTTCTTCTCGGGCGACTTGTTGGCAGGATCTGACGGAGCATCCGGGCTAGTCTTACCAGCTCGCATAGCCGCCATCTTGCTTTCAGCCTCTTGCGCCATAATCTCAGCCGCTTCTCGGCGCTTCTCGCTCTCCTCAAACTTGGACTCGAGCTGATCGCGCTCGCGTTGACTGCGGACAATCTCTTCCTTTACCTTGCGCAATACAGATTCCATATCTCTACCTCGTTGCTCCCAGCTCTCTTGCTGTTCAACCAGAGACTCCTTAACGGCCTTGACTTCACGCAACTCCTCCATACACTCACCAACGCGCTTCTCAGCATCTGCGACGGCAGTCTTAAGGGACAGGGCCTCTGCCTCCTTGCCACTTAGAGATGCCTTGAGGCTGCTGATTTCAGACAAGAAGCCCGACTTGAGTGATTCCAACTCTCTTGGAGTGATAGTGGGGATACTGCGAGGTGTGGGCAGGGGAGGAATGTCAAAGTCAAGGAGATCTGTGTGTCGTTTCTTAGGTGTGACGGCAATAGTGTTCGCCGACGACTTTGCGGGCGAGCCTCTTCGGAGATTCGACATTTGCTCCGCATATCGGGAAGAGAAGCTTTGTATCTGCTCGGTGAAGTCGAGAAGATTAGTAGTATTTCCAGACTCACGCATCGCAGTACCGGGCCGGGGCGTTTGCTGGGACAACAAGTCTACGCGGTTGCGCGCTGTGGGCGTAGCGTCGACATTGGCAAATTTGGTAGGGGTATGACCGATCCGAGCGAACATGGTCAAGTTAGGCACGGCGGAGAAGGTGCTAAAGGTGCTGATCATGGTGTCGTCTGGGCCGGGTTGCTCGTCGTCGACAACGACGTGATCTCCTTCTTGGCCTATTGACATGAAAGTGTCGTTGACCCCGTCATCTGCATTTTCCATCATGGTATCGTCATCCTCGAATATGTCGATAGCGTGGGCAAGGCCCTTATTCTCGGCCAAGGCATCCTCGAGGGTTATTTCGCGGTGTTGTATCGTTGGCTTTTCGGGAGATACAGCGCTGTTTACTTTTACAGGGAACCGCTTGTCGGGGCTCCATTTCTTGGGGCTCTTAACCGCAGATGACCTTTGAGGCGATTGTGACTCGGGACTAGTAGTGTCTTGGGATGCGAGGATCTTGAGGGGAGACAGTCCGTTGCCAGATAAGATGCGGCTATGGCGAGCTTTACTCGGGGACACATTTTCTTGATCTTGACTCTTGACATCTTCCTCGCCATTCTGAGCAGGGAAGTGCGAAGGGTCAGACTTCGTGAGACGGCTGTCGACAGGATCAGAAGGACTGTCGGTATCGGCGCCGGCGCTGAAGAGGCGCGAGATAGTAGGTGTAGGATTTGACATGGCAGCAATGTTCAAGCTCGCGCTGTCGGTCGAAGATAGTGGTGTAGGCGTCGTCGCCATTCTGCCAAAGAGATGCAGAAGAGGACTGGTTCAATGAGGCAATTGGATAGATACACCCGATCTTCAGATTTTCAATCCATAAGGGCTAGGCCGATGTATTGTCAAAGCGAATGCAATTGAATTACTTGGACTGAATAAACTATGAACTTGAAATGGTTGATGAAGGCAATCCAAATAAACGGCAAAGTTGATGCTGGGCTCACTCGAGATCCACCTGTGCGCGTTGATCCGGCAACGGACTCGCCTAATTTCCGGATTGGGTTAGATGAGTACCTAGGTACCCAGCTCGCCAGGTCTGCCAGGTGGTGCTGTAGCTGCTGTACCCTGTAAATACCCACTGGAGGCCTGCTACAGCGCTAATTTACAGGGTTCCGTACAGGGCAAGCCTACCTAGGTACCCAGCGTTAGCTTCAGGGCCTTCGGTCCATCAGTTTTATCACCTCACCGCCATAGACATCTCTTCTCTGTTATTTGTTATTTTTCGTAGGTTGGCACAAGTCATTTTTCTCCCATCCGTGCAGTTCATGTCCTTACAGCTTTCACCTATGAGCAGCGCAGTGCAAAGATTAATGAGTCCAAGTACTCTACCTAGGTGCTATGCTACGTCATTCAGGTTAGCGCGTCTAACGTGCTGCGATCCTTGACAGATCTGAGATGCCTTATATCTTACAGACATAAATATTGCCAGAACGCAGGCAATAAAAAAGCAAAGCGCCTGTTTTCTTCGTCAAATCATATAGACCTATAAGTATACTGCTGCTTATCTTGTCCGAGAACTAACTGAATTGTCACTTCTGCTGCCTCTCGTACAACAACCGACGGGAATCATGGTTATAGTTACAGTCAAAGCCTTGAGAGAGATACGTGAACCACAACAAGGTGGCATGAGAGAAGCTGTATCCGAGTAAGGAGCCGTAGACCTGAAGGAACACGTTTTTACAGATCGTTCAGCCCCTTCTCCACCTGCTCGGTACCTGGGCGAATTGGAGTCAAAGTCGAGTCTACCAATTAAGTGCGTAGATGGGCTATCAAGGCGGCAAACGAGACCATGTGGCTTCGAGCCAGGCAACTAGGTCGCAATGTTAACTTTGCAAGGCATACAGAGTCAGCCGAGGCGAAGCTTCAGCTCTGCTCTTCCCTGCTATAAGTCTGACATCTTCCCATGTCCCATGCGCCAGGATTAGTCAATTGCAATATAAACCAAATGTATAACGCCCTGTACCTGCAGCCCACAGCTCAGCCATGGCTGACCCTTTGAGCATCGCGGCATCAGTTGCTGGTCTCATCGCCCTATCGGGGAGCATTTATAAAATAGTCGGGGACTTCGTAGAGCGTGCTGCACACCCGCCTCAATCCGCGCATGCCCTCCTCCTCAGCGTTTCGGAGATGCGAATGGTTCTCAAGTCGGTATCAGATCTGATTGACGACTTTCTGAAATACCCACCAAAGCGCCGCGCTCTCGTCCGACTAGACCATTTAATCATTTGCCTGACGCAGGCCGTCCTTTCTTTCTCGGAGCTAGAAAAGTTTGTCAATCCATGGGCTACAAGGACGCAAAGATCGCTGTGGCAGCGATGGAAGTTAGCTAGCCAAGATGAAAGAATATCTAGGTTCAACACGAGACTCCAGGAAAATAAACTCTCCATAAGCTTAGTACTGAACATTCTGCAATGGTGAGTATATTTTATGGCTCTATCCCACCGCTTCTAGTCGATAGTAAGCAGAGCGCTAAGCCGCTGGAAAGCGAGTCTGATACAGATGCTCAGCAATACCAACTCTCGTTGCACGGGATGATGGAAAGAGTCATAAATGAAAACAGAGAATTACGCACCCGGGTGGATCATCTGGGCTCATTTCTTATGGGTTCTGCGCCTTCGATAATAACTTCCGTGCCCTCGATAGCCACCACTTTCGGGCGCCCAGAATCCCCATCCAGTATGAAGTCAACTACAAGAGTAATCAGATTAGACGATGACGGTGCATCAACCATTTCGGAGTCCAAAACTATCCTCTACCCCCCAGATCCTTATAGTGCATCCTTACCCATCCCAGTAAGCTCTGCTCTTGGATTACCAGCCTCCCTTTACGAACCCAGCTTCCTTATGCCATTTGAACATGAGCTTGCGCAGTCATGGGTCTACGCACGAGTGAAACGTACCGAGTGCGACATCTCGTTTACAACTCAACAAGTCAGCGGACTTTGGAGTATGTTATCCGGGTTGAGTTTAGGTCAAATCTCCAATATTTCTGTCATCGCTCTTCCGATAACCCTTAACGATGTATCCAACAGCATTTGGTATAAAGAATCTACTCGACCAAATCTGGCCCTCATTGAACCACATCAATTAGATGCTGCCAAGGATAGCGCATACAAAGATAAGTTCCACAACATTGCCGTGTTAGGAGAGTGCGAAGTCGGCAAGTCTACACTTTTAACAACGGTTCGTCTCAGTTGCTCTCAGAAATTGATGAGAATCTCAGGTTTTGACTCCCTAATGTCTAATAGCTCTGTTATGGTGACCCGGAACAAACGGAGAAGTATTCTACACTCGGACTCGATTATTATACCTCTATTTGTGTTTACGGCAAGGAACGTCAACTCCGGATTACCGACACACCAGGGTTAGGGGCAAGCGACTACGCAATCATGGTGGACGAGGCGATCAGATATGCGGAAGGATTTGTTCTCATATATTCCGTTACCGATCGAGACTCGTTCCAACGAATTCAGACACTCTATGACACGATCATAAGGATAAAGCAGCTGCCGCCAGATCAGCGGCCACCTGTCGTCATTGTTGCAAACAAAGTCGACCTCGAAGAATCAAACGTGGTTCCCCCCGAATCGGCATTCTCATTAGCTGAAGAACTTGATTGCGCCCTCTTCGAGTGTTCCGTTAAACACGATGTCACTATAGCTTCTCCATTTATAGCGCTTGTAAAATTCATGTTAAATGAAACTCCCTGAGGAGGAGGCTATGTTACACTTGATTGAACATCTTATTGAATGTCATGAGAGTAAATGAATTATCAATCTTAATGCCCCAATTTTAAAGAGCGAATAAGTACGAATAAAAAACAAATCAGAGACGAACACCTCCAGGTTTGCAGGGGATACCTACCCTTAGTAGATGGGTATTCTCAAGCGTAGAGTTTCTTCGAACTCTTATGATTGATATAGGATCATGTATGGAGGAGGAAATTCACAACTTGGGTGATATGCTTAGCTGTGCGATGCCGCAAAGCACGATCATCTAAAAGATACCGGCAGAAAAGGGGTAACAGAAACAGGCCTTACAACATCTAAATCATTCCGAAACCTGTAAGACCCTCTTCCTTCATCCATGAATATACCCGCCCAGCCGCTGTAGAAACTCTCTTGGCCCCCTTCCCTTCTGTCACCTCCAACATTTCCTCTATCCACAAGAAAATCGCATGTACCAGAAATTCGACGTTCGCTTCAGTATTATTAGCGTGAAAAATAATTCTAAGTCTCCCCTGACCTACTGGCACCACGGGATGCTCCACAGGGAAGACGCAAAGAGATTGTGATAGAAGGTGGAAGAAGAGCCAGTACGTGTAGTTTTGGTGTGTTGACACAGTGATTATATGAGTTTGGAAAGGGCGATCTTCCCAGCCCCTGGCTAAGGGGACCGACAGCAGCTCCCTTTCCCTAGCTAAAGGCCACAGCGGGTGATTTTCGAGAGTCTCGAAAAAAAGTACACATAGTCTTTGAATGTGGTCTTGCGCCTGTAGAATAGTGTAAGCTTAACTATGTCCTCATCTCTGAAAAGGTACATGTAAGGGGTCGTATTACCTCGCTCATGCAACCGCTCTTGAGTAGCGTATACCCAGATTTAATTGCCGCCACAAATGGAAATGATGGTGAAGTGGTGTACATCACTGAGCGCGAGAAGTTGATTATTGTGCTCTTGACCGTTTGGTTTCCAAGAATAATAGCTGCAGAAAATCAGCTACTGACCCCTAGCTCAGACTCACATCTCACGATGATTATGTCATAGCTGGCAATACCATCTGGAGATTGCCATGAGGAATAGGAAGATATGGTGAGTTCTAATGAGTAGTAACGTACCTCCAGTCGCACCGAGAGCTTTCCCGAACGAGTGAACCACTACCGCGATGTCCTTTTGGAGCCCAAGCTTACATACCAAACCTGAACCCATAGGACCAATCACCCCGACGCTGTGTGCTTCGTCGACGATGAACTGGATATTTCCGTCGGGGAGTACTTCTCTCGCTACCTCTAGGAGTTCTTCTAGCGGACACACATCCCCATCCATACTATATATGGATTCCACTGCAACAATTACGGATCGTTTACCCTGGCGCACAAGAGACTGCGAATCTAGAATTTCTAGAAGCGTAGATCGGAAGCTCTCGATGTCACTATGGGGGAATTCGACGTGGCTCATCGCCAGGCTTTGCTTTATCCCCTCGTGTGTGCTAGCGTGAACTAGGGAATCATAAAGGATGACATCCCCCGGACGTGGAATTGAAGTCCATACAGCTATGTTGGCTTCGTATGCCGAGCCTACAATGAGTCCCGTTTGCGCACCGTGGAAATCAGCGATTTCCTGCTCAGTCTGTTCAAGGTAAGTATGATTTCCATCCATGAGCCGTACGCCACTTGATCCTATGCTGAAATCAGGGTGTCGATCAAATTCTTTGAGAAACTCGGCTCGTCGGTCCGGGCTTTTGCCCAACGAGAGGATATCTCCAGAGCAGAAGTCAACTGCATCGCTATTCTGCCAGTTGTTTTGTACAACTGAGTAGAAGCTATGGGACGCCCTACGGATATCTAGAGCATCTTCTAAGTTCTGGTAAAAGGTTGGAAGGGTGTTAGTCGAGTTGGGACGCACACGGTTTCCCTGGATGCGCGTAATGATAGTGCCATTGTGGGAAAGCAACGAGTCAGAGTGAGAAGTGCCTTCCATGTCTTGCAAATGAAACGACCTTAGACTTTAGTAAACTTCTCTATGTCCGTCTATTTCAATCTTCATGAGTAAAGCATCAACATATAAGTTAGCTTGTGTTGTGCACTTCATAGGCACACACCCCCTTGAAGCTAATTACATCTCCGACAGTCTCTGCTTATGGACAGTGCATCTGCCAAAGTATTTTCACGTTGTTACTGGTGAGACCGACAAGATGGGGTCTAGCTGATGCAGATCTATCTGGCACGCGCCTCACTTATGCTTCAGTCTTACCGCATATGATGACCTTGGCATCGCTAAATACGTTGCGGAATGGGCAGTGAGAGTCGGCACTCGGCCCCGCGCCTCTGGCCCCCACTGGAAAATGCCTTTGCATATGCAGTAATACCAAGAAAAGCAGCGCAATCTCAAATACCGTCGCTGTCATTGTGGATATCACAGGATGAGTGGCTTTAAGCGGGTGTGACATCCTCATGACAGGTTACACGAAAGAGGGGTTCCGTCCGCTTTGATTTTCAAAGTCATTCTGTCAATAAGGAAGTGTTTAATAGTGAGTTGTGACTAACATTGGCGCGTGTCGCGTCGTACTGCGCGTATGATGACCAATCACCTTGTCTACTGGATACGGTCTGACGTGCACTGGCAAGAGCATAGGTATGTTCAATTGAGAATCAAACTGTAATAATTATTCAGAGTGTATAGGTTCCTCAGATTCGCCCCCCTGACTGTTTAGCAAGTCAGACGGCCCCCTCCTACTATTCTAATACTTGCGTAGATGTCAAGCTTTGATTCGTCTTATCTGCCTTGGCATTTTTCCCGTCCGTCACTTCTATACGCACTTCTCTAGTAATAGAGTTCGGCGGCGGATTCCCTTGTTGAGCTGAAGTGCCCACTGGTGCTAGATCGTAGGTGTCGAGATCGCTGATCTCCCACAAGCCACGTCGTTTCTTCGACACTGACCTCCCCCATGTTCGTAAGTAGCCAGGCGAGTCACCACTGTTGCGCATGCGACTCCTTGTCCACGATTGGAGTAGTGATACAACAGAATCCGAAAAGGGCAGGCTTTTAACGACTCGAGGAACCGCCGGCGTACCAATGATAAGGAAACCAGCTGTCATTTCCCCGATGCCCCAAAGCCCGACTTCTGTGATATAGTAGAAGGCATCTGATGACTCTAAGATCTTCAGCAAATCGACTAACCGAGCTATGCCGGCGGCAATGGCACTAGTTGCCCAAGAAGCGTTAGTATGTAAAGCATACGGTGACGGACTCAATGGTGACGAGCTCACAAGATTCCAATGCCAAAGATGAAAGAAACACCGACTTTCTTCGCTCGTGTCATGTTCAACTTCCAAACAACAAACTGAGGCACGGCCAAGATGGCGAGGTCCGAAACAAGGTTAATGACGGCAGACACGAAGTTGTTGGCGTCGATATCGATGGGACATACACCTCCAACGAACAAGGGGTCCCAAATCTTCTGTCGGGGTGTACATCGGAAGATTTCGAGGAAGGTGCCCGACACATAGTACACAACATTACTCCAGATGAGGACGTGAATGGACCAGAAGATGGCGTTACGTTGACCGGGCAACAAGAATATACGGAGCCAATCCATCAGGATAGCAAGCTTTAAGAACAAGATAGATAATCCATAGTATATCGAAGCGAGATGGGTTTCCTACTCGAATGATGAGCTTCAAGGCAATTGCCAGATGTTGAGCGTTTAAGCGTATGCTTACATAAAGCCAATGTTTAAGGGTCTTTAACTGAATATTCCACTGGTGCACCTGGACGCCAGGGAATATCGAAGTGTCATAGATCGTTTGAATGTAAGCAACGAAGAGACCCTGCACCATTTGGTGTTAACATATCAGTCATAGCTGTTCAACTACCCTTAGTTAGTGAACACTCACAAGAGCGATGACTAGAAACGCATCTTCGAGATGAAATTTTCGAAGAGTGTACCGGGAGCTCAAGCGCAACAGAACAGCAAGGGTGGAGAGAACAGCCCCTGTGATGATGGTACCGTACCCGAGTGAGTGACTTCCGCCCGGGTTCATGAAGTCCGATGTAAGTCCCGGCGGCGGATCAAGAGCAGCGCCTTCAAGGAGTTCCTCCATGCTTGGCCCTTGCTCCTCTGCTATCAGTAGCGACAACATTGGAAAGGATTAATGGGGGCGTGATAGAGGGCAGTGTATACCGTCAAGTCTGCCTGGCGGAACAAAGCTTGACGGGAAAATTCATGACATGAACTGGGAATTCATGGGGCGGCGCATAAGCAGCGATTAGCAGCACATTAAGACAATGTACGAAGTAAGGACTGTTACGGAAGGATCCGTGGCATTGGGGTAACCGGTTTCCGCTGATGGGCCCCGTCTTTGGCGCTGACGGCGCGACTAGGGTTGAGGTGCATGCAATCGTGAGGGCGGCGCTGGACACCAAGGAGCCTGCAAAGCAACGTCGGTGATGATGGGCGTGGTCCTTTGGTGCGGTTGCGACGTACATTGCCGTTGCATAATTCAATGTATGCTGGTTGGTTTAGTAGGTAACACCCAACGAATCCTCGCCCGCAACCCACCCCCAGCCTATTTCTTCATGAATAGAAAATGCCGCCCTCAGCCCCAGCCTACCGCGAATGATCTACCTGTCTATGCATATACCTTTCCCTTCGTGATCATCCCTCCTTGGCAACCTACCAACATCGTAACCCGTGTATGTCGGCCGCCTTGGCTACTGGTTTTCGGACCGAGTATAATCCTGCTAGGATTCCGACGTATCCTCTGTAACCCTCATTGCGTTATGTACAGACTTTTGCTTCAAAAGACGATGCACTGGCCTCTTTTCCCGACGGCGGAAAGACTGTTAGCATGTTGGTGACCCTTGACGGTGGTTGAGCCAAGCCTTCTGGCCAATCATTGTCAGGAGATGTGCTTGGCAAGTACCACTACATTCCAGTCATGTGTGATAGGAGTAACAGTGGTAATAGTACTTTGGTCTATGTGACAGTGCACTTTTAATGATCTGTCCGCTAATTCTTCTTCATCGCCTGCGGCGGAATCGACCCCATTCCCTTCAAGACAATAAAGTTCACCTCCCTCGATTCTCCTATCCATTATCGGGTCGCTAACCAATCCTCCAGAAGCTTGACTCCGATCTATCCCTCTCCCATCTTCCCACAACCTCGACCTGTCTGCAAAATGGCCGAGCAGGTCGCTACAGTGGTGTCGGAGAAGGACCCGCCACTCAAGCTTCTTCGAAAACTTGGCGGCAAGTTAGTCATACCCTTTCTTTGTTTGATTGCCCGGCAGCTAAAGCTAACGTTGCGTTTTACAGTGAAGCTTATCAGCTGGCCATGTACACCCTGGACCAATACCGTGGCACCTCAGTGTCCTGTCGTTATGCAATACCATCTCATCTTGTTGGGTTAGATGCGCGCTCGGAACTCATGCAAACAGTGGAAGTCGCAATCATTGATGTCGTTCTTAAACACGCCGTTTTGCATGTCGGCATTCACAAAGCCGAGTCTTCAAAACCTACATGGGTTCAGCTGAAAAGCATTGATTTGCGTAATCACATTCAATGGCGCTTTGTCGATGATCCAGCCAAGTTCGAAGAGACGTTGCGGGAGCTAACTGAAGTCCAACTTGACACTCCATTTTCCGACCTGGAGGTGAGGCCAGGATGGAGGATTATCATTCTGCACCAATCCGGCTCGGACATTCTCGAAATCCTTTTTAATTGGAATCATCCACACTGCGATGGAATGAGCGGGAAAATATTCCAAAGGCATCTGTTCCAGAGCCTCAACTCCCCGGAGGCAGCCACGACAGCTCAGGGGTTCGAGTCACGTGTCATTCGACTCCCCGAGTCAACACCAAAGCTCGCACCGCCAATTGATCATATTATACCACTACCCCTTGAGCTTAAATGGACGCTGAACACTATATGGGAAGAGAACAAGCCCAAATTGCTCTGCAGGAGTCCTTATCAGGCGGACTGGGCTCCTATTATTACCTCACCTTACAAAACTCAGTTTCGTATCTTTACTATCGATAATACTAAACTTGACAATTTGTTGCTGGCCTGCCGAGCGCACCATACGACACTCACCGGCCTCTTCCACGGACTCACACTGGTCTCTATTGTATCACGCTTAGGCAAGGAGACGACTACTACTGCTTTTCGGGGGGTGACGACGGTCGACCTAAGACGATTCTTGCCCCGTAACCCCTCCAAGTTCCCATGGCTTGATCCACATGAGACCCTAGGAAACTATGTAACACAACTGAATCATGAGTTTGATCCCCAGTTTGTCTCTCAAACTCGCTCTGCGCTTCTCGAGAGAGATGTGGCTGATCAGGATCTCTCCACTGAGATTGCGGACCTCGTGTGGTCTGCAGCAGCCAAAGTACGGGGAGAAATCGTAAAAAAATTAGAAACAGGTGTCAAAAACGACATCGTTGGTACCCTGAAGTTTGTTCCCGACTGGAAGGCTCAGATGAAACAAGCAGCCAAACGCCCGCGACCGGCTTCTTGGATGATCACTGGTCTTGGTACATTACCTGCGCGGGCTGACACCGCAGTCGAACCCAATGTCTGGTCCCTCCGTAGGGCACAATTTGCCTTAAGCGCGGAGACTACCGCCGCCGCCATAATGATCTCGCCCATGAGTGTGACAGGTGAATGCCTCACAGTGGGAGGAAGTTGGCAGGATTGCATTTTCGATGTGACTTTAGGGGAAGGCATCATGAGTGATTTAGAGCGGTGGTTACACCAGCTAGGTAGTTAAGGAATCTCAAAGCGACGTGGTCCTACATGCAGCTAGGAGATTGACATGCATAAGAGACGGGAAAACTCTCGGGGGCGGCAAACTACTATATCTATAATAATGTAGCTAATACATAGATTGGCGTGATTCTTCTATTTCAAGAGGCAAGCTAGATACCACGATATCCATGCATGGCACTTGCTACGTGATTGAGAACCTACGCAGATACGTACAACAATGAGCTGACGGCTAAACCATCCCTAATAGAGCAAGTGTGTTCGAGGGACTCCTATACAGGCAGGTACTTGGAGTGTTTCCGTGAAGCCAAGCGATTATAGACAAATCAGACATGGATATTCCTACCCCACCCTTGCTTCTGCTGACATTGGCATTCTGGGTTACCATCATTAGTTGGTACTACGTACTTGGCCGTCGTATAACGGTAAGCTGTTCTACGCCTCCTTTATGCTTCGCCTCGACCTCCTCAATCTCGACGCCCAAGGTCCTTCTGCTGACCTGAGCCGAGCCATCGGAATGAGGGCGGTCTTGAGGTTAGCCCCGGACTCTATACCACAAGTATTATAGATAGTTTTCCTGCAGAAAATAGCGGGGTATGGTGGGTGTGTGGCTTAATCTTATGGCTTGCGAGGGCGTCCTGTCACTAGGTCTCACGGCCAGCTACATACTTAGAAACACAAAGCAGTATGACATTCAAGGATGCAGCTGAGTAGATCAAGTCTGAATCTGTGCCCAAATACCTGATGTGAGACCCGGCGAGGCGGTGAGAAAAAAACTGGCACTACCTCCACCCTCTAGCTGGTTGAATAGGTGGTGTTTTGGGGGGAGGGTAGTGCCAGTTTTTTTTGCTCATTACCTCGCCTGGCTCCACTGGTCTCGGCTCCATGGCTGTTGACATGTATGGAACTTATCGAGAGTCCTAGTCGTCATGGTTAATGCAGGTCTATGCAAGTCAATGTTCGACTGTCTTATTTACTCGGCACTTGCCTACCTACCAAGTAGATAAAATTAGCCGTGGCTTCTAAGGCCGAGACAGAGAGTCTCTGCTAGGTATTATGCAAGTTGTTACAAACACCCACGAAGCATGGGGGCGAAAGAAGCGGCCCGCTTCTTGTAGTGTTAATCGCAACTTATACACCTCGACTGGCAACGAGGTAGCAGCTGGATTTCGGTTCCTTCAACAACTGAGGCAATCGGTATTGGTGAGTTCCGCTTGTCGGCTGTGTCAGCTCAAGGCAGCAATGTCCTCAACCAACAAGATGAAAACGACGTTGATGGAAACCTGTCATGGCTTTGAGTTACACTTGGCAATGATGATCTGTCCCCGCCTTTTCTAGCAGCCAACGCTAGCTAGCTACAGGGGAGTCTTCCTCAGCTGAAACGACATATTAGACGTTGTCACATCAAGGTCACTTCAGATAGGCGCCTAATATGTAGGTTGCGCGCCCTATCAAACACTGGCACACATAGAGTGTGGGCAAAAGGATCTCCGGTCTACCTATCACTAGGTATAACACTACCACCCACCCAGTGGAAATTCTATTGCGGATGAACAGTCATATGTATGATAGGGGTGTGAACCTAAAGATCGGCGAATTGCACAACAATTTTAGTGTCATAGGTCTTACGACATAATAGCCACGGATTTAGGAACACCTGCGGCTCTTGGCCACGCATCACTATATCCTCTGATGTTCTTACCAGGCTGAATAAGAGTTATGAGTTAGTCATGTACACACTTCGTATCTAACTCACCCTCATATATACCGTGCCTGCGACATCGTGTACGTATAATACTATTTAAAGCACTCAATCAAGTTTATCGCTGGTTATAAACAGCTCGCTCCCTCATATTTGTTAGAGTTCCTAAGATATCCTATGTCCCTCTCCTGATTTCAGAAATCATTGTTCTAGGTGTCCACTAAGAGACCTACCATCGCTTGACGTACTTCAGAAAATGGAACCGGTTGCAGTAGTTGGGCTCTCTTTCAGGCTTCCACAAGGGGCTGAAGATGAGTCAAGTCTTTGGGAAATGCTTCAGAGCCGCAGAAATGTCATGACTCCCTGGCCGGAATCAAGAGCAAATATTGATGCTTTCTATAACCAAGACTCCAATAGACTCAACGTGGTACGATTCATCTTATGATTGAAGGTCTCACAGTCTAAATCCGCTAATGTATGATTTAGCTGTCTTCGAGAGGGGCGCACTTTTTACGGGATGATCCAACTGCATTTGACGCCCCTTTCTTCTCCATCACGGCTAAAGGCAAGACCTGCGAAGTATATTCTGTCTCTCAGCTCTCCACTAACTGATGAGAAACAGAAGCAGCTTCTATGGACCCTCAACAGCGCTGGCTACTAGAAACATCCTATCGAGCGCTGGAAAATGGTATGAACCCCTCAATCATGAGTCTTTGAAGAACTCTGCTCATATCTCATCGCTTACGACGCGCAGCTGGTATACCTGTGGAAAGTGTCGCTGGAACTGACACAGCTGTGTTCTCTTCGTCCATGGCCGAAGACTTTATGAGAATAGTTGCCAAAGATCCAGACCAGGCACCCATGAACACCGCTACGGGAACTACACCGTGCATACTAGCCAATCGACTGAGCTGGTACTTTGACTTGACAGGACCAAGTATTCAAGTTAATACGGCCTGCTCTTCAAGCATGATTGCAATGGACCTTGCTTGTCGCAGTGTGCAAAGTGGGCAGTGTTCAATGGTAAGAGATCTCTTCACTAGCTCTGAGCAATCATCTAGTCTATAGTTTTGGATGTCAAGACAATTCTGACATACCAATTTTGAAAAGGCACTAGCTACGGGCTCCAATGTACTTTTGAGCCCTGAAACGTCCATCTACTTGTCAAATATGAATTTTCTCTCAAAGGATAGCCTCTGCTATAGTTTCGATCAACGGGCAAATGGCTACGCGAGGGGCGAAGGAGTAGTTGTTCTTGTTCTGAAGAGACTCTCCGATGCAATACGAGCAGGTGACTCTATTCGTGCAGTAATTCGAGCAACTGGCACGAATCAAGATGGACATACTCCAGGAATCACGCAACCCAGCTTCAATGCCCAAGAAAAGTTGATTCGGCAGGTATATGCAAGCTGCAATCTGGGCTTTGATCTGACGCGATATGTTGAGGCTCATGGTATGCTAAACTTCGGTATTCTCACAGAAAAGTAACACTCATGTCTAACACTTTAAAAGGTACCGGTACGCAGATTGGCGACATAACAGAAACCAAGGCCCTGGGTCGTGTTTTCAAGAAGAGCCGATCAGTGAAGGAGCCCCTGTATATGTAAGTGGTCAATCTCACAAAGTAAATAGACTATGCTGACTTTCTTAGTGGCTCTATAAAATCGAATATAGGTCATTTAGAGGGATGTAGCGGGCTTGCTGGTATCATCAAGTGCATTATGATTCTAGAAAGAGGAATTATTCCGCCCACTGCGTTACTAGAGGTTGTGAACCCCAAGATTAATGCCGAATCATACAATATACAGGTCAGTGAAAGACAGCTATAATTAGTTGTGCGTTATGATCATTGACATTCCATTAGATTCCAAAATCCAACGTACAGTGGCCGAGCAATGGCTTACGCCGAGTTTCCATCAACTCTTTCGGCCTTGGAGGCTCTAATGGACACATTATCATGGATGATGCGTTCCATACACTTGAGCTGTTAAACAGGAATGCGAGTTCGAAAACTCTTTGCTCATCACTTCGCGCCTCAGTACTAGCTACAGGGGACAATGGGGAGATGAACGGGCACCATCCGGATTCCTACTCACCGTCCCACCGCAAGAGACCTTCAAGTCTACTCTCCAACAATGTAGATCACATGAACAAAACTGAAGTATTTGAAATTGAGGAAACACCTTGCCAAGTATCAGCTAATTCCAACGGTCGCTGCTCGACGTTACGTCGTGGCGATTTGGACCCAACCAGTCCAAGCTCCGCTGCTGACCCGACGACAGATGCTTCCATGAAAGTAACAACAGAAGTGAAAGAAACTATTCTTAAGTACCAGCTGTTGGTCTGGTCAGCGAGGGATGAAGACGCTTTGAAGCGCGTTCATCAACAATATGAGGAGTTCTACAATTCGCAATTGCGTGGTTCGGCTTCCTGCATTAGTCAATTGGCATATACTCTTGCTGAGCGCCGGAGTCGTATGGCCTGGCGGTCATACGCTATAGTTAGTACCGATGATTCATCGGGTTCTCTGAGCCTTCACACTTTGAGAGGTGTGCGTTCATCACGAAACACGGGCTTAGCTTTTATCTTCACCGGCCAGGGTGCGCAATATGCAAAGATGGGTATAGACTTGTGTTGTTATCCTACCTTCCGGGCGAAATTGGAAGAAGCAAGCGATGTCTTTCAAGTCCTCGGCGCGGAATGGTCATTGTGTGGTAAGTGACTCGTTTTCTTTATATGTGGTCGCTATGTACTGACACATCGAAAACTAGATGTGCTTCAAAGCGGGACAAGTATTGACGCGCCTCAGTTGAGCCAACCAATCTGTACTGCGCTTCAAATTGCCCTGATCGAGCTGCTAAAGACATTCAATATTCGCCCACAGGTTGTTATCGGTCACTCGTCCGGAGAAATAGCAGCCGCGTACGCATCTGGCGCCCTCTCCTTTGAATCTGCCTGTAGGGTTGCCTTTTTCAGGGGTCAGTTAGCCGAAAGACTTATCAGGTCTACTTCGAAGCCCGGGGCTATGATGTCGGTCAACATTCATGAAACTGAAGTGCAGTCTTATTTGGCTCGAGCCCAGGTAAACGGGGAGATAGGCATTGCTTGTGTTAACAGCCCATTCAATGTGACACTTTCTGGAGATGAGAGGGCTATTGACACTCTTAAGGGATACTTAGACAAGGAAAGCATATTTGCGCAAAAGCTTAATACAGGTGTCGCATATCACTCACCTGCTATGAGTCCCATCGCAGGGGATTACCTAAGTTGCCTGGGGAACCTTACCCCAGGAGAGTCACCTCGCGAGGTTACTTTGATGGTATCATCTGTGACCGGCTTGAGAGTTAATGTCAATTCTCTATGTCAGCCGCAGTACTGGGTTAACAACCTGGTTTCCCCTGTTCGATTTGTCGACGCGCTACAATATGCCGTACTCGCCGCACCTCGGGCTGACGGAATGAAGCCAATATCACATTTTGTTGAGATCGGTCCCCATTCTGCACTTCAACGCTCCATCAAAGATACTACAGCTCAAACCACCGGTGGTAGAGACTTCAAATATCTTTCTATTCTACGAAGGCGAGTCTTGCCTTTGGAAAGCGTCCTGGGCTCAGTGGGTCAGCTGTTTACAGATGGGTACCCCGTATCCATCCAGGCTACGAATTGTCCAATGCCTCAGCGAGCTGGGCTACAGCCTGTTGCAAACGCGCCAGAGTATCCGTTCGATCACTCCCAGTTATATTGGCATGAATCACGGCTGAGCCGTAATTGGAGGTTGCGTGGCCAGGTTCCGCCAAGTCTCCTTGGCTCGCGTGTCACCGACTGGAATCCGCTAGAACCACGCTGGCGGAAGAGCTTAAGTATTGATGAATATCCCTGGCTTTTGGATCATAAGATCGGCGAGGAAATCTTCTTTCCCGCTACTGGAATGCTGATGATAGCCGTTGAAGCCGTGAGCCAGTCCTTACGATCAAGGGCTGGTTTCAACGCGGCAATTGACGGATATCGTGTCAAGGAAGCAACATTCATGAATCCCATCACTCTCCGAGAGGACCTGAACGTTGAAGCTATAACACAATGTCGAACTCTCCAACGGGCACATGAGAAAACATCATCGAATTTCGAAGTTCAAATATTCATATCTTCCGCTGAATCCTCCGACTGGACAGAATGCTTCAAATCAGTAATCCATGCTGAGCTGACCGCGACCTCGGGACAAGGAGACGACGGCTATGAAGCCCGTGCTACAGCGGATAAGTTCTTTCGTGAACACGAACATGCGAAATTGATTTCTACGAGTCGCATCGATAAAAGCAAATTCTACTCGTTCATGGACGATCAAGGCCTGAGATATGGCCCATCGTTCTCCTTAGCAACGGATATCGCATGGGACAACCGGGACACATGCACAGCGCATATTGATACCTCAGGGGTTGGCCTATTTCAAGGGGTTGTCCATCCTGGTGTTCTCGACGCCTGCTTTCAGATCTCTGCAACGGCGCCGACTCAAGGCATTTCAAAGCCGCTATCAACAATGGTTCCTCACATTATAAAGGATGCATGGATCTCAGCGAATAGGTGGCCAAGAAAGGGCCAGCTCGGAGTGCATTCTGTGTCACAATTGAAACCGAACGAAACCGGCATCAATTGCTCCATAACCGCAGTCGCTGATGATGGGTCGCTGCTCTGTCACGTCCAGCGTCTTGAATTGTTGTCTATTGCGGGAAATACTGTTGATGACAAAAGACAAACGAGGATACACGCCATCAATAGGCGGCCGCAACTATCCCTTATCACCGTGGATCAACTGCAGAACTATTGCAAGGTTCATGAATTCTCAAGTGATGAGGGTGAGCTTGCGAGCGATTATATGAAGCTGAAAATTGCCCTTTATGCCACTATATGGCGCGACATAGATGAGCTACGAAAAACAGATTGGTCGACTGCGCCAATAGGCATGAAACATTATGTCTCTTGGATGGAGATGCAGCTTCAAGAGGCGTCTCTTTCACAAGAGAATCTAGCAACCCTAGATTCAGACAATCAGCTGCAAGAACTTGTAGATAAAAGGCCTTCGTGGAAGCTGTTCATTGAGGTTAGTCGAAGTCTCACTCATCTCGTCCGGGGAGAAGTCAACAGCGATGACATAAACATTCCACAACTTGTCCAGAACTTTTATGAGGCTGCGTTCGACGATACGTGGCAGAAAAAGCTCGCCTCTTACCTACGACTCACAGCACACCAAATTCCAGACCAAAAGGTCCTAGAGCTTGGCTTTGGTCCATGTAACATGACTGAGCACGTACTTTCTATATTTCAAGAAGTCGAGAATGAGACGGGGGGTATTGCTTTCTCTCAATATACTTACAACGACGTGTTTCTTTCAACACAAGCCCCTGAATTTCTTGCGCGATTTGCGCAGTTCAAAGATCGCTTCCAATTTCACTCACTCGGCAAAAAAGGTCAGGATATTACTGGAACTTGCGGATCGAAGGAGTATGATTTAATTATTGTCAACAATGTTGGAAGTATCTCGAATGGCCCTAGAGCTTTGATCCAAATGCTTGCAAACGCTCTCAAGCCCGGAGGCCATCTAATTCTGCGAGAAGTAGTCGAGCCCGGGAGCATTCCTATGAACTTCGGTCTTGGGATCTTGCCAAACTGGTGGTCCGACGATAATGAGAAGTCCTTCTTGTCACATCCTCGCAGTCTCATTTTCTCTGAGCCGGAATGGGATGAAATTCTCAGAGAGAATGGATTCACAGGGAACAACATGGTTATCAGAGACCGCAAACGTGCCGACACTCATCAGGCCAGTATTATAATCTCAGCTCGTGTTGAACAAGATAGTGAAACACTTTCTGCCACGAAAAGGAAGATGTTACTTGTTGTCAATGATAGTGATAACGAAACGCAGAGGAACATAGCATCCAATCTAGCAGACGGCGTCGCAGAGAATGAAACGACAATATTCACTATCTCGCAGCTTGCGGAGGCAGCAATAGGGGCTGAAGACATAGTCATTTGGCTCGCCGATATAGGCAACCCAGTCCTTTCTGATGTGACACCATCCTTGTTTCGGTTGATTCAGGACTGGATGTTACGATCTAATAAGATCTTGTGGGTAACTGGGGTGGCGAAGGTGGAGTCCGAGGCGGTCGATTCCCTCTCGAAGCCTTATCATGGGTTGAAAGATGGGTTTCTGCGATCCCTCCGTGCGGAGCAGGTCAACAAGCAAATTGTTTCGCTCACCCTAGAAGATACGTCACCCCATGCAATTGCCAGAAACGTCGAGCACATATCCACTATCTTCAACAAAGCCTTTATGCTTCAGCTGCCTGAGCTTGAGTACATAATTCAGGATGGAATAATCTCATCCGGAAGACTAGTTGAAGTGGCTGGCGTTCAGAATATGCTCCAAGATTCTCTTCGTCCTCAAATGAAGACCAAAGCTTGGTCTTCTGGTCCACCTGTCATGCTAAGTATCGGGAGTCGTGGGTCATTGGAAACTCTTCATTTCAATGAGGACCCGGATGCTACCGCGGTCCTAGGCCCCACCGAGGTCGAAATCGATGCTAAAGCATGGGGCGTCAACTTTCGTGACGTTTTTATTGCCTTGGGGCGACTTGAAGAGGCCGATTTTGGATCTGACTGTGCAGGTGTGGTTACGAAGGTGGGATCTGAATGTACATCTGTAATGCCGGGCGATAGGGTTTATATGTGTTCAATGGGATGCATGCGAGCCCGCCCAAGAGCAGACCAGAGCGCGGTTGTAAAGATCGCTAACTCAGTTTCATTCGAGACGGCGTGTGGGACCGTTGGACCGGCTATGACTGCATGGTATTCACTCATAGATGTCGGACGTTTGCGAAAGGGAGAAAAGGTACTTATTCACGCAGCATCTGGAGCCACCGGTCAGCTAGCTATACAGGTTGCGCAGCTAGTTGGCGCTGAGATATTCGCCACAGTTGGATACGACTTTAAGAAACAGCTGCTTATCGAAAAGTACAATATCCCCGCCGACCATATATTCTATAGTCGGAATACTACCTTTGCAGCGGGCATCATGCGGATGACAAATGATACCGGCGTGGATCTCGTATTGAACTCTCTGGCCGGCGAAAGTCTACTGGCATCTTGGAATTGTGTTGCGCCGTACGGCCGTTTCGTCGAAATCGGGAAAGCGGATATCTACGCCAACTCTTCGTTACCTATGAGCGGATTTGCAAAGAATATTATGTTTGCGGCGGTCGATCTTAGACATATGATGCTGCATAGAAAAGACCTGGGAAGACAACTCTTACTTGAAACCATGGATCTTGCCGAATCAGGGAAGATAAGTTGCCCGGATCCTCTACGCATCTACGAGATAAACGAGGTAGAAGACGCATTTCGGTACATTCAAAACGGCAAAAACACCGGACGAGTGGTCATAAGGATCAACGACACAGTCCTAGTACAGGTAATGCTACGTAATTTGTGTTACGAATCCTGCGAATGGGACAAACGCTGACTTGTTTCAATCTATAGAAATTCGTTATTGATCGAATTGACTTAAAATTCGAAGAAAACGCTAGCTATCTCATTGCTGGAGGCCTAGGAGGTATCGGACGATCTATACTGAAATGGATGGCTACTAGAAACGCCAAGTATCTCATCGTCCCGTCACGATCTGGGACCTCGGGGTCTCAGAAAGCAGAACAAGTAGTAGCGTCGCTCCGACAAAGCGGTGTCACAATAATCACCCCGAAATGTGATGTATCGTCAACAAGTTCGCTCTCCAACCTCTTAACCCAATGCAGCGAATCAATGCCTCCTATTCGGGGCTGTATCAACGCTGCCATGGCTCTTCATGTAAGTTATCCGTCTCTAAACACCAATTTTCATTTAGACTGCATGCAATATCTCTCATTTCAGAATTTCTTTCAGTCATTAACCGTCTTATTAGGACTCCATATTTGAAAATATGACACACAATCAATGGGAAGGGACCATTCAGTCGAAGGTGCAGAGTTCGTGGAATCTCCACGCACTCCTCCCGCATGATCTTGATTTCTTTATTTTGCTCTCGTCGAATGCGGGAATTCTGGGAAATATGGGACAAGCTAATTATGCGGCTGGGTGCACGTTTCAAGATGCTCTGGCCACTCACCGAAATTCGTCTCCTTTCATCAATAGAAAGACTGCCATCTCCTTGGATTTGGGTGTGATGCGAACTATCGGCGTGATAGCGGAAACTGCAGCTCTCCAGACAAGATTCGGAGAGTCTCAAGGTCACGCGCCGATCGAAGAAGAAGAGTTTTTTGCCCTGTTGGAGATGTGCTGCAGCTCAGACCAGTCGGTAGCCTGCCATAGCCAGCTTACAGTCGGTCTTGTCACTCCAGCGGACTTACTTCATCGCAACCTTGAGCCAGCCGAGGCACTGAACCGACCACTAATGGCGCATTTTAGCAAGTCTCGCATGAACATTCAATCATCGCACCCAGGTGATAGCGATGACCCTACGTTATTGTTCAACCTAGCCGAAACAGCGGAAGAGAAGGTCACCGTGGTTGTTGAGGCACTAGCTAAGAAGTTGGCGCGCGCACTCGGTGTGGACCCCGGGGAGATTGATACAGATAAGCCGTTACATGCATTTGGTGTGGACTCTCTAGTTGCGGTTGAGTTGCACAACTGGATCAACAAGAAATTCGGAGCGCAAGTGCCAGTCCGTGATATTGCTGGAGATAAAACCGTGAAATTCGTTGGAGAGCTTGTGGTGAGCGCTAGCAAGGTGCAAAAGTAGTAAAGTTACACATCGGCTGAGAATGGAACATTCAGAATGAACAATGAGACCTCTAAAGAGCAGCAGATACTTTAGTGACACTTCCCATACTATGATAGAGCTGATCAAATATAACTCATTCGCCCGGTTCTGATTCAGTCGATGTAATCGATTGACAAGCACCTAAACCCATGTGAGAAATGGATACCCTTGAATAGCACAACGGAATATACCAATGATAAAGCAAGAGGAGAGAAAGGTGTGCCTCCCATTTTTTGGAATTGATTCATAGGTTATGTGTCCAATACATACTGAAAGTACTAAGGGTTTATTCAGGTACCCAAGCTACTCAAGTTCTATTTGTCTACAACAGTTCTATATTTGGGACCTCAGGGTCCGGTCATGACAAAAAGCGATAAGTAGCAGCTAATGTGCCGCGCAATAGGTGATTACAATCGGTTTATCTAGAAAATCGGGAAAAGAATCTTTGATAGGCCCTACATTACAATACGTTGTGTAGTAATCAGTGCAAACAAGGCGCTACTCATAAAGGACTTACAATGATGTTGATAAGTTGAAAGGGTTCCCAAAGCGTGCTAGGTATTTACACACAAGTCATTCAAGCAACGTTATTGTTATCGCGCCGTATTGATCTGCTTTGTCTGTAATCAAAGTAACAGTCTAAGAAATCGGGGATCCATTGAGCGGAATCGATTTAAAATTGGAGAAGTGCCAGGTGGGCAGGCACAATCTTGAAATCAAAGTGTCACCGGGATGAAAAAATACGATTAAATAGACTTAACCAGATCCTCGGACGGTCGCTCGACATACAGACCACTCCTACTGCCAACAAAATGAATCCAGAAGTTGTTAAACTTCTTCGGGACAACGGGTACGTTAAATATCAAACCGTATACTGCTATGTACAGCCTAGCAATTCCCTCCAAGTGCACATGAAAGCAGATGTTAGTTGTCATAAAAATGATCCGCGCAATCGCTAACTAATCCGATTCTTATAGTTGTGATATCGATGAGGTCCGGCGGGAGCAAGAACGCCTCACAGAGTATTTTGAACGAGATGAAGAGAAACGTTTTGAAATGGTTGGGGTCGCTGCAAGTGGATTCTTCGGTATCACATGGAAGCTCAAGTATAGAGAATCTGCAGAATCTGGTTCTAGATACATTATCTGTAAGTCATTTCCAACAATCGAGATATCTATCCCAATCAGTCGTATCAGCTCTTTACATACTAAACCCCTATTTTAGTGAAGACGGTTCGTTATAATGGTGATCCCGATGACTCCGATATGTCTGGGCTAGAGAACCCGGTGCTGGATGAAAGAGAATATCTAAAAGTAAGTTTATACCATCGGCATATCCCCTTTTGCTCTATCTTCCCCTACACGCCACATGTTATATGATGAGCTTTATTAACAATTAGCAAGGCGCTACGATGGGCCAAACATGTTATTAGTGGCGTAGAAATAAAGAATGACCCCCTACGTCGAGTCTTCGATGGTGTTGTGCCACACAATAGTAAGTAACGCACCAAAACCCCCTGCGCAACAACGCGACTCATATAGTTGAAATGCTTCAAGCATTTTAGACCCCTACCCGCCCCAATCCAATCAATAGGAATTCGATACTAATGTTGAATATCGCAGTGTTAGTCGATAGTTGGCTTTACACGGAATGGATAGAGAAGTAAGCAGATGGATCATATACCGTTCTGTCCAGGTTAGCTAACAAATTCCTCAGTGGGACCCTCTTCAAGTTGATCCGTCGAGCTCGCGGAAGGAGACTTCGGATTCCGAACAGGATACTCTGGAGGTTTTTCATGTGTTGTAAGTCTAATACCTCATCTGAAGTTAGGTCAGTAGGTCCTCTAACTGCGTCAATGCAACCCACAGTAATCCGAATGATTATTGCTATGGGCTGGCCACCTGCAAAGCCAGACGGAGATAACCCTCAACCGATAATAGAGCAAATTGAGGGACTACCGCGTAGCGGACTGATTCATCATGATATGCACGAGGGAAACAGTAAGTCGATACAAACATATAACTCATTGCATGACTCTAAAAACTAACCCTGGTCCCAGTTATGCTTGGAGACCTGATACCAACTGATCCCGGAATGGAGCACAAGCGTAAGTCATCTCTATAAACACATTGTTTTTCTCTACTGCCTGTAGGAACAGAGCCTTGCAGATATTCCGACTCGTCAGATTAGCACTAACTTAGAGCATTGTAGTCACTCCAATGTTGCAACTGATCGACCTCGGGTCGATGAGAAACATTGAAGATAAAGTGTAAGTCCTGTCCTAGGAAAACCTCAGATGTAAGGATGCACCATTTGGCTGACAAAGTCTATGTGTAGGCACGCCGTTCGCGAAAACGTCTTCGATATGGGTATTGTAAGTGTATCATCTCCGCGGATTAATTGTATCATAGCTAACTCAGCTTACCCTGCAGACCATGCTTGGGCTCATTACAGTAAATGAACACATAGGCGACGGGATATTTCCTTCGGTCAGCGATGCCCGGCATTTCCAGCTTCAGAATGGACCCCGGGTACTGACAAACGGCCACAGGCTTCTTCCCGGCGCCGATGGTGTAGACCCGTTCCCTTTGGTCGACGCGGGCCTACGCCACCTAGTGTGCGCCTGCCTTGCGACGCTGCCTCATGAACGAATTGGACCGCCGCGCTTGTACAATATCGTAGCGGGTTGCATCAGGGAAAGGGATCATCAGTTCTATGCTTCCAGATGGGGGAATATCGCCTATGCCGAGAGCGACGAAGGAATACGTCGGTTCCTCTCGGAATTGGTTTTCAATGCTTAGGGGCCAGCGCCAACGACATGAGAACCTGTATGGTTTTATAGAATTTCCTTTACTGCTCCAGCTTTCTTGGGCTGACTCTCACATAGATTTATTTTACTTGTGTTCCTTTTTCGCATCAAATATCTTACGTCTCACGGAATATTCCAACATAATTCGTTAATAGTGGTCAAGCCCAGTGCACATCCCGGCTCTATAATTTTGATGAGAGAGCAGGCATTTATTTGTAGCCAACTTTATCTGCCGTTATCAGGCTGTTTCTGGGTGCATGTCATCTTAACCGCTATGACTTACGATATACTTCTCTCTCTCTCTCTCTTTCTAACGGTTGCAAGAGAGACAAGGTCAGAAAAATGATAATATAGCTGAATCAATATCTCTAGGTAAACTCCTTGCGTGCGATTACTTTTCTGTGCAAAATGACGGCGAAAGTATTAAAGGTGAAGGTATCGAAGTTGAAGGTATATTAATTAGGTACCTAGGCTCGCTAAGCAGGTACCTACCTAGGTATGTAGGAAGGCATCTACGTAGGTATTGTGGCGCTACGGGGTGGCCTGTGGCGGTGAACATGACACCTAACCAAGGTAGGTACCTTGGTAGGTAGGTAGCAGTTCCCAGGTAAAGCATCAGGAGCCAATTTGGCAGACCTACATAGCTAGGTAGGTAGGGAGGAAAAGCGAACGAGGCATCCCACGTGTGCTGACTCGCCTGCTTTGTACCTCATCCGTCTCAAAAGGCAACGCAAGATGTTTCGGGCACAATCCATTCCACTGAGGGGGCTCGTATCCAAATCCAGGCCGCCGAACCGATCGTACAGCATGCAAAATGGTGGTGTTCACGTACAGCGCCTGCGTTTGCGCTCTTTGGGCCCAATAATCTGGAGCATCGGTGCCTGCAGCGCCATCTATCTCTCGTGTGCGTCGTATGATGTCTATCGCGATGTGCAACGCGTCAAAGCTCGCGGGAAAGCCTTGGAATCGTTCGAGGAGCTGGAAAATTCCGGCCGACCATCAACTTTTGAGCGATCCGAGTTCTCCCTTCCCAACCATGCTTATGATCCCTATTCGCTCACCACGCGCGTCATGGGCCTGACCGCAGCCGCTCATATCTCATACAGCACTCAACCCTTGATGACGACTTATTTCGAACATGTGCCTGCCTCTAGCCGCAACTTCACCCTGCTCACGTCGACTTTCGGACATACAGGGCTGCTACATCTAGGCGTCAATCTTTATGGCATGTTCTACCTCATGCCCCATGCATCGACCGCGCCAGTGCTGAAGGGAGGTGATGCCCATCTTACGGCGTTCTATCTCTCTGCTGGAATCATGAGCGGACTTGCACAGCACCTAAGTGCAGTGTGGTTGAGACGTGGCTACTTGGCGCCATCTTTGGGTGCTAGTGGTGTACTTTTCGCTTTGCTCGGTATTGTCGGCGTGTCGTTCCCCAGTACCCAAGTCGGCATAATCCTCCTCCCCGGTTCAATTAGGATTGACGAGGCAATGGTGTGGATTGCTCTTTTTGATGCGGTTGGAATTTTTGTGAGGTATCCTGGGTTGTATTTCGCACACGCGTCCCACCTAGGTGGCCTCGGTTTAGGAGTAGCATATGCGAAATATGGTGGTGATCGGAGAATTTGGCGCCCAGCTCGTAAGCTTGGGTTCCAAGCGATGCGTGCTTTGGGTCTGCTCTGAGATGAACTTGCATAGTTGACAGAGTTGCGGGTGACTTTAACCTCGACAAACCAGCATTGCAGGCAAAAGGCCGGTACCAGTTCACCCATATTGCTCAGTCCTATTCTCTATTAGCTGGCGAAGTGGAAGACAAGTGACTTTGCCCAATATCTGGGATGTTCTTCTATTCTTTATATGGGCCGATTGGTATCTTTGGGCGCTATCACAATTGTGCATAGCCGATTCGTCCGGGCCAAGGATGATAATAATATAATACAGCAGTTTACACTTCTTCCTCAACACTCTCTTCAACACTGTCAGACTCGCTGTCAGCGCGTCCCTGGCCTTCTTGCCTCAGCATCCCTTTACCCTTCTTCGCCTTTCCCTTCGCGCCTTTTCCTCTTAATCCTTCAGGGATTTCTTTGTGCACCACGCCATCCTCGAACAGCAGTCCAATATCTGGGCGCCGAGCAACTGCCTTCTTCCACAGACGCTGCGGCAGCTCCTCGGCAATGGTCACGATACGGCCTGATGTGGTGAACTGCCATTTCAACTCCGGAGCCTGCTCCATCGCAGTGCGAAGATGGATCCAAATGCTGACATCCGCCTTGCTGGGGCGACTTGTTGCTGTTGCAGCGGCAACGGGCAGGAAGGACAAGTGCGAGGCACCATCAGCCTTTTTGATCGTACCAGATGCAATCACTAGCGGATAGTTCTGATAGGTCGTCTCATAGACGATGTACTCTGGCAGATTCTCGGTATCTGCCTTCAGTGGCTCGCCTTCTGGTATCAAAGGAGCTTGGGATGCGCTGTCGCGCTTCGACTCTCGTCGCACCTGATACGACTCTGCCTTCGCTGTATCTGACTCAGGTTTCTGTCGGAGTGTGAACCGCGCTTTTGATGAGGACGCAGATTGATGGATGTCGTTGAGCGTTATTCCGAGATCCTTCATTCTTGGTTGCTCAAGCTATGGCATCGCGTTAGTCACACTGTCTTTATTCAAAAGAAAGATAACAAAACGTACCAGGTCTGCAACTCCAACCCATCCGTCTGTGTCACAGATAAGGTAATCATCTTCCACCTCAGAGTCAAGCTCATCTTGCGAGACCGCGCGTTTCAGCACGAACGCTACCGCTTTGGCTACAGTAGCGTCGGCATTCTCAACAACTCGGTAGCCCTTGCCGCCTGCACTCTTTCCATTCACGCTCATACCTCTACTCCGTCCATGGCGTGGGGTTTGCTGTGAAAGTGCGCTGGGCGGGAGCACACCTCCGTTCTGATTGATGACGGAAAGGGGGATGAGGACTGAAGCAGCGGCCATTGTAAATCCTGTCTGTACTAATACGCAGGATATACAAGACTGAAGAGTCGGTTTATCGTTGTGAAGCGAGTTTATGTATATTCAGATGTCGAGTAACGGGTATACATCTAGAAGGACACACATGAAATGACAAAGGCGGCGGACCAATTTATACGTTTGTTGTCCATGTTGGCTACTGAGACGACTCATCAAGCATCCGAAAGCGGCCTCCCTTCCACGACGCGGTCCCTCGCAGGAGTGTTGGAGATCTTTGTCTTGACCGCCTCGTGCCAGCTGGTCGTGCAGATTGGCCGCGGGGATGATGAGTCCTCCTAGCCTGTCATTGTGTGGGCCAATCTCTCGACCCACACGGATAGATCCAGATGCATCATCTATTCCTAGTAGCGTGTATGCACGTCGTCCCTACCAGGTGGTATATCAATTAGCAAACAATGTCGCATGTCGTAAGTGACTGGCTTTGCCCTCGTGCCTTGTGTTGGGTTGCGCTTCCATCGGTCACCGCTTCACTTCACCACCACACCTGGTTGACCTTGATGGTTCCCCCCTGGTCTGTGTAGTCGTCCGGCTATACTCCTCCAAGCTAGGCAATATCTTCAACGCAAGTCATACCAGCATATAATCATGTACCGGTATGTGATCTGAACCTTACTTCATCTCATGTTCCCCGCCTTCAGCGCTTGTACCTTGACAGCCATTTTCGGTCAAAGTTCGGTACCTATCAGTCCGCCGAGTTCTCTACGTACCTAGTACGTAGATGATGGGCCATATCCTGAACAAGCGCAGAATGCCATGCATTGCTGCCCCATAGAGGGGGTTCCACGAAGGTGGGGGATGTTTTGAACCCCTGAATCTGTCGCGGAGGAGGGGTCAAGCCACCGAAGAGCAGACACGAGACAGTCATACATCTCAAACGGCCTATTGCGGCAGTGGGGCGGACATACTTATCAACGCACCGCTGGCGACGTGTCTATCTCTAGGATGATTTGATGCGATGTCAATATTACTAGTGCCAACATGAGTAGATTACAATAAGCTATTAGATACCTTCACTGAGCTGGGTGAGTAGTGAGTAGACACGTCAAGCATCCGGTGCCGGTGTCTTGTCGATAAGGTGGAGCATAGCTGAATCTGCTTCGATCACCTAATCTTGGTATTGGTGACGTGAGCTGTTGAAATTGATGGAGCTTATCGGTTTATATCAGACATCAAGCAAGATGAGATCAAGACAGTCCGGTCCCTCATTCTTATCTCCATGTATGTTTCATCATGCCATCTTACAGTAGTACCTATTGGCAAAGAGAGTCTCACACTCCTCACTAGGAACAACGCAACAAGTTAATCATGGTAGTTTGATATACCAAGGTCTGTATCAGCTACCTATCCAAAGGATTGCTATTTACACATGTTAATCCTCGGTGTAGTTAACATGGTTGACGTGGAGAGCCTAACTAAACGTGTGCCGCTAGGCGTCCACCTGGCGCTAAGTGGATCGCGGGGTAAACGCGCGGGTTGAGCTGTTAATTAAGTAGACAGCTGGATGTTCGTGATATCGATCGCCCGGTCGACCATGGAAGACATGATAACTGACAAGCGAGGGCTTTTCTAGGTGCCACTTGGCATAGTTTACAAGCTGCACCTGGTATGTCGTAAATGGCCTGTAGGTGATTGCGATTAGGAATCTACAATACGTCTACAACGCAGTCCTCCCTCTTTTCTCACTCGTGCGGGTAGCATCTTCTTCCAGCCCAGGCATCACGGGGACAATTTAGCAAGGTGTGTCAGTCGCCAACGCTACACAGGAAAAAATGGCAAGTGCACGAGAATATCGTAGGCACTTGCCTTGTGTTGCGATTCGGGTCAGTAGGTAGTTGGCAGGTACGCTGGTCTTCCGTGCAGAAAGCATGGTGCTTGCCTGTTTCTTGTCTTGTCTTGTACAATGGCAGGGTCGTCAAGTTTGCTGAAGTGAGATTACCCGTCACTATTCATCTGCAACTGCAATCTGTCAGGAATAGATAGCGACACTTAGACTCTCGTAGCAAGCGGTGCAGATTAAGGGACCTCACTAGGTTACGAAAGATCAGGTCTAGGTGCAATCGATTATCAGAATGGCTACCCCTTTCCCCTCTATTCAGTCTTTCTACTCGAGGGAGGTGGCCTCGGGAGGCGCCGATCGCTCTTCTAGTCCTATCAATCCCGGCGACGGCTTCACGCCTTCAGAGGTAGAAGCAGCCTTGAACCCACTCTCACGGCCCTTTCGACCTTCAAGGCACTACGATGCTTGCCTCATCGCAGAGCTCCAGACAGGAATGCATAACTACCGAATTACCGGGAGGCTTGTCAATTTCTCTTCTGCTGTGGGATACTATTTCCTTGTTTTATCCGATGGTACCGCTGCGATGGCAGTAAGTTTACTATGTGCAAACAACGGAACCTATATGGGATACAAACTCATTATGCTTCTAGATCAAGATGTACTACAGCTTTTCCGGATACCAGCCACTCTTAGGCCAGCGCATAACTGTGTGGGCTACCGCAATCTCTGCTGGAAATCAGGCCGAGATAGGGCACATTCCATTTTGCTCCATAGCTACCACGATATATCCAGGCCGCAACGGCGCAACCCATATAGAATTCCACGTAGATGAGGCCGATTCTGAAGAAGACCTCTCGCTACGCTCGCCGCTAGACATCGGCACTAGGCCCGGTGACCATCTTCCTGGTCTCATGACACTGAAGTCGTTACTCTGTGGCGGCTATGAGATAGGAGCAGCAAAGGTTCTCGTCTGTGTGAGAAGCATTGGGCCCCGACGGAGTGTGGCCTCGAGGAAGAGAGAAGCACAATATAATTTGGTCGAAGTGGGCATTTACGACGACACTGCAAGTAGCGTCTTGAAGCTCTGGCAGGAAAAGATTCCCTCCGCGAAATCATGGGTACCTAACCAGACCATTCTGCTCATTTCCCAACCGTCTTGCAGCCTCAATGAGGGCTCCAATCGCCGTGCTGAGATCGGCTTGGGATACAGCTCTATGGTTGATGTTAATCCTGAATACTTAGAGGCTAAATGGCTACGCCACAAGATCCAGGATATGGCCAAGAAAGAGAGCGTCATTGTCCCTTTCCCCGATGATACCTGGGACCTACAGCTAGCTATGTATGGTCCGAATATTACATTATATACGCTTGCCGAACTTGAAGATCAAGTACGAAACCAAGATGTATCGAGCAAATTCAGTGGGAAGCTGAGTGTAATTGTTTTCGAAATGAATTTAATGGACAACTGGCGCAAAGCTACCACCTACTGTACTGAATGGTAAGCTACTCTTATCCTATCCGCGACATGCTCACAGCTGACTAGGATGTAGTTGCGGGATACCACTCTATGCCAATAAAATGACAGCGGTTTGCAAGAATTGTGATTCTCAGCGAGACCTTTCGCTGAATCCTCGCTTACTCGGCGCATTGCTTGACGAAAGTGGGATGATTAGCGGAAATAAGCTCGTATGGAAAGACGACGCCTGGACTCAATTCCTTTTTGGAGCACCGGCGCAACAGTGTGGAGGGAACATTGTTGCACAATCGTGGAAGGATATGTCTGTACTCGGCACAAATGTGCTTAGAGACCTAGAAGCACATCTACTATACTCCCGTGCCACATTAACATTTGGGTGGACATCTGAGCTGGGAAGACTTTGTATTCTCGGCGTTGAGTGGTAAGCAATAACCTAGTTGTCAAGAACCCAACGGAAAATCAATTTCGCCGAAATATGATTTCCGGGAAAGGTCGAAACCGATTACGCGATCACGAAATGCCCAAGAGGAAGAAGATTTAACCACAGAACTCCAATGGTATGTATTGTGTATATTTTCATGAGCCGCTGTGGCGCTCTACATTCAGCTTGCTGAACTGGTATCTATCTAAATCATCATCGCAGCCTCCTGGCTACTAGCCTGACCTTCATCATTAAGTGTATAATAAAGAAACCACTTGCACCGCTCACGGGCCAGACTTTTTCATGCCGTGTCATGAGGTTAGAACAAAAGAAATCAAATCATTAATCCAAGCGCTTAACCCTCCATTTCCTCGTCCTCATCATCATCGTCATCAAGTTCGATGTCGCTATCAATGGTGTTGCCCATGAAGTAATCAATGGCATTAGGATAGATATCCTCGGCGATGGTGACGGCAACCTCGTGGCCAGCAGGGAATGTCTCGACAGCCTCCTCAGTGAAGTCCTCGTCATCATCCTCGTCTTCATCGTCCTCATCCATGTCCTGGCCAGCCTGAGCGGCCTTGCGCTTGGCGAGCAACTCGGCCTTGGCCTCGACGTGCTCAGCAGCGCTGATCCAGCGGCCACGGTATGAGAAAAAGTTGAAGAAGCTTAGAGCACCCTCAACACAGCTTTCGAGTTTCTTGGCGAGGCTCTGGTACTCGGCAAGGTTCTTGGCGGCAGCATCACGGGCGTGGCGGGCGTCGTTGGCAAGCACACCGTCAAGCTTCTGGGAAGAGTCGGCCTTCTGGGCGTTCCAGAATGCCAGGGCAGCATCTGACAGACCCTGGGTAAGATCCTTCTCGGGGCTCTTCCAGTTGATCTTGATGGGCTGCGAAACAAGGCCAGCAGAGCCGTCCTTGCCGTAGCGGAAGTAGAAAATCTTGGTAAGCTCCTTGTCGGAGAACCACTCGTTGTCGCCAAAGCGGAAAGTGAACTGCAGAGAGCGAGGCTCGCCGAACTTGTCGAGACCAAGGTCGGAGGGCTTGGCCGAGGCCGGGATCTCAGGTCTCGTAACCTCGAGGGAGGTGAGGGCAGCAGAGAAGACCTCAAGGTCGCTGGGGGTGACAGCAGCTTCAAGCTCGGAGGCGGCGTTGTCGAAGGTGACAGCCCAGAAGCTGGGGATCTTGGCGATGGTCTTTTGTCGGGCAGCGAAGATGTCGCGGGACATCAGGTACTGCTTGGCAGTTACCTCGGTGTCGACATCTGAGATGGCAGCCTCAAAGAGGTGCAGCTCCTTGATGGTCTGGGGATCGATAACAACGTCGGCCTCGGATGAAGACATGGTGGGCAAGGAACAGTTGTGATGATGGAGAAGTGTTTGTGGTGGGTTGGATGAAGGAAGAGAGGAATGGGAAAGCAAAGGAGCAGAAGAGGAGGAAATATATATCAAGGAGCTCGACCTGAAGAACACGCTCTTATAAACAAGTGTCCGAACAAACACTTGTTCACCTGGACAACGCAAACACTTATTTCGATTTCATAATAGGAGGGGTTCAAGGAAAAAAAAAAAAAAAATCTCTTCGGTGATACCCAATCTCCATTGGCGGGGTACAGCTAGGTCCCACCTGTATGGGAGAAAAAAAAGACAATGCGACCTAGCATCCAGAGCAACTAACCACATACCCAGTAACCTCCCTGCTCATCCTAGAGCCTCTGTCTTCTTCTACGCTACCTAATTGGGTAAGCCAACGGGAACTGGCAGCTTTGTTCCAGTGGCGGAGAAGGAAAACTTTTGCTTGCACTGGTAAGTATCTTGCACATACATGAACACTCTTTGTTACGCGACTTGATTCTCACGTATTTTGATGAGACGCGTTGTCTTGTTGCCACCAATCACATGAAATAAAATAACTAAAATGACAATTAAAAAAAAAAAAAAAAACTATCGTGTACAACGTACCTACACCAAACTAGGTACTGTAGGTAATCCACCCCTCCTTACGTGGCAACGGCTTGAGGTCGGAGGAGGGGCAGAGTAGTAGGTATATAGGATTTTTTTTTTCTGGCTTTCTTTCTTTCGAAAAACTGGCCTGCGTTCGGACCCTAGAATCAATTAATTGGTTGCCAGGGTCTAGCTGCACCTAGTTTGCCCCACAGGACTGCCGGCTTTTTTCTTAGTGTAGGTAGTGTTTGTTGCCTGGTAAATGTGACCGGCATTGATAAAGGCGGTCAAAATACTTTACATACATACTATGTAGTAGTAGGTGCACGTAGACTAACAGGTGGCCGATGTACAGGATCAGGAAGTAGGTTGAAGCAATCATTGCTGGTAACTCGTTTGGGAGCGTGCAGTAGGTATGAAGGAAGAAAGTCAGGACTTTTCAGTCTATATCGCTGACTGAGTCTATGACCAGCAACCCGGAAATGCTGATGTATACCAACCTACAAGACTTCTATCAAAGTGAAAAGCAAACCTCCCAAAACAAACCAAACCAAACGCAAGAAGAGAGAAAAAAAAAAAAGTAGCGTAGGTTGCTGTCTAGTCTAGATCTCCACCTCTGTCTATCTAGTCTCAAAAGTCCGATCTAGGTATTCCCACTCTAGGTACTTCGGTGTACATTTTTCTTTTCTTTCGGTCTTCCTCTATCCTCTAATGGTAAACTGTCGCCCCGTCTAAACCAGATCTTGGGAGATAAACTGGGAAAATGCGAAAAGTGTCGTTTGGGTCGTGTCGTGTCTTGTCTAGTAGTAAGGCAGTGTATAAATAAACAAACGCTGAATGGATAACCGGCTGAAAGACTGAATCAATGAACAAACGCCCCGTCCGTTGCATGTTTATGCTATCGTGATGGTGTAGCTGTCTCGGCGATTTCTTGGTAACATGGGCCGCTGGTTCGCTAGCTTTGCGTTGACCGACTTGGCGAGGGTCGTGGTCTTGACCGCTTTCGCCGCGACATCGCTTGTCTGGATGAGGTAGTCCAGCAACTCCGCGACCTCGTCATCGGTGCCGAGCTCGTTGAAGAACTCAAGCTTCTCCAGGTTCGGCGGGATGCCGAAGGAGTCAAGGCGCGGCTTCTTGGACTTGCGCCCGAAGAGCTGCCAGTCCCAGTTGATGCGAAGCACTTTTAGTGCGGTGAAGTCGCGCATGCGGAGTGAGCGTCGGCTGCCCATCGTGGGGAAGTCGATTGTGATACTTTTCAGGGATTCGCATTGTGAGCGTAGAGCGACGATGTAGTCGCCCATGTTGTCGGAGCTCTCTTCCAGTTCGGGCGTCGGCTCTGGGCTTTGCGTCATGACGAACTCTTCCATTGCTTTTGGTAGTTCAAGAACATCGCCGAGAGCGTCGTCGCTGATGTCGCACTCGATGAGATGGAGTTTCTTCAGAGGAAGCTCGTGGGGCCGCTCGATGAAGTCGAACCCGCGATAGTCCAGCTTTGCTCTGCGAATGATGAGCGTTTCGAGCGTCGGGTGTGCGAAGATGTGTATGTTGTCGCGGAGATCCCAGTAGGCGTTGTCTGGACACTGATAGAACAGGCTGCATGACTTGAGATAGGCTAGGTCGAAGGGCCCGTTGAACAGGGCGCCGATGCCGTCGAGTAAGTTTACAGGCACGGACACCTCGAGCTCCTGCAGGTTGGACATGGTGGAGATGGTGCGCACGAGGCTGTCGAAATGCGCTGGCGTGTAATGCGAGTTGGCGATGTGGCCGTTGAGACTTAAGTGCGACAGCTCGCTGGTGGGATACTCGAGGCTCGCAAATTGGATGGCGGATCCGCGGCGCTCGCGGCGTGTAAGCGACTCGCCAAAAGTGAGGTGGTGCTCAGGCTTCTCGAAGCGGACGTCTTCGTACAAAACCGAGTCGGCGACGTCATGCCAGCGCTTGTTGACAAGTGACACGCTGCAGAGGTCGCCTGGCGTGCTCTCGGCTAGGGTCTTGAAGACCTGCTCCAGGATGTCTTCGGGTAGGTCTGCGAGGCGACGACTGGCATTGCTGGCGCCGTTGGTGCCGTTGGTGCCGGCGTGACTCTTGTGGGGTCTGTCTTTGTTGTGCTTCATGTTGCTGCTGTCGTTGTTGATGGTATCACGGTGGCGGCACTCTGGCTTCGCAGGCGCATCAGTCTTAGCTTGAGGACCAGGTCCACTAGCACCATGATCGCGGGACATTGTCGACTAGTGGTGTAGGTGAGCTGTGGTCGGATGCGGATGTGGATCTGGGGAAGTTGGCGACAGTGCCCAGGTGGGTAATCGCGTGAGATTTTGGCGGGATTGCAGGTCCTGCGCTGGGCTTTCTGGTTTTCTGGCTTTCTGGCTTGTGATTGCGGTGGATCGCCTGGGGTGGGCACCGCCACAAATTGGCCTAGGGGTCGTCGGGCTTCAGCGGTTGAGCGTAGGTAGGTACTGAGCTGCTCAGTGTAATAGTGATTAGAATTGAGAGATGTACCTATGCGTGTGTCGAAAGACGTCGCAGCCCTGCCGCAAGCGTCTTTGTGTGTGTGGATGTGGATGACCTAGGCTTAACTCCAACTCTGTGAAGAAGAAAGGAAAGGAAGGGAAAGGAGAGGAAAGGATAGAGATGTGGAGTGAGAGACAGAGAGAGTAGAGCAAGGCGTTCACAAACAAAGCCAAAACTAAGACCAAACCCAAAGCCAAAACCTTACCTACTTACTCACTCTTCATAATGAAGCCAAGATGGAAGAACAAACAATAGTGTTTTGTGCGGCGATAGACTTTCCCTCCATACCGGTATGTCACTGACGTTCGTTAAACTCTCCACCCGCACAGGCGGCAACGTTATAGGTATGAGTGATGCGCGATGCGCGATGAGGCTCAAAGCAAAGTTACATGGCACGGCTCGAAATGGCTGATCCGCGCCTTTAGTCAGACCCCAAATCGCATTGGCATGTGTAATTAATACGACGGGACCGACGCATGTCTTGCTTGCTTGCATGCATGTGCGACGTGCGACGGGAGAGGGTGGCACTCCCGGCTTAGCGTCATTGATACCTCTTACCCGGACCCCGGGATACGCGGCATGTGAGGACTGCCTGGACAAGCCAACCGATCCCGGGCGAATAACCTGGTCACCAGATACCTTAGGTAGGTTCTGGTAGGTGTGTAGGCATATTAGATAGGCATGTAAGTAGGTTAGGTATGTTGTCAAGATTCGCCAAAATATGACACGTGGGTATGTCATGGACAGACTAGACTACGCCTCAGCTTGACTTTACCCACCGAGCCTAAAGGTGAAACGAAGTAATAAAAGCTACATGAAACTCGCATGAGATTTAATTAATATGTAGAAGTCGTTGGCGTAAACCAGATACTTGGTACCTAAGGTAGGTAAGCAGCCGTGAGCAGGGGCGGGCATTAATGCAGTAGGTATTCAATAACGATAACCTTCTTCTATGTGCTCTCGGCCAAACGAATGAGTCCTCAGTGAAGAATACCTACATCCATTAGCAGCATGATGAGCGTTGTAATAGGTATGTCTTGATGATGGAAATGCCACGTAATGATTGATTTCTACCGACAAACAGCTCTGCTTCCGCGCAAACGAAACGAAATGCTATGATCCCATCACTCATGAAACCGCACGTGTAAGTTGAATTATATGGGTTAGGCTGCGCGCGTCGGCCGAATCGCACCTGTATGAATAAATACTGCTCATTTGCGCCGCCGATGTGTCAATAACTGAACAATGACTTTTAGAAGTAGGTAGCCCGTGCCACCTTGAATATCTTATATAGATGTGATAGGTATCTAATTTGATTCATGATACGATTACCTGCTAGACCCGAGCTGGGTGCAGGCGCTTGGGGCACTCGGCCACCACGATACAAATGATGGTATCCGACTCGAGACTCGAAGCCTCGTCATTCATGCTTACATAGCTGTCTAATTGCGTATCAGTAACATAGCAAACCTCTTCTCCTTGCATAACACAAAGTCCTAGAATACGAGAAGTTTTATTACTTTCTGGGGCTGTGCCTCGACATCCGAGGACCAATCAGTGAGTGAGTGCTTGAGCGAAGAGCCCCAGTGTAACCACTCTCGCAAACTACATCATATGCTTACAGTGATTATAGATTCACACTGATGTCAGCTGCTTAATCGAATACTTCGTATAGTTGCAAAAAACAAATATCAACAGGGAAACCCTTCGAAGATAGAGATCTCGACTCTTTAGTCGAATAAAAACAAGCATTTCTTAGCTCTTCGTGTAGGTACGTGTACACAGCCCTCTTTGTGGATCGACTCTGCTCTGTGACTAATTGAAAAACATCTGTTGGCTATCTTTTTCCTCGACTATCATAGTGGTCAATGGGGAATCCACAACGGACGTCGGCACTACTTAGTAGGCATACGAGACGCGCCGTCAACTGCTTCTCGTCTGTTCTGGGATACCTAGAGCGGCGACTTAGGCTACCTCATGGATTCAATCGAAGCCTTTGTCCACCTGTACCAAGGGTACTATGAGATATCACGATAGCTTCGCAACAAGAGTAGCATACATAGGTATCTATTCTTTCGTGGCAGCCCCGGCTGTATAAATTTTACTGACTGAGGTCTCGATGCCTGAGAGCCAACCAATTCCTAGCTTGCTCTTCAGACGCGCTGCACAGTTCTAGAACATGATCCTCTAACCCGATCGGAGCCGCCTGTGGTCCCGATTCACAACCCCCGGCCATGACCCAGCTGTTATCCAAGCGCCGTTAGCACTGAATAGGAACTTTATGGGGCAGTTTGTGTCGCAGTCTTCCGTCGGAGGGAAAGCCGTGATCCATAGGCGTGGCGTCGCCCGTCGTCAGCTACGGGTCCGCTATGGGTTCCCAATCGCCGTCATCCATGAACCCCTGGTGCTGCCCTGGCCTTGTGCCCTGGCATGGCATGGGCTGCCGAACAAAATATCAGCACCTTGTTCTCCCTTGTCACAGGCTTTAGGGGCAAACAGGTTCCTTTTTCTTTCATTTCGTTTCACTTTGTGTTTCCCAGGCCAAACAGTCCGTCTTTCATGCCCAGTCCAATTAATTTGCGCCTACACTCTCGTTTTATTTTTACTTTGATCGTTTTCACTCCGAGCTCTTCATTGAGGCTTGACGTCATTGGGCGATAGGCTCACCCACTTCGCTGATCAATCTCGCGCTACTGCTCGTCATACTGGTCTCTTCGATCTCGACGTTTTATAAAGTTCGAAACTAGATATCTTTGCCTGGATTGTTGAAAAGTTATCTCTTGACTCGACACTCGCTTAATCCACCCGTCCCTTGGGGTTTGACATTCCAACATGCCTCACTATACGTCAGGCATGGGGATAGTCCCGCGTGACGGGACTGACCAGTTTCTCAAACTTATACAGAACCCCTTCAATACATCAGTACGTCACATGTCACCACGACTGCCAGCGGTTGGGCCTAACGGGTTTACAGTTGAGTGAAAAGGCGTTCTGGTCATCTTTTGGTTATTCTTTCGGCGCAGCGTGTAAGCAACACCCAGAGACATTTCCTTGGTGTTCATGAACGGCAACTTGGCACGACGAGCTCACTTCTTGGCTTCGTCTCGTTCCTAGGAACTTCTCATCATGTCAATCGCTTCATCAAATGAGCTAAAAGTTGGCAATTGAAATTACTGACCTAGAGTGTAGTGCTTTTTGCCCTTCTTTTCTGTATACTTCGCCCGTACAACGGTACTGTATATGCGCCTCGGCTGAAACATGCCGATGAAAAACATGCACCGCCGCCGGTGGACAAGGGTGTCTTCAGCTGGGTATCGCCTGTGGTGAAAACACGCGAACAAGTGCTCGCTGAAAAGATAGGTGTTGATGCTACTCTTTTCTTGCGATTCACCAAGATGTCTCGCAATCTTATGGTGGTTCTCTCCGTCATCGGCTTAGGTGTCTATATCCCTCTCAACCTCGTTCAAAACACCAAGAACGGCGCACTGGATCATACCAACGTTTTCATCCGTCTCACACCCTTGGGTGTATGGGGAGCTGCCTGCTGGGCGCATGTCACAGTCTCTTACGTGTTCGACATTATCGTATGTCTTTTTATCTGGTGGAACTACCGTGCAGTTATCCACCTTCGGCGCGGATACTTCGATAGCCCCGAGTATCAAGAAAGCTTGCACGCGAGGACACTAATGGTACGTTGGACAGGTAGAAGGCTTGTGCCCCAATAGTAGGAACTATTGTACCACCTAACACCTCCAATAACTGTACCCGATGCCTCGCTAATATCGTTGTAGGTTACCGATATCCCTGTCACCCACCGAACTGACACTGGTATCTCACAACTTATCGACGAAGTTGACAGCTCTGGAAATCAATTCGGAATTGTTGCCCGTAACGTTAAAGGCCTCCCAGAGCTTATTGAAGAGCATGATGAGGCCGTCAGAGAACTGGAATCGATCCTCGCCAAGTACCTGAAGAATCCTGATAAGTTACCGGCTAAGCGGCCTCGATGCAAGACCCAGAAAGGAGACCCATGTTATAGCGAAGTTACCAAAATTGACGCAATTGAATACCTTACATCCCGAATCGAACGACTGAAGGCAGATATCGTCGAAAAGCGGAAGTCGGTTGATCAACAGAAAGCACTCTCTTACGGATTTGCCAGTTACCCAAGCATTGAAGAAGCGCACGATGTCGCATATGCTGCCAGGAATAAACACCCAAAAGACACTACGATCCAACTTGCCCCGAAGCCAAGCGATTTGATATGGGAGAATCTCCCTCTAGACCGCCACCGCCGGCGGTGGGGTGCCTTCATGAATAATTTTTGGGTTATTGTTCTTACCGTAGTCTGGACGGTGCCTAATGCGCTCATAGCTGTCTTCCTCGCCAACTTGAGCAATCTTGGATCTGTGTGGCCTACATTTCAGGATCAACTTCAAAAGAATCCCAAAACTTGGGGCGCGGTGCAAGGTATTCTTGCACCTCTGGTAACAACGTTATTCTACTTAGTCCTTCCCGTCATTTTCCGTCGACTCTCTGCATATGCCGGTGATTATTCGAGGACTGCTCGCGAAAGACACGTCACTCAAAAGCTTTACGGCTTCTTCATTTTCAACAACCTTATCGTATTTTCCCTCTTCTCCACGGCCTGGAAATACGTCGCTGCTGTAATGGAAGCTGAAGGCGATGGGGATGTTTGGTCGGCTATCGTCAACTCGGATCCATTTGGTAATCTGCTCACAGCATTCTGCGACGTTTCGCCTTTCTGGCTCAATTACCTTCTTCAACGCAATTTTGGAGCTGCACTGGATCTGTCACAGCTTCTCAAATTGACGAAAGGATACGTTACGCGGAAGTTATTTAGTCCAACCCCCCGCGAACGCATTGAGCTCTCAGCGCCACCACCATTTGATTACGCTGCCTACTACAACAACTTCCTCTTCTACACTACAATAGCTTTAGTTTTCGCACCTTTCCAGCCCTTGGTGCTCCCTGTTACCGCACTCTACTTCGCACTTGATGTTTACACAAAGAGCTATCTGCTGCTGTAAGTAGGCGCTTCGGGTGCGATTTGATTCTCCACTAACACTATTGATATAGATACGTTTTCGTAACGAAACATGAAAGTGGTGGGACATTCTGGCGCGTCCTTGTTAATAGGCTACTCTTCGCAACATTACTTGCGAACGTAGTAACAACCATCTTTATCATAGCTCGGCGCGAATCAATTACTCAAGTTATTCTGATGATTCCACTAGTCGCTATTATAGCAGCTTTCAAGTGGTACTGTCGGCGCACCTTTGATGATGAGATGTATTTCTACTCGAAGGGCTTGCATCGTATAGATAAGGAGAACTTGCCGACTAAGCCGAAAAATGATCGCGTTGCGGTGCGTTTTGGTCATCCGGCGTTGTACAAAAAGCTTATGGTACCCTTGGTTCATGAAAAGGCCAACCATATCCTCAAGGAGATCCTTCGCGACCAAGCAGATCCGGATTTCGAGGATGCAAACCACTATGGCGATACGTACAGAATGCAGAGGCTGTCTACACATCGTTCACGAATCGACGGTGCAGGTAACAACACTACGTTTGAAGTTGTTAATGAGTCGCAAATGAACTTTGAACATTTCCGCGATCGGGAAGAGTTTCGCGAGTTTGGCGGTGATGGTGATTTGTTTAGCAATCCATCATCAAGATCCGGATCACCTGCCCCTTGGCAGTATTCTCGTTCTAACTCGAACATGTCCGTGCCACGTCACGCAGACGCTGCAAAGGAGTCAGAGTACGAAGGTGCCACATATCCAACCGGTTATCACCCCCCATCAACATTTCGACCGATGCCGTTGACACGCCAGCCTTCTGAGATGTCTACGGACCAGTATCGTACAATGGGCAGACAAGGTGACCTCTCAGACGTGAACTTGTTAGATGATGCAGCTCCGCTGGGAAAAGCCACTTCTAGTCAGTCACACATATCAGATACACATAAGACTGGTTGATGTCAGAACGAGTCATGTCATTGAATGCCGGCGTAAGGGAGCATTTGCATATAGATTTTATCTAGGAACGGTCAACGGCGTATCCCCAACATGGTCACCATGACACTAATTTTATTAGTCTACATTTCATATCCTGGTTTACATCTTGTTCCTAGAACTGGTTCGGAATCCACGAGTAACTGGGGAAATGACTATACGGCGAGCCTTGACTCACGAAACGAGCATTTATAGACGATTTTTGACATAGCATTATCAAATATTAATTATGGAAAAAGTTACGTATCACGAAGACAAGCGAAGACGAGGGAGTCATTCTGGGCTTTGAATTTGAACAATACCTTTACATACACGGCTACTTAGTGTGTGTTTTACGTACGTGCTCTAATAGTTGAGTGGTTTACTGACTAGTGGCACCGAAGCCACGAGGATTTTGACAGAGATCCCGCTAGACTAGGCGTTGATCAGTTGTCAGAAAGTCGAATAGAGATATGAAGTGAGGCACACGTGTTACTATGCCGACCCAATAAACATGATTCGGTACCTGCATTTGATCTTTCTTTAAGGGATAAAACTTCCCCTTTGGGTAGCTTGCGCGTACTTTTATGAGCACATTAGTCAGTTTAGCAAAACTTGTCTCCCCAGTTTATCTGACTCGATCTGCTCCCCTTGACGATCGCTTGAAAACTGGAATTAATGAAACCATTCCTATAGGCCGGTCATCTCAGATCACTGGAACCCGTGATCAGCACCTTGAGATTCTAGACCATTGACATCCGCCGGTCCGTCTTGATCCCAAGCGGAAGAACCCCGGGTGTCATGGAGTATGCGTCTGAGGACGACTCAGGCGAAGCGGGTCCGTGGCCCGTTGGGCTGATGTGGCGATCACGGCACTAAGTCAGGTCCGCCGTTCCACACCCGGCCTCCAGGTCTATAAGAGGCCGACACGGAGACTCTCGATCTTGAATTCTGGAAAATCTACAAGTTCACATCCCATTGTCAACTCACCACAATCATTCATTTGCCTAAGCGCAACTTTTCGCGGGTCGACTTTCTTTTCCGTACTCGCCAGACTTTCACTTCCAGTCCTTTTCCCAGTCTTTCTCGGGTTAAATAGACGCAACTATTGCCTGAGTTAGCCACCACATTCTTTTGCGCCCATTATCGCAGACGCACCCCGCGGAACTTCAACGCAACGAGCAAAATTTCAGTCGCTAGAACAAAGCACCATTTTACAAACATGCCTTCTTTCGCTCAGATCCTGATCGCCCTCGGCGCCGCTGGCAGCGCCCTCGCAGCACCCCTTGCCAACACCAGCGCGGCCGTCACTACGGAGCAGCGGTCCGCTGGGCAGACCTTCACGGGCGACATCACCTACTATCAGCCTGGGCTCGGCGCCTGTGGCGAAACGAGCTCGGACAGCGAGACCGTCGTGGCGCTTTCGCCGACGGAGTACGATGGCAACTGCGGCAAGACTATCACCATCACCAAGGACGGCCAGACGGCTACGGCCAAAGTCGTCGACAAGTGCCCGAGTTGCGCGAGCGGAGCTATCGATGTGTCCTCCACCGTGTTCAAGTCGCTGGCCGACATGTCGGTTGGGCGGACACAGGTCTCTTGGTCGTTCAATTAAACGGGAAGGAAGCAAATTTGTGCTTTCGATGGATAAGGGGTGATAGAGGACGGGGGGCTAGTCCCTGCGCTGGACGCAGATGGGACTTTATCCGCTTTGCTGTCGTGCGGGTCATGACGCGGGCGGTTGTATAGCCTTGGGGGAAGGGGGTTGACGAGTATGTCTGTCGCTTTATGCATGTTTGTGATACCATCGGAGAAGGATATGATAGAGGATAGCATTCTAGAGCTTTTTGCCATTTCGCACAGCAAGCGGTGATGCTAGTTCTATAGAATACACTCATTGACACATTTATTCAGTTTTTACATTCCATTGCAACTTTATCATCGATCATGTTAGCGGTGTAATATGAGCTTCGTAGTCTTAGCTGTATATTTGATTGCGCTATTGAAGGAGTGAGAAACGCGAAAGACACTGCCTATAAACTGATCGCCTTCCTTCTATAAGCCCTTCTGATATATTGAGGTTTGGTGGTTAGCTGGACCAAGCGCAGGTCCAAACTCCGAGCGAGTCCCCTCCGGCCACGGCCTCGGATCGTTACTAGGAATAGTATCCCGCTCTTGGAACGGGTCTTGTTATGAGACCAAAGAAGCCCGCACATGTACCCCGCTTGACGCGCGTGCAATGTACAAGATTCCCCGCACCGAGTCGAGACGGTTGCAGCCTGCCTCATTCTTGTGGTTTTGGCCATGAGACATCTTTCGATTGATTCTCTCTTCAGCTTTATGATCGAGAAGCTAGGTTTCCATGAGAATCAGAGTATATGGACCAGCTATATGTCACTTTGGCACCAGCCGTCACATTAAGTGTAAGTTTCATGTTGTCGAGATATCATAATCAATGGTAATTAGTTGATCCAGTCTTCATAATCCCCCTTGTCGTCATCTCCAAAAAGCTCCACGTACAATGAATGTCCGATCATTGTGCAGTATAACCCCCATCAACTGCCAGAGTCGCACCGGTGATCCACTGTGCCTCGTCACTTGCGAGGAACACAGCTGCTCCCACAATATCTCCAGGCACGCCAAGACCCATGGGATGCGCTGCTTCAATAGCTTCAAAATTGTTGATGTTGGCTATTGCATCCTTGACAATTGCGGTTTTAGTATCTGTCAAAAAATGAGTACTTGGGCGGGTTCCTTTGTTAACGTGCGGTAGTACTTACACCCGGGACAGATCGCATTGCTATGAATCTTGTGCTTCGCGTAGTCTAGACCGACTTGCTTGGTGAGATTTGTCACCGCTGCTTTGGAAGCCGCGTATGAAGCTGGGGTCGGTCAACACATACTTGTATTCTGCTTTGATCGGTATTGATAGAGATTCTTACGAATAGCCCTTCCTGCGACGAGTCCATGGACAGAGGCGATATTGATGATCCATCCTCTGTGACCAGATTTATGGGGTTCTTGCTGTAACATCTGCGTGATTGCATATTTTGAACCAAGGAATACTGACTTGAGGTTCACGGCCATCGTAATGTCCCATACGGACTCTGGTGTTTCATGCACTGGTGTCGGGGCCTGACGCGATTCCATGGCGATGCCAGCATTGTTCACTAGTCTGGATTGCATGTTAATAGCTTCATCCGCATTGATGATCATCTCTTACATGTCTACGCGGCCAAATGCCTTGACAGCCTCACCCACTAGATTCTCAACATCCTGAGCTATGCTAACGTCAGTTTTGACGAAGATAGCCCGTCCTCCATCTGCCTTGATTGCGTCGTCGGTGTAGATGTTTGCCTCTTCAGCGATCTGGGCCCGAGCTTCCCGGTTTAAGTCCGCACATACAACGGCTGCTCCTTCGCGGGAGTATGCAAGCGCTATGGCTCGGCCCAGGCCGGAGGAGGATCCCGTAACAATAGCAACCTTCTCAGAGAGTCGAGGAGCCATTGCGTTCTGTGTTTACTATTGGTGGTGCCTTCGCTGAGCGCATTTAGGGATGTTGGAAATTTAGTCAATTATATACCCATCACCACCGGTGAAAAGAATGCAAGGATCTACATCTTCTTCACGAATAACCATATTGCTCGTACTTTTAGTAGGTTGCGAGCCTGCGTTGCCTAAGGTACTGAAAGTGATTGGTCAAATGCGAGCTGAAATAATTCCAGGGATCTCGAATATGCGGATAGCATGGGTGGAGATAGCAACGTGTCCGGATGTACCGGTAAGTCGAAGAGATTCGTCAGTTGTTGATAACCTAAGGTTACATACATAGTTTTCCGTAGCTTGCCGCGCATGGATTCTTCGGAGAATTGATCTTTGTCAGAAACAATTGGCCTTAGGTTTTACTAACTCCAACTGAGCTTCATCAGCTATGCGACCGTGAAGCAATATAGAATCTTTATGTGGAGAGGTTATGTTCTAACCAAGCCTGTACGTTGTTAAGGAGAGCGGGGTCTTTGCTGCTTTTGGTAGCACTGGTTCCATAATCTTTCATCTTTGGGCATCCCAAGTATTGGGTAAGGTTGGTGATGGTTAGTGTTACATACTTAATATGTAGTTCACATCACACGACTAGGCAAATGGTGAGATAAGTAGTGCTTCCGATATTGTCATGAGTAACCCCCCTCTCTCATTCTCATTTCCGTGCATCCAGATGAACTGCAACCAGGAAGTCTTCTCAGAATGTCTTCAACGTCACAGAACCTTTTAGATCTACTACGAACCCTATCCACGGTTGACTGCGATACCTTGGATGTTGAAGGTATGAGTTCCAGCGAACTGTCTCCAGGCTAGCATTGTACAGCTAATTAATTACCCTTCCACAGTTGCCAAACAATTAGGCCCATTTGTCGATTGTACTTCTAATCAGGTGAACAAACCCTCTCTATAATCATGATTATCTACTACCTAGTCAGGTTGTTAATCACAATTAAAGGCAATTGCGTATAATGAACTCACTAAGACCGATGTCGAAGACAATCTGATAAACCAGCGACTTATCACGGATTCCATTGCCTACGCGAAATCCAAGACGAATGATTTCGCAGACGTCGACGTTAAAGAAGTGGCCGTTGAGGCAGCGACAGTCAAATTAGCTCACAGCATTGCCCCTTACCTGACAGGATATTCTCATGTTCAGACGAACCCCAAGTACTCGTTTGACACACAAAAGACTCTAGCAAATGCTCTGCGTGAGTTGTCTCAAGAATATAAGATCACGGAGTCTAACTTTCTTCAGGGTTTGTCGCAATTTCAAGAGATCTCGATCCGGGCTTTGACGTTAAAAGGTTGTGCGTTAAGATCCCCACAACATGGGAGGGTGTCCAAGCTTGCAAAGAACTGGAAAAACAAGGCATTGCCACTCTTGCGACTGCTGTCAATTCCATACCGCAATCTATTCTAGCTTCAAATTTTGGATGCACTTACATCGGCCTGTATATCAATGATCTCCGAGTTCACTTCGATGCGTCGTGAGTCCTATTATAGACTTACTATAAAGTTACATATGCTCACTGTTTTGACAGATACGTGGATGAGAATAAAGGTTTCCATGTTGGTAATTCGGCCCAAAGGTATGTTATTGCAGGATACTTGGGAGAGAAGTCCATCATACTCATTAGCAACTAATAGATTCTATGGAAAGCATGGACAGCGTACGCAAGTCCTTGCAGCTAGCCTTACCTCGATTCAAGAGGTGATGATGCTTGCGGGTGTTGCTCATATCACCGTATCCCCGCCTTTACTCTATGAACTTTCCAAAACACCTGCGAATACTTGGAAAGGGGACGTGGGCTCGGTTTTTAAGACCGCATCATCAGAAGCACAAGATATAGATGCTGTCAACACCGAAGACGAATCGACCTGGCGCCTGGCTTTCAGTAAGGATAAAGATGGGAAGAGTGAAACAAAATTAAATGATGCTATTTCGTTATTTACAGATAAACAAGACGCCCTGGAGAGTCTCATAGCCTCCTATCTTTGAGCTTCCCGCTCGGGATATAAAGAGCTTCAAAATTTCAGAAGCTGTACCTATCAGCAGCTAGAAAATGAAAAGGAGTCTTCCGTTTCTCGGTGCATAGCGGTACCAGCAGAATAATCCCATATTTTCATATGCTGACCGAGAAGAAAACGGAAGTGGTACACCTACGCTTTGCTGCATCTCACGGCACGCGCACGTGTTATAATTTATTAGGTAATCTTAGGAAATTGAAAAGTTAGAATTTGCTGCCTACTACTCCGTACCCCGTGGGCTGAACATTCACTTGCACCGCCACAAGTAACTGAAGGGTAATAGTCCCTGCCTCCTCAATAAAGTCAGCTGACCGACGCCACGACATCTATTCTTGAACGACCTCGACATACATAGTACAATCAGTACTAGCTCGTACACAACGCGGGGATGGTCACTCGGGTCATCCTGATGGTATCCCTTGGCGAAAATGGGCTTTTGAACAGTGCACACTGACAGAGTAAACCTATCATCCTAGCAATTGTAAAGAGATTCTATATGAGGAACGTAGCCTTGAAGGGCTCGATGTTCCGTAGACGATAGTTCACCTATCCCTTGCGACCTTACCCCTTGCTGGCAATCACCGTCAACATAGGTAGTTGGGACACTTGCGAGTAAAAATGTACGGTTATAGTATCGAACAGATAGGTGCAGGCGTCGCGGCTAGTATGAAAGAGTGGAAAATTTTCCAGGAAGCTCGATCAATGAGTCTTTAGAAATATAGAACCTGGTTGACGATGCTCTCTATGTTGGAATGAAAGCTGCTGAAAGCCACTTTCGCCGACTTTTCTGCCGAGTAAAGATAGTGCTCGGCAATTCTATGGTGTGACCATAGCTTCCCTCCTCCCAGATCCTACTACTTAAGTAGTGTGGTGTAAATTTAGCTGTGGTCAATGGAATCATGGGCGGTTAGAGCTATATTGGGAGCAACGCAAGGGTACATACTAGACAAGGTTCAATGGAAGGGATACCGTGGCAATTTTGAGCCCTTAGATAGGCAGGATTTATGAAGAGCGCCGGATGAGGGCTGAACCATTCGTCCTGCTAATTGCTCGTCACGGCATTCCCACTGTCGCAAATCCTGTCTTTTTTGATCGCTTTGGGCCTGTGAAGATCTCATTCATCTGTGGATGATACTTATAACTGTTGTTGCAAATCAGGCACAACACCCTTAGTTTTCGCCGGGGTCTCCGGCATTAGTTAGTTGCTTCCCCTAGTTCCGCTAATTCTGATTATACGCTATTTCTACTCTAGTCATCACTTTGAACACCATTTTAGCTCTGTAACCTTCTAACCTTGGTGTCTAGGTTCATACTACCCTTGCTAACATATAGACATTACTGGTACTACAATTTGTTACAAATTATGGGCTTGATGAATGAAAAGATATGTAGCTTTTAAGTAGCGGCTGTTATCATAGTACATTGCCTTTAAACTTATGTGTAAACCTAGGTACTGAAATCTAGCAAGTCTCATTGGCCCAAATCTCTCTTGGCAGGCCACGGAGCTGAATTGGTGTTCAAACTGGGAGTCCAGAAAAAGAGTACTTCATGAATTGCAACCAGATGGGCCTTGCGATGCTTAAATGCACAGGCAGCTAGCTGAGAAAGAATACAAGCATGGAGAGTGAACAGTCGTCCAATCTTTACGGGTATATTAGATCTATTGTCATTATTTTCACTATGAGTTAATGGGTATAAAGGTCATCCATCATTATCTAGTAACTGCCATTCCCAATCCATCTGCCGAAGAAGTCCGGCTCTCTTCCTTCCCTAATTGAGCTACGTCGGGTACTGTGATATCCTTGTTTCTTCCAGCTTCTATTGTTACAAGAACATGTGTATCGACGTCGCCGTTCTCCCACACTTCTCGATATCGCCGCGATGGCCAGTTTGGCCAAGTTGTTTGATTGGGATAGCCACGACTCGGGTTCGTCGTCGGTTTGGATTTAGATCGCACGAGTGACCCCAAGTGTCTAGCACAGGGTAAATCACGTATGACTTTCGGGATAGCTGGGATGCCGATGACGAGGTATCCGAATGTCTGCTCGGCTATTGCCCAGAGATTGATAGTCACTACATGAAATAAGATATCACCTGTCCGATAAGCCGAGGAGACGTAGACTACGCGTGCTATAGCACTGCCAGTAGCACTATCCAAACCATGTTAGTCTGCCCACCTGCCACGCATTTCCAAGCACGGGATGCACTTACAGGGCGCCTATCACGAACAGGACCGACACACCGACCTTCCTCACGGTCGATAAATTCAACTTCCATATAACCCAATGCGGTGCGATCAAAATGGTGAGGTCAGATATGACATTGATAACGCCCGAGGCCACGTTGTACTTGGGCACGTCCAGGTTGCATCTTGAGGTGTTAACATCCTCAGGCGGACATTGGAATGCCTCGATAAAGGTTCCAATCAAATAAAAAACGGCATTAGTCCATATTAGAGTATGCAGGATCCAGAATAGGCCGTTACGTGTACCTGTTGGCACAAAGGTGTGAATCCAGTCGATTAGGACAGCTATCTTCAAGAAAACGATGTTGAGGCCGAAAAACACACTTCCAAGTTTAAAGTTCTGAAATATTGTTAGCCATGCAACTCCATACATCCAAGAACTTCGCCTGTTTACATAATGCGACGCAGCAGCGAGCGTGGGATTGTACTGCCACTGGTGTACACCAAGCCCGGGGTAGATCGCAGCTTGATACGCGTTGTAATGGTGAACAATATAGAAAATCTAAAGAACAATAAGAGGTTAGCTTCGTATTTCATAACAAGTTATATGCGCTATTGCCATGATGTACCATTGATATGACCAGCAATATATCGGCGATGCCCAATTTCCTCATTATGTGCCTCGCAAGAAGGCGAATTATCAGAGCGAGCAAGGCTATAACACCTGTAAGAATGACGATTACTTTCGGCAAAACATGATTCCCGATGTCCCCAGCAGGTGCGGCTTGCTGATCCGCATCCATTTCTCTCGATCCAGTGTAAGTAGGCAATAGAACCGATGTCGAGCGAACCGGTCCGGTCGAGCTCGCTGTTGTTCAGCTGTCCATCGGAGAACCGCACCCAAAGGATAGACAGGTAGATGGCGGAATGCGGGGTTGTACGAAATGGAGAATAGATACAAAAAGGAGGAATGCAGCAGACTAGGGATGAAGGGAAATGTATAAAAGAAAAAAAGGCATCGAAGATCCCGTTGATGTGGACGAGCTGACAGAAATCCACTTAGATGGGGGCATCCCTTGGCCATTCGAAAGTTAGCGTCCCGGCATCACGCACCTGTATGTAAGAGATCCTTCGCATATGCGGGTAAGGATTAGAGAGGCGGGCTGGCCGTGGTCCCTACATAGAAAGACTTGATCTTTGGTCTCCTGCCTTTGCCTCAAATGAGACACGATGGATCGAAGTGCGTTTGGCGAGGGCCAAAATGGGGAAGTATCGCCCATCGCTATTACTATCTGCTTACGTATACTAATACCCAAGTTCTTGTCGCAAGACTGTCAATGGCCCAAAGAATGAAGATCACCCATGTTGAGAACTGCGACACCCCCAACTGCTTCAGAGCCTGCTTCATCCCGCGCAACTAGCGGCTCGAATCAAATTTTGAAAGCGTCATGCTGGTAGCGTATGTACAGTACCATCGTACGAAGGTTGATGTGTAATGTAGGTATCCGGCAGGGATATTGACAGACAGCAGATGAGTCGAAGCTGATCTTTTCTCGATACTGTATGTTACTTGAACAGGGATAGTAATAGCGCCTTACAGCACGCCTGTACCTAGCCAGGAACGCGCTTTAACAGTCCCCCAGATTCCCTAGATCTAAACTATGCTGTTAAGGTGAGAGGCGTATATCTTCCTCTGTTTCGCCCAAGTTTTTCAAGTTGCCAAACCCTCAGGGCTGCGCATCGTAGTGCCTAGAGGTATTGACTATTCTTGCTTCGGCCCACATCTTTGAGTCTAGCGTAGAGTCCATGTTCTAGTGTAGGAGATCGAATCTTCCATCTGCGAAAGGATGCTATTACTGTGGAGTTTTACAGAGGAGTTGATGGCCAAATACACTAGGTAGGCGAGTAGGGTGTCTCGGGTGTAACTAATTAAGCCGCCAAGATACTATTAGCAATCCTACAGCATCCATCACGATGCCAGATTGGGGAGGTAGTGTGAGCTAAGGTCGTCCGAACGGCCCAGTCAAATCGAATGTAATTATAAGGGACATTCAAAAAAAAAACTGGTGTATTCCTTGCCTATTGCTTGAAATCATTCTTTATGCCTAGCACTTCCGATTCATCGTTATTACGGTGGTTACATTATTGCCGTGTAGCTTTACATGTGCTTACCTATGTCAGTCAGGCATACCCATCGGGTCAAAACGTCAAATGCCTACTGCACTGCTAGCTAGGTAGTAATACCGGCGTACTTAGTGTCAGCCTAGGAAGGGAGGAACCTCGCTGTACACAAATCGTCAATATCATTTCAAGTTCGCCGCCATGCAATACCGCCGATCTTGCGTTACCAAGGTCATGCATGGCCCTTTATAAAACCCACCGGAGCGTATTACATGCGAGAAGTGCACGTTTGTCCTGTCCAAGACTCCAGTAACACTGAGTTATGACTGATATCACTAAAGGCCTGTCGGTCGAACCACATGAAGATACCATATACTTCGTTCGCAATATATGCGGTATTATGACAGGGTTGTGGCAGGAGGAGTACTTCGTATGGCCCCCGGCACAAAGCACCCTTGAAACGCAGCCAGATATCCGATAAGAGCCCCAGATTCGGCACCGAGGAACGCTTCACAGAGTAAAGCCCCCGGCTCGCACTGCACCACGGCGAAATTTTGCTTCGGGCGCGAGAACCGGCGGAGGCCAAAAGAAGCAGACGGTGGACAGAGACTGTTCGTTCACTGCAACACTGTTGCGCGGCGAATGTGTTTGTAACAGTCGATCTCAGGCTTGTTTAAGCTTGACGTAAAAACCACTGCGACTCTGGAAGACAACTCAGCGTATCGGAGGGTCCGCCAACGTATATATCGCGTCATATAGGGTTCCGGATGATCATCGCTGCATAGCCGTTAGTACCCCAAGTCATGCGAAAGCGGTGAAACAGTCCGCGCATCTCAGTGCATGCCACTCACATTGTTACAATCAGCATGGTGTTATGTTACCTCGAGCAACCCCGTGAGGCCATATTGTTTGAGGCAGATCCCATTTAAAGACCGGGAGACAAGCAGATGGCACCAATCGACCGAAATACTTGTGATGAGCTGTAGTTGGGCGAGAGGGTGTTTAAAGGCCAGTGGCTCTCATGTTTTCAGCTGAGAGTCCTGAAATCAGGAGCAAGGAAGGAGAATGAGAGTGATACTAGACAGTGCTTAATAAGTCATAATATTGGCTTGTTGGTCAAAGTAATAAGTAGGACGAATACGCCTGTTGTAATAGTTAGTCCCGCGTGCTACTCTTACTGGGTCAAGGAAGTGAATGTTCACTGCGCAGTATTTTCGAGTTGCTACATTGGCACCAACAATAAGAATAATGTGTCTATCAAATCTGTTCAGCTTGGACTCAAGTATAATGAGTGCAACATGGTTTGCGACTTCTTGTCTGATTCTTAATGATAGCAACTTGGGAAACTACAGAAGGTGAATAAAGTAATTTTGAATAGCACACCGCTAACCAATGCTAAAATAATGTATCAGTATCGTATCAACGTGGGCCAACTCCGGGCTTTGAACTGACATACCGGTATTATTCTGCATACCGGCTGTTCAGTCATTCTTAGTCTCTTGGATAAATCACAGGCAAGCAGGTTTGCAATCATGACTACTTCTCATATGCTAGGCTAGCATGCTATTTTACCCCTGACTGCGTTAGAAGTAGTGACACCGCGGCATTCCGCTTTATTCATAATCATCAAGATCTCATTATCAGACCCTAATTTCTCAAATTTCACTTTCTTGAGATACTATTTTCATGGACCTTGGTTGCCAGTCACCCGCCCTGAACAGTATGATTCTCTTATTAGACGGAAGGGGTACATATAAACGGATAAGAACCTACTAGGTACATGGCGGTATCTATAGTAGAGGATGGATATAAGTTGAATAAAAAGTTGTAATACCGCGAGCTCCCATATAGGCGTTTCGACGACATGTCACGATAATTCTCCGGCTCATACACATTCCCAGTTCGCCGCGTCACTAATATTCCCCCTCCCGCGATACTGTAGTTCCTTCGGGAACTTACAAATGTTTCTAGACTGTCCATTTCCTGAGAATAAGATCGTTTCCGGCGCCTTGCCATTTTCAACCCATTCAACGAGAGGCGCAAGATTGTCGATTGGAATTTGAGGCCCATAGCCATTTTCACTGCCACAGTGGCCGAGGCCAGGAGCCATGAAGATGCGGTAGAACTCATCCGTGCTCTCCTCACCACCGGCGAGCTCCACGACCCGTTTCCAGTAGTCCACGGTGCCCAATGGAGAAATTATTTCATCGGCCCATCCGTGCCAGGTCAATATTTTCCCACCGCGCTCACGATAGGCCGACAGATCGGGGTTATCGGTACCCCATAGATCGCCAAGCTCAGACACGGACTGACGGAAAAATTCCACAAGCTCGGCCTCCTTGATGTTGCTGACATCGATCTCAGGGTCCTGCAGTAACCAATCTGCGATCCATCGTGTAGAGATGTCAAAGCCGGGTGGTGCTGCCAAGATTTCGACATCTGTGCCCGGTTCTAACCCGTACCACAAAAACTCGCCCCATTCATCTGTTAGCCCATTCCGGATCTTATTCCATGCTATCGCGTCCTGTTCCGTGATAATAACTGTACTATCTCCATCACATGGTAGCTGCATGCCCACCACCTCCATTGCGTTGAATTCACATTTGAGCGGATTGCTTATCAACCCGTCAGCAGCGCCGTCGAGCAGGTCGCAGGCCTGAATGCTCGCATTTTGCATGGCACTCAGCTTGCACGAGGAAATGACCTCGCCGACCTGGTTCTGCACAGCGAGGGGCCAGTAGTCCACCACGGCAAACTTCTCCCAGTTGATTGCAGGAGCACCTGCGAAGATACCGTCATAATCTTCTGGATAACGCTGAGCTTCACTCATCCCTTGGCGTCCGCCAGTACTGCATCCAAACCAATAGCTATATTCCGGTTTCTTCCCGTAGAATTTTTCAGACAAGTCTTTGCCAATGAGCGTCATTTCGTGAAAAGACAAGTGTACTATAAGATACCAAGTCAGTTTTTTGCTATTCACCCCTGAATGTCATATCTTGCCAATTCATACCAAAGTTCTCGACCGATTGAGTTGAGTTATACCAGAGCTCCGTCTTGCCCTCCAGGTTGACTCCGGCATCTGTTGCTCCAGCCGAATAGCCACTGGTCACGGCCGGTACGAGTTCGAAGTCAAACTCGCCTGCGGCGAACTACACATTGCGATTTCGGTTAGATCTGCATCATGACAGCAATGGGGCCTTGATGGATGAACTCACGCCGCCACCTCCAGTACCCTGCCACCTCCCATTCCACCCATCGAGCGGGAGGTAGATGGCAAAGCGAACCGCGTCGCCTGCATCGTCATGCGTTAAGAACACCTCAACGTCGCAGATATTGACATGGCCGGCCACGCCATTGTAGGTAGGCAGATCATAAGTGACGTTGTAGCGCTCTGTCGCCGTGACATTTATAAGAGTAGTTCCATCAGGCGGCGTGACTGTCAACGACGAGCAGGCCGTTATGGGGGGAAGAAGAAGAGTCGTGCCTAGACAGCCCTGAATGAGGCTCCCGAGTGCTAGGACAATGCCAAGCCGGTGAAGCATTCTCCTATGATAGAATTTCAGACTGTCTATCGAACCTCGCATCTGAACGCGTGAGCGGAGCGCATCCAACCCATAGGTAGCAGGCGCAGTGCGGCCGTTTTCTATATATACGAACACCTTACAAGCATTATTCTTAGTGCCGGAAACTATGACTATTTGGAGCGCAGCACAGATACTTTCCGACGGCAACGTTAACGAAGGTAGAAACTTGGCGCGGAGAACTCACGCTTGTCTCCCCGCATCTTAAAACCCCAGACACGTCTTAGATACAGAGGGAATGCGGCGCAGAGGTCAGCACTACACCGTAAGATAGGGCCCTAAGGTATTACGTTGCTAGGATAAAGATCCTTTAATGGTAGATTATTGGCGCATTGCCGGATGAAGGAATTAGGCGGTGACGTATGATAGCAACGCGGTGGTGGTCGCATGGAAAGTGGAAAAATAAAGTGTCATGCTTTCTCGTGCCGCCTACCGGGAGCTTGCGAGCAAGAGTCAATTGCCTGTGACAAAGGAAGCCGTCCCGTCCCGCGACTATGTCGCAATTTATTCGAACTCAGTGTCTCGTGCGGATCCCGAGAATTTGGGTTCATACTGACGCTGGCTCTCCGTCGTTGGCATGCAATATGATCAACCCAATTATACACTCAGTTCTGATCCTGGCGGTGAACTCCACATCATCTGAACCACGCCCTTGTATATGCGATCCAAGGAATAGCAATTGCACCGTGAACTACGCATCTAGCGATAGGGACAACAGTACCTGTATTCGGGGCGGAAGTGTCGCAATAATATTCTTGACTTAACCTCCATGAGTGGTTCACGCGCTGAGCACCTTCGTACGCCCACATACATATACGACGCGCTTACAGGCTTCTACCGTACAACCAATTGAAGCAAGTTATGCAGCTCATATAGGGAAATGAGGCTATTCCGCCTTCCTTTACATAGGATACACCACTGCATTCCCTGCTTTGTGGGCTTGTTCAGTCTGAGGATGAGAATTCATCGCCGGTGGCGCAAGACGAGCGCAAGACATAGAATGCTGGCGTGACGAATACTCAAGGTGCGAAGAGTTGATGTATGTGATCAAGGTGGAATAAGTATAAGGGACTTGCTCTTGACGGTCGCGCACTGTCTTCAGGTAAGCAAACATTAGCTAATAGTCCACCAACAGTAGGCACATAGTGGGTCTATATAGAGGAAACCTTGGTACTGTATAGCCCATCTTTCCACGAACGAACAGAAGAAAGCTTTGCGAATATTCAACTCAGGATCGACGACGTCCAAAATGGCCAGCGATACCACATACACAGTTGGGCCCAAGGCTGCGCACACGCAAACGGTAATCTTTCTGCATGGCCGTGACAGCAACTGCAGGGAATTTGCCGACGAGCTTTTTGAGAGCGAGGCCTCCGAGCCAGCTAACCAGCCGCGAACGCTGCCAGACCTTTTCCCGGGCATCAGATGGGTGTTTCCCAGCGCCCCGACACTGCAGTCCGAACGCTTTGGCACAGACATGTCGCAGTGGTTCGACATGTGGTCCGTGGAAAACCCGGCAGAACGTCCGGAGCTGCAACATCCTGGACTGCATCAGAGCGTCAAACAAATCCTCGGGGTCATTAAGGAAGAAGAGATGTTAGTGCCACGGGAAAGAATCTTCCTCGCTGGGATTAGTCAAGGCTTCGCGACCGCCATAGCGGTCCTTTTTGCTGCTGCGCCAAAGAGGTTCGCCGGATTGATAGGACTATGCAGCTGGATGCCGGCCGCATTACGCGCGGAGGATTTCCAGAGCTTTGAACGCGCATCGGATGGGAAATTGAACCGCAGCACACCTGTTTTCCTCGGGCACTCCAAAGACGACGAGGTCGTGCCAATCAAAAACGGCAGAGACCTCAGGGATACCCTCCAGTCACGGCGGCTTCAAGTCGAGTGGAAGGAATATGAAGATGGCGGGCATTGGGTCAATGAACCTCAGGGTGTGGATGATATTGCTCGCTTCATAAACAGTCACATGCTTGATAAGTCCTCGGAGGGACCTGGAGGATAAATTGAGAGCGCAGAGTCGTGCCACTCAACGAATACTAAGTGATTATCTTGTTGGTGATTGCTCGACATGTATGATTCTAGCTCCATATAGAGCCGCGCCTTGTCAGATTCACAGGTAGCAATTGAATTGAGCGTTGTGCAAATGCGGCGTCAGCGTTATAAATGGTGCTTTCGTCGGAACCGTCTGGTGAAAAATCTCCCTCGATAGTCTAAGATCCTGACTACTGTCCTGCCATAAGACTACAGAATAATGGTCCGTCGGAAGAGGATCATCATGAGTCTATCATATGATAATCCAAAAGCTTCTCAAGTTGCAAGTGGCTACGAAGGCATTCGACAGGAGGAGCTTTGGTTTCCTTAATGCGGTGCCCTAGTGGGTTAACACGCTGATGGCAAAACGGAGGCTTGGCAGCTATGACCGGGATCGTGGGACTACTACAATGAGTTAGCAGAGGCCTTTGTTCTCTATCTTATAACCAATAATACCTACCTATACAGATGGTGGCCCCATATGAGCCTTGCCTTATATGTGACACTCGAGTCGTGACAACACTTCCTAAAGAGGTATATGCTGAAGGCCCTGGTTAGGTTTCGTGGGTTAAGAGTCTAACTCTTTCATTTTGATATGATTAGGCGTAGTAATATCAACCTAATATATAACCCAAATCAAGGGATACTAGTGGAAATAAGAGTTGATTATTTTAAGAATGAAACTCATCCCCCAACGTATGTGAAGTAAGGAAGCTCGAGCTATTTGGCAGACCAAAAGCAGCGCACCATGACCTCTACGGTTCCTCCTAGGCCCCTTTACCAACTAACAATTTAACCACGTCTCAAGATTTCCTATCGAGCGGTAATGCTTGGTATTCTTCGTCTTCCTCTTTCTCTCCACTGTGTGTCATCCAATATAGTTCGAAAGCCTGCGCAGGTACGTACCATTTGCCACACACACAACTGACCAACTGAACTGACAGACTGGCTAGCCACCTGCAATAGCCCGTGGGCTGTCACAACAATACCGACAAATTCATGCATTCAACAACACGGCGGTTGCAATACTGATACCGATGCCGACCCAGACACCCCGTGATATACCGCTCATGGTCGCTGAGGATGGAGGGTCCATATTCGAGTCATCGCCATCAAGTCCGTTGCAATCTACTTGGCCAATGAGACCCTGACTTTGTTGAAAGACCAAGTGTGAGCAGTTGAAGTCGTTATTCGACGCTTCGATGGTAATCGACTGCTTGACAAGTTTCAGGGATGGGAAGATATTCCCAAATGAGGAACTGTAATTATTAAACAACAATGTCCGTTGTAAGACTGAGAAAGGGGTACCTACGTATCTATTTTCCCTTTAAGTTGAATTGAGTCTGCAAATTCCAGGTTTCGGAAATCTCCAGGTAAGAGACTCTCGCCATTGTTTTCCATTACCAAATTACCGACACTGCTGAGGTCTGAGAATACGAATTTGGTATTGATACTATCGCGTACCGACAGCTGTTTTCCCACAGTGGTTAATGTTGACAGATCCAGCGTTCCATTAGACCAATCCTGAACGGCAAAATTGCCATCAACAGACTGCACGTCCCAGAGCGAGTTTACTAAGTCCTTCGCGGGGTCATCATCATCAAGGGGAACTCTATGCTGAACCATGAGATCGCCTCCGACCTGGAGTGACAGGGATGAGAGAGTAGGAAAGAAAAAATTCGTGAACGTCGCGTTGTAGATGTAGGCTAACTGAGGGACGCGCAAAACCGCACCATCACTTTCCAAATCCGTGATTGACTTCAGTGTTGGAGAAGTGATCGCTGTGTCTTGAAGCTGCAATACACTCAAATACGTGATGTCCTGAAATGTAGTAAGTCTGGAGCCATTGACTTGTCTCCATTCGCTTGTCCCGTTGCCGTATACTTGCACAGTATCGTAGGTCCATTGACTGCGGCGACTGTTCGCCAAAGTAACAGCTCGGACAGCTCCACCGAAAGGCTCGACTGGGACGGGTAAAATCAAGGATCCGTTGTAAAATTCTTCGATGTACAAGTTCTCCACAAGGTCGGTTGCATTCAGATCCAAGTTCAGATGGTCTTCCAGACCGGTGACTGAGATGTTGTTCACTAGGAGCCCTGGCGGGAAGATCAAATCAGTAGTAGGTGATATGATGTTGATGGAAACATCATTGCCCGTACACTGTGCGAGGCCGGTAGTACTGGCGTCGATGTCTTGCTGGCTCGAGATGGTGAAGGCCTGGGGACATGAGTATGTGTCTAGATTCATGATGTTCATGTTAGTATTAGAGTCTTGTCTTGGTTCGTCGAAGGGTTTCTTGGTCATACTCACCCATATTGGATTGGCTCTCCTATCGGCTTTCAATCAACTGGTTCGTTGGCCGATGGAGAGAAAATATTGAAGAATTGAAGAAATGCATCCTTTGGGTTGAGGCAAAGCAATCTTATTTAAATTAAGTGTGATGCAGCAATTGTAGGATTGAATGCTTGTAGCAGCTGAGCTGAAGCCTGGGAACGAAATACGACGTGGATATTAGCTGCCTAGAGTAGATAGATTGTAGCTGTTATCGTGCGGGCCTAACCTATATTGGGATGTTAGAATACACCTTATCTACAATTCTTGGAAATCCACCGAGGATGACAGCCGATCTCGTGCTGTTGCCCTCCATTCAGATATGAAATGCTCCGTTGACCAACTCGCGCGATTGGAACGGCAATCGGTCAGCCGAACCCGCTACCTGTGGGTGTTGGCGGGTCTGGGACGTCGAACGAGCGGTTGGCAGGCTCGGTAGACGCGACTAACCCGCCGTGCCCGGAATAGTAGACGACAACGGCGTCATCCGCGCAAACCTTGTTGATGAGTATTCCCGCTCGAGTCGCGTCGCGTCCGCTGCACCAAAACATCTCAAAGCCCATGCCTTGAAGGACCTTGTCCATTCTCTCGACATCATTCATCGGCCCGCGCAGGCCTCCGAATGGGCTGGCTATCAGGAGAGCCTTCTTGCCCGTCATAATGAGTTGCTATCTGCCGGCAAGAAGTGCACTCGGTATACAATGGGATTATGCTCTGAGGGCTTGGGCACCACTGGAACCCGCCCCATCCGGAGTAAGTAGAGGCCTATATGGTGATGAAAACAGAACTACAGCTCTAGCGCCACTCACCACGAAAGCTGTATTTCAGCATGCAGGCTCCGAAGTGTCAGCCATTAGATAATTACCTTGTTATTGTCACCAAGACTCTGCTGATGGCCGACAAGCTGAGGCAGACCGATACCTGCAGATTTGACCCTGATCTTGAATAAGGGCTAAACATGCCCTCTTGCTCGTTTACAAGCAAAAGTTCCCGGCTTCTCTGTGAGTTATTCTGAATCCCATTTCTTCAAATTCCCCTTCAAATCACCAATTAAACGTGCGAGCAACAATGTAGGACTCTTGGGTGGCGTGTCGGAGTGTCTAATTATATACCTACGCCTAGTCAGTTGCGACTAGCTGGAACAACTAACCGAATCCTTTGTCGCATGATTGAACGCTCAGCAACCCTTGTTCATCCATCCTATCTTGGTTAGATGAATAATGGCGTACCTGGTCAATCTTATCTACCTACGTTAGCTGAGAATACACTCACCCTATTAGCTCCTCATCTCGTCGTCAAGAGTTTTGAGAGTCGTATTGAGAATGCGTGCCTCTCTTAGTCTTTAGTGACGCTGGCTTCTTTGTCGGCATATCTTTGATTGATTGATTGCTGGTGTTTAACGTCGTGAGGGTATGCTACGTAGTAACCTTATCCAAGCCTCCGCAAGGGTATAGGGACGTGACACGCTGTCGTATGTATTGGGGAAGAGTGTGAACCTTTACTTAAGTTCTAAACGTAGGCTATCAGTAGTACGGCCCAGCCTGTTGCACTTGGTGCGGGTGGCGCTGTGTATAGCTGGCTACGCGTGGCCGCGGGTGTAGTCCCTTTATATAAGGGGTCCCCAGATAGACAATGATGAGAGACATATACAATGCGCATTTCAAGCTGTAAGGAACTGCAATCGCCAAGCAGCAGCTCTTCTCAGCAGTGGATTTTTGGCCCGACTGAAACTCACCGCCAACCCCTTGCCACCAGAGCATACAAAGCGGCTCATCCCTCTTTATATAACGCAGGTTACGCCGCAAGTTAATGCGTTATATGAAAATGGTAAAGAGAACTAGAGGATAACGAGTATATTGATGATGAAGAAGGAAGGAGACTAGATCAGGCTGTAGAGATTCGAGATTAACGCACTATAATGGGCTGATATGAAGCATAATTCAAAGAATTTGTCTCATAAGGCTAAGTGATTACGGAAGTGAAGATCTCCGTTTCCATCGTAACCAAGGGAAGTCCCCCAAGAGATCAATGATAGAAATGGCTCTACAGCTGTAGCTTAGGTTCCCTTTACGTGTATTTCCAGTAAGTTGAGAATGCAGAAGAGCTGACACCTTCTAGTTTAAAGCTATCCCAAATTGATGGTTTTCCTCCGTGTTTCACATTCGTCCCAAGCAGACTTCGCGATATCTGTTCATGACACTTGATAACCAATCTTCTTGTCCTCGTCCCAGCTCGGAAGCATGATATTGTATCTTGGGTCACCAGATTTTATCGTACTGTCGTCGTTCTTTTCGACAATTGATGACAGTAGTATGAATTCTCCTTCAATTTCATGCTTGCTAATCCTGTTTGCGCTATAGAAGACGTCGAGTGGAACATCGATAGACCCGATATCCCTGCTAGATAAGAGCCTGATTGTAGCAGATAGGAAGGAACGATAAGCGTATACCTTGATGTTCTTACCCATCGTAGGAGTATGCAGCCTCAAAGTTGCTGATTCGGCTGTGAAGTGCAATAATGTATAGTAAAAAATCGGGTCTCCTGGGGAGCCACGGATAGATTCGCAATGCCAGATTGTATCTCATTTGCCGTTTCCTTTGCTTTCTCTGCTCCTGGGTTGCCATTCAGTAGTCCGCTTTTCTCCGCATCTACCGACTCATAACATTCATTATACCAAACTTTATTTCCTTTATAAATCCAACATTAAGAAGGTATCGGCAAATCCTGCTATCCTTTCTTCTTAGTTGGAATGACCGTTGGACTTCACACGTCTAACGGCGTCGTTTTTGAACGTTTGAGAATGACCGACGGACTAGAGAATCGCCTCGAATTATCAGTTTTTCGTAAGAGAGCGGTATCAAGTTGAGGTTTTGGCATGCCCAAGACATACCCCTCTGGAAATAGTAGCATCTCGGACATAAGCAGGGCACTTACAGGGCCAGAAACGAGACTCGATATTGATCTATATATCTAACTATCTAGATCACCTCGAATAAGTCTCCAAGGCTTCTTATATAGGCATACGCCCAGGCGGTCAAATGGCGAAATATTATACAAAACTGTACAAAATCGCCAGGGGTCATCCTAAATAAGCCCACCCATGTTTACTCTCCCGTGTTGAATAAAGTGCGCCTTGTCAAGTACTCAAGCTCCACTACTAGCCCAACTATACTGTATTTAGTATAAAATAGACTGAGCGCCCCATTTCCTCCTCTCCGTCTTCGAGATGACAGCCTCCCGACACGACGTGCCCGCCCTTCAATCCTCTGGCCAAAATCTAGCTTCGGCTAGTCGTCCCAGAAACCTTTCCCTCCGTAGTTGTTTCCCATGAAAGCTTTACCTGAGCTCTTAACCACGACACCATGATATGTATGGGATGCGCCTTGTGCGCCTTGCCAGCAACCACTGAAAGTGTCGCCAATTCGAGCCATCCCATCGACGGCAACGTTGACATATTGGTGGCCGGGAATGGACCCCATCGGAGACTGCTCGCTAGAGATCTGACTAGAATGTTCTTTGGCAGGTTCAGGTTGGGTTTTAAGGACAGGGGTAAACATCTCAAGGTTGTCGATTAGTTGACGGATGTTGGTAATCAACTCCTCAAATTCCGATTTGTGATATATAGCCCAGACAGTACGCTTCAGGAAGCTGGTATTTTTTTGTCTCTTCACTGACATTTCCTTTATCTTGGTGGTCCACGATACGACGGCAAGGTCTAGCTCATTTGTTGTGAGGGTTGACAGATCGGTCCCGGCCTTCGCACTCGGCTTGTGTTTTTTTGAGAGCTTTTCGGTGTCCGCAAGAAGGACGAGGATCTGCAGAAGGAATCTCTTCGCCATCTCAGTCTCTTCAAGTTTCGCATCCGGCTTCTTTAGCATGGCATCCTCGTCCGCCTGAATGGCTTCACCCCAGCGAGCCAGTCTTACTTTTTCACCCTCTAGGAGTAGCACACATGTCTCATAGTCTCGTCCAAAGTGACGCCCCGATTGAACATAGTTGAAACAATCGATACAAGCAGTAACAGCGGCGGCAATACCAATAGCGCCGGCCGTAATGCTTAACGGATCTGACATTGCGAGCTGTTGGGTATAATATCTATGCAAATGAATGATATATAGAGACTAAAAAACTGAAAACGGGATGACGGGTCGGTGCAAAGGGGACAAGGGAAGATGAGATGCACTCTGAAAGGGGGGGATAGCATGGCAGGTTTATGAGTATTGAGTCTTGGTGGCAAGCCACCCATCTAAGTAAGCCTTCAGGACGGTTCCCTTTTCTTCTACTAGTTGGGACTCCACTTCCGTCACCAACCATCTCTCGGGCTCCCCTCAAGGGAGGCTTTACTAAAGGGATGACAAGGATGACAAGGATGCAAGTGGTTACCTTGTTTGGCCTAAAGATGATTGTGGAGTACTCGATTGGCCAAGAATATGGCATCAGTGAGGCAGATACTAACGGCAGAACAGCATTGCACATCGCCGCCGAGGGGGACTATCTGAAAGTAGCAGAGTTGCTCCTGGATAGGCTGCCGGGGACATGGGATAAGAGGGACCACCATTGGCAAATACCTCTACACCTAGCCGCATTGAATGGACACTGGGGAGTCGTAAAATTTCTGGTCACCAAATATGGTGTAAATCCTGATACAAGAGATCGGTACAATCGGATGGCCTTTCATTGAGCAACATTGGTGGTGGAAATGCTACTGGGCAAAGGGGCAGATAAACACAGATCCAACACTGCCTGGTGGACAGCATTACATGCGGCTTCTCTGAGAAGGCGTAGCAACACAAATCCATTAGTTATTAATCAATTGCCGAATGCATTTTCAGCTCCACTACATGTTGAGAAGCAATCGGATCCGCTCCAGCTCATAGCCATAGGGAGTTGTATTAGTTTGAATATCCTGGAAGAACAAGCTTGCTCTAATATCACCCGGAAGATGAGCAATGATACTTTCGTGCCAAGTGGCCCAGAGGGAGTCACGGGTCATTCAAATGCCATCATCCCAAGAGCATCACAGCCTGAGATTCTCCATCTACTTGCGATACAAGACCAGCTCATTTCTCGGCGATGTGATTTGAAGTGTAAGCACGAGGCAGTGGTACAGCTGCTCCTAGATTGTGACTCTACTATCGACAGCAAATGTCAAGCCATCCTTTATCTGCCCTTATGGGGTTATACAACAGCAGAATGCACACCATTACACTTGGCTATAATTTCGAGTCATGAGGCAGCGGTACGAGCTTTGCCTGAGAAAGGGTGTAACTTTTTGCCGTATTGACGCCATTACACCTAGCCACTATGCTGGGTAGCCAAGGCATGGCGCAGTTATTGCTTACAAAGGGGGGATCCCTTGACCAAACAGGTGTCAACCTTCCGCGGAGTGCAGAATTGAAGCATAAGATTGGCTCCAATGAGGTTTCTGCGTTTGTTCTGCATGCAAACACCATTGTCGCCCACCATCGATCTACCAACTGAGATAGGTAACATCCAGGTCGATAGCGCCTTAACACCTGTAATGGGTGGCAAACACTTGGACGATAAAACGAACATTTACTTCAAATGCAATATTAAAGTTGACTGCAGCGATGCTTCCGGCTCCCGCAGACCTAACTCGGGGTCTGGGCTATGACAGGTTGTCGGGGGTTGTTGGCCACTCTCTTTTTCTAGCCATGTATTCTAGAAGTATAACATGGATAAAATCGTCAAGTTTTACTTTTCTTAAAGTTCGAAGATATTTATATAAACAACTTTACATACAAATCATATATAAACTAGTCGTAATTATAATTAAAGCAATGCATATCGCAACATGTCACCGATCAGAGGATGTTTTACGGCTTCTTCTAGCCGAAAATGTGGACCCTGATACACTAGCTTCCACAACAGTCAATTGCAACATCAGGGGAGACATTCATGCCGACATAGTCCTCAATGGATACCTAACACCCTTACACTTCGCAGTTTTGCTCGGGAAAACAGAATTCTTTAAAGAAGTACTTGACAAGCTTGGAGTTGACGGCCCTGCCTCATCTTCGACGCTAGTGGCAAGGGTATGGTTTTACATATAGCCGCGTTGCAAAGTTCAACTGCGATAGTGGAATGACTCCTGGAGTACGGAGCCGACGTTAATACGATGTGCCCGGGCACCATTGGTGTAAAGAATCATATAGATCCAGCCTTTACAGTCAACCTTGAAGTCGGCCCAGAACTAACAGCATTACATCTAGCCGCGCTGCTGGGTAACGATGCCCTAGTACAGCTGCTTCTCAAAAAGGGGGTCGACATCAAAGCGAAGAGTGGTAACTAAAAGACCCCATTAGATGTAGCACAGGCAATGAGAAATGAATCAATAGTTTACCTGTTGCAGCCAGAGACCACGGAACCTAACCACGGCGAAAGCGTTAGATATCTGCTTCTTGATAACGGCCTCAATGAAATACGAGGCGATCTTACGCAGCATAATGCTACCAAACAAAAGCTTCTTAATAAGCACCCGAACAAGCCTTCAGAAGCACAGACAGCGGAAATCCGTGATGAAGAAGAAGTTGCACGGCATCAGCAGTTCGAGCTCATCTTTGAGGAACCATCGGGAACAGTCCAGCACGAGAGACCATTATCCGCAAGGTCACCTGCAATCCCAACGCCACGATAACAAGAGCCCTATGCGGCAACGCTATGGTGATCAGGGCCTAGGCTTCCCAAGTGAAACGGTGACCGCCTATGCCGCTGTGAAACCTGACGAAGATACGGGTAACGACAGACCGGCTGGTGGCCAGCGACGTAGAAGCAGGAGTGGGGATCGCAATCGGCCTACAAGCCATCGCCGAAATGAACCACGAGAGCCTCGCGGGGGTTTTCGGTATTGGTGGGATAGAATCACGGGCAAATGAGACCCGACAGCATGAGAATTTCTATGTCTCGACGTCATAATGAGATGGGGGGTTGCACTGTCCGTTGGTATGTACTGTCGGGCGTAGTAATCGGTGATGGCAGCCACTGTTTCTATGTCAGCCTCGGTGGCGCCCTTTGTGGTGGACTGTATCGAGCCCGGGATATCAACGAGGGTAAGCTGAGGTCGCATTGGGCCCTCGACGCCGATTCTGACAGTGTCTTTTGGGAATGCCGGTCCAGGGGAATGATCTTGATAGTCAACTTCTCAGTCGGGTCGCAACGGAGATTGATCTCAGCCGCAATTGATTACACGATGGGGAGTTATGAGCGATACTGGTTTCTGCCAACCGGAGAGTCACCAGCAGTCTTCTAAACATACGCAGGCAATACGCGACAACATGCAAGCATCAAAGCTTGGCTCGTCTCCATTGGTTCGCCGCTGATATAAGGGGCTGCTCTTCAACCAAGTAGGCTTTTCTCTGTGTCACATAGTCAACGCAGTCACCTGGGCGACGGGCATACAAGTTCGTTAGGGGTCTTAGCAGAGCTCGGGGAAAATTGCCGTCGAGCACTTGACAATTAAGATGCCTATTAGCTGATCGCCTTGGTACGGTGCCCGATTCTGCCTTGCCTTTGAGCGTTCAGTGCCTTAGGCGACCCAAAACCATACCAGCAAGGATGATCAAAGGGCATCGTCCGTCGTATCTGTCACAATCGCTTCAACCGATAGGCTATAAGGTTGGCCAAATGTCATATACTTTCAATCCCTGAGCAGCAGTGTTACCATGTCCATGAAATTGCATTTCCAAACGCCGAAAGGCACAGTGACGGTGTTTGGGCTCCAGGAATCTGCTTCATTTATCGCATTAACACAGGATGATCTAGTCCGGAAATCTTGCTCGACGCACACGTAAAGAGGCCAATGGTATGAAGAACCGAGGAATCCATCCTGTCGTGAGCATAATAGTATTATCCAAGTCATAAGCTAGTCAAAAGTGATCTTCTTGCCCTCTGACTTCTGAACCGCACCAGTCTTGTACGACGCAACAGATGCCTCACCGTACTTTGGAGCAGACGAAGTCCTAGTAGACGCCGAATTATCTCTGTCGGCCCCTTCTTCTCGCCTTGCTGGTCTTCTCCCGTTCTGCTGAGGATTCCCGTTCCTACCGGGAGCACCTTTGCCATACCTTTTCTTATACCTGACCTGGTCATCTTCAGCGAGCTCGATCTTGAGCTCTCGTCCGTGTAGCCTGTTAACCCACCACTTGCGCATCTGAAATTTCCGGGCCTTATCCTTGCTCTCGTTATCAGCATCGTCATCATCCTTCGTCTCATCCGCATCTCTGAAGTCATCTTCCGTCTCAATCTCCTCTTTAATCTTGACAAAGCCTTTCACGGCCCAAGCCGCGGCCTCTGCTTCTTTGAATTTGACCCAGCCGTAGCCTTTGCATTTCCCGCTGTCCTCGAACGTGGCGACTTTCACCCATTCGATCTCTCCGCACTTCTCGAACTGCGCCCGCACGTCATCCTCTGTGACCTGAAACGACAAGTTTCCCACGTATATCTTCCGGCTAGCGTTGTTTTGCTGTCGAGCAGCAGTTGGCCCAGCGCCATTTACTTCTGTACCATTTGTTGCGCCGCCCTCGGGGGCAGGACCAGCTGCCTCCTTTTGGGGCCTGCCCTCGAAAGACGTAGCGTTCTTGATCAGCACTTTTCGCCCCTCAAGCTCGGTCTCTGTAAGCGCCATAGCAGCGACGGCCGCGCCTTCCGTATCGAAATCGACATACGCGAAGCCCTTGTTTTGGGGTTTGCTCTGTTGCGATACATCTCCATTTTGCTGCCTGGCCTGCTTATTGCGCTCCTTGTTGGTAGGTAGATTCACCCTTGTAATGCTCTCCTCCTTTATTATGCCTCCGGAGCAATCTACTAGCCACTTAAAGAGTTCGGGCCGCGTCAAAGTGAAAGGGAGGTTTCCTATCCAGATTCCGTAATCTGATCGCTTTTTATCCTTTGTGTCTTTAGTTTTGGGTACGTCAAGGCCATCGTCGGCTTCGTCGTCGCTGTTCGGTTTCACAGGTAGTGGTTTACCCTTCTTCAGTAGTCGTTTCGCTTTCTTCGAGGGTGGCTCTGGAAGAGCAAGATCTACCTCGATCTCCTCCATTTGAGTCTTGCGCTTTTTGGAGGAAGATGAGAGGTCTACCGGTGATGCCGGCTGCTCTGTTACTTCGTCGGCCATGATGAATGAAGTGAGTGTAATTCTTAGGACCGACTAGTAGAGCCCGTCAAGTCGGGTTTGCTGGTCTCGCCCTCGAAACCTGAACAAGACTGATCAAATGAACCTGAGTCTTCGATATTGGAAATTTTTCTGGGTCCGATAAGATAAAGATGAGTATATATGCATATATCGGAACACATTTTACCTACTACATTCATATATCTTAGTAATCCAACTGGTAGTTCTTTATTCATATAGCGGTATGAAGCCATGAATTATACAAAAGATTCTCAATTGAGTCTCAATCTTCTCTATGAATATCTTGTCCAAGGTATGCAACAGTCCTTAGGAGAATAGGTACTCAATAACTTATAATTGCAAGCTAGTTAGTTTTCGGAATGGGTTCTAAACGGATGCTAAGTCAATGCTAGCATTGAGAACCTCAAAGAATTTAACCTCTCCCCTATTTCGCCTGTATACGGGCCTGAAAGTCTAAACGGTTCACGGTCAGTAAATTTGGGCTGATAGTTCTTCTTGCTACTACTTTAGGCGGGATATCTCTTGATAGATGCAAAGTGAAATAGAGTCAATAGGCAGCACAATACTGGGCCAATTGATGAAAACTGAGAATAACCAGTTTTGGTAGACGAGTCCTAGATTGACATATAATTCTGATCTCGTACTTCTAATAATCACTATAATATCGACGACGATACAGCTCACTCATTCAGGCCTCCAGCTCTCATCATCACGACTAACAACAACCTCATCCACCGTGACCCTATTCTCAACAATCTGCCTCCCATTAACCAAATCATTCTCATCGGCCCTCTTCCCAGCCTCCTCCTCGTCCCTCGCAATACCCGCCTTAACATGCCTCCTCACAAGCCTCCGTCTCGCGACCTCAAAATCGACCTCCACAAACCAACACTCGTCCATAAGCCCCGCGGCTTCTCGCCAAGGCTCCTTATCCAGAACCACGTAATTCCCCTCGAACACGACGATGCGATGCCCCGGCTGGATCGCGATGTCGTTTTCCTTGGGATCCTTGACGGCATGGTCGAAGGATGGCGCGAAGATGGTCGTCGTGAGCGGTTCCCGGAGAGCTTTTACGAGAGATAGGAACGAAGGCCCGTCGAATGTGAATTCGGCACCGCGACGTGCGTGCGCTGTTGCTGGGTCTGGCATCGCAGAGAGCTGCGCGCGCGTTAAATGGTACCCGTCCATGGGCACAAATGCGGCGATGGGCTCTGCGCCTGGATGCTGGCTGGCGTGCCGGGTATTGAGGGCTTGTGTTACGATTTGTGAGAGAGTAGTTTTTCCTATTCGGTATTAGCTATCTATCAAGGTTCATAAACGTGAGAAATGAAAGGGAGTGGTTTGGATACCTGAGCCGGGGATGCCACCGATTGCTATCACTATTACAGTTGTTAGTGAGGGGTTTCGAGGATAATGGGTATGGCTAATTCTCTCCGAAGAATCGACTAATGATTCTAGATATCCATTGGCTAGAGCGATTCAATGATCCAAGACTTACTAAATCGGCGATCTGCTGGTGTTTGTTGAAACCTATCCCAGGCTTTGTCAACCAGACGGCCAACTTGGTCATTCATTTTGGTGCCAGCTCTGGATTGCGACGTTGGGGATTATTAAATAACGCCGGAAAGGATTTGTTCGTTGGTGAGCCCGGTTTATTAATGAATTAGTTGAATAATAATAATAAGCACAACTGAAAATGATTTTACGATTATATGAGTGGTTTGGTATGAAATGCGGTGCTGAAGAAGGTCGATGGGGCAGTTGATGAACAAAGATGCCCCTCCATAACCCCACTAGAGCATGACGATGTACCGAATTCATACCAAATTCCAAACTCTTTCAATTTGAGCTCTCCTCACTATCTCAATAACCACGATCCACACCCAAACACACGAGGATATGAGAGCTTGATATCTCATAACCGGCATTGCTGTTACATCCTCAATATCAATCATTTCAGATAGCGCCCCTCAGACGATACCACGAACACCTATATATTACCACTTATTGACGATCCAAGCAAGGGCCCGTTTCCGAGAATGAACGGAGCCCACGATCTCGACTCGGGACTCTTAGGCATCGCGCTCTCTGACTCAGATGCTGAGCCTGGCGACGAAGCGTCGTCGAAGAAGCCGTCACAAGAGGCGCGCACAGGCCAGTCAGAGGCCGATTTCCAGGAGGTGAAGCGGACATATCACGTCAAGGTCGAGAACGGAGAGGTAACGAGTCCCTAACTCCGGCTATTTCCAGCCAGCATTCCACATGTTTCTCAGGGCCATGTGATACTCGCCGCGACGCTTAAACTCGACTCATGCGCGAAGTTTGCCGCGTGTAACTTGACTGAGCTTTACGTGGCCCTGTATGCAGGAAACACAAAGGCATGGGATGGGCGCTTATTAACTTTCTTGATTTTGCAGATATGGACGACGGTGCAGCTACCACTTGGCCCGCAGGTCCCTAAGCCCGAGGCACAGGCCCTGCTGCATGCTGTGGAGGAGCTGTACTTCTTCCGGCGGTTTGCCGAGGGTGCACGGTTCGCCAGATCTGTGATAGACGATGATGCTGGGACGGGAAAGTTGGATGACGATACCCTCCAGACCCTTGTGTATTATGAGAAAAAATGCCGCGATAAAAAACATACAAGTTAATTGATCGTATCACTGCAAACGTGAGACTTGACACTCGATGAGTTGCATATATCACTGTCCAAATTCAACGATGAAATGCCTTGAGAAGAGCTAAGATTATCGTTTACCCAGTAGGTGTCTAACGTCCAACATCTATCTCTATCATCTATGTACGGCGGTGCCCAGCTGAAGGAGGGCGTAGAAAGGCCGATGGCAGAAAATCTAAACTTCTAATAAAACCAAATCAGGTGGATATCCCGGAACGCCATGCTTTTTAACTTTTGTCATCAACCTAATCGTATCACCCCTTTGACTCCCTTGAAAATGCCGCATCGTCTATGAAGTTCGTTGTATACACAGTTCGTGAATGGGGATAAGAGGTTGATGATTGAGCGGTGGGAGTGGAGTTGTAGATGCTGTGATTATACAAGCATCTTGGCTTGGCTAAGCAGCCGCTCCCTCTCGCGCTCTTCGGCAAAAACACGACGGCTCATTTCGAGGACGCACTCAAAGCCTTCCTTGCCCTTCATCGCGTTCTCTTTGAACCGAGTGACAAGGGAGTCTTCAATGCTATTCTTTATCCGCTGCCAGCCACCGCACAAGGCTGTTATTCTTGCAGATTGCTCGAACGAGGTCTGCGTGGAGCCCATGGGCCGATAGACGACTGTCTCTTGAACTCTGACGAGGTTCGCCCATGTGATATTTTGGGATACCATAGTGACGGTCTTCTCGGCAGGGTTGACATAAGACACCTCGAGGACCTGGCTGGAGTCGGTGCAGCCGATAACGGTCTTGAGCCAATCGGGCACGGACTGTTTGCAGGTGATAAGACGTTCGGTTCGAAGAATACCAGTTGCCTCGTCGACATTTCGCGATAATGTGTCGACGGCTATGACATGTGTGGATTTATCGTTCCATGGAGAGTACTTCTGCCAGTTGGCAGTGGATACTTCCTCCCAGGAGTAGTTGAATGTGCACTTGTTGGAGAAAACCTTCATTTTTGGGGGTTTTAGATGGTTGCAGCGAATCGAGTTTCGACTGTGGATGGGACAGATTCCTTCGGATCGCTTGTGAGATTATACTCTGGGTGTGTGGTGATTCTGCAATGTGGATTGCAGGTTTGTCTATCCAACGGCAAAATGTCGCTTGGTTGGATACCGTTCGGATATCCGGGTCACGCGACGATATGCGAAGGAAAAGTCGACGGCAAAGCGAGGGTTGTTGAAGCACGAATGCTATCGAAGGAGGCAGAGACACAAATTAACAGATTAATGAATGCCTCTCGTCGCTGGGCTGATAAAACAAAAGGTGATTAGAGGTTGATTTAAATTGCGGAGTGTCGGGATCACAAAAGAGAAAGTAGAAGAAGCGGGTGCGTGCTTTTTCTTAATTGACCAGCCAAAAAAATTTATGCACAGGCCGCATGGAGGCCAGAATTGGCTTGTGACCATTGACTAGGAATGGCCTTAGCGCATTGTTTCCCCAACTCTACCGCCTAAGAATCGCCACGAACCACTACGAATCGCCTAGGTATCTGCCCTAAGTATATCTGCCCTGTATCTGCCCTGTATCTGCCCCTCTCGCCCCTGTATCTATAGTACATAGTACCCCCTGTATCTGCCCCGTAAGAGACCCGGAAAAGGTTGACTCTGGGAGTGGCCACCCCGAACGGCCGAGCCATTCAGAAGCCTCTTATTCAAGCTATTATGGAGACTTACTCAGAATTTTGTCTGTCTCCACAAGCTTTGCTTCTGTTCCATATCGGGATTAGCGTAGTCTTATCAGATAATGGACCGGAAGCGGTCTGGACGCATTGGCGTCTAATTGGCCACTCCTGCTGAGTGAGTCCAGACGCCGAGCAGGTCCAAGCTTCCACCGACTCTGACCGACCCAACCAGGCCGTATCAGTGGCCGTATACACTTCAGAACACTTGGGTCATGATCCCCATTCTGTCCCCATAGGATGACAGTATCCGAGTGCGGAGAGCCCGCAATCTTGTGTCATGGTCACTAGGGCAGGTCTGCTTGGGCAGATCAGAGGCAGATCTTGGGCACTGAAGGACTCAGAGACGACACAGCACCCTGGAGAATCTACAGGGTCCAGATCTGCTCCACCTGAAAACAATCGAGCCTCTATTATTCGCCCGATCTCCTTCTTTTGCTGCTGATGGGACAATGAGAGAAGAATGCTGGATAATCACAACAGCTGTTGACGTCAATCCATTGCCATCAGAGGCATTCCGGCCCGCGGTGCAGTAGTACTGTAATTGGAAAGCAGTAATGAAGTAGTTACACAGGTAGGGTTCAACGATCTACGTAGTCTATTTAGGTTTATTCTCGGAAACTATGTAGGTGAAGGGATGGCGAGAGGTAAAATGCATCATGTCCCAAAGCTCGAATATAGCCACTACTCGTTCAACTCTTTTGCAAGCTGGTAGCCAGGGCATGAGTGGGAAGAAAGGATCAGAATAAATACCTACTTACCTACCTACATACTTATGTATGTACGAATCCGCAGCAGCGACGTCACTTTAGTCTTTATCACCGATAGTTCCCGCTACCTAGCTCACGGCATCTTAGCAATCGAGCAATGAAACGCTGGCTAGCCCCTCGGCTGCAAATTACTCTGTACGATTCAACTGTAGATAGCCCGGGGAAGCTCTCAGCCAATAAGAAAAGACAGTTTAATTTATCAACGTCGAATTGGGTAATTCGACAAATGGTATTATGGGGCCAGATATCGAGATGTCAGTCATGGCGTGTTGAATCTACTATTAGCCATACTTGATATTCAATTGTATATATGTCCCGGCGATCGACCTGTATAGCACTGAGTCAATGCCAAAAGGTCTGCGGTACGCCGAACTAGTGTACTCAGGCTTCCGTACGTATATTTACAGCGTCCGAGTAGCCCACAGTGGCTACGCCGGCTGTTCGCGACAACATGATGGATTATGATAGGCGCTGCGAGTCGAGCTCGTTACGATCGACGCGGGGTAGCGGGGAGGCAGTAAGGGGTTCACGCGCGGCCGACACCGTTGAGGGAACATTGTCTGAGCCAGGTCCTGCAGCGTTGGCGTAGATGACCGAATCAGAGGCTGGTAGGGTGGTCCGAAGTTGGATCTGTAATAACATCGGAAAGAGTTTTTAAGTGTCGAATGCACTGCCTGGTAGAAATAGATGCCGGCGAGCTCGGAGAAAACTCAGGCAACGGGAGGCGCGGGCGCCGAGCCCGTGAAGTCATCTTGAATCCAGATTTCGATTTACAGGGAAAGACTTGGTCACTGTACCATAGGGGCTGTGAAATGAAAAGACACCATTTGATGGTATTCGAACGATAATTATGTGTGTGTATATCATTGTGTCTATGCTGTTGGCACTGATATTTCCCGGTCAGTTAATAAGCACTACCACGTATCGCCCTACCTACCTAGTTATAAGCAGTCGTAAAGGTGAAACTAGAATTAGTCTTTTAATATGTTCCAGACGTATATTCTCTTCTGTTCCGGTCCAGACGTTGAATTGCAGTCGCGGCGTATTCGTACGTAGATGAATTCTTAAGCCGTAGGTCAGTAGTGTAGTGGCGTACAATGGTTAGCACTGTTCAGGCATTACTTAGGTAGCGGTTAGTGAGACCATGTGCTGACGACTTCTATAAATTCACATGTTCCGAGACAGAGCAGACACAAATCAAAATCATATTTTTGGTAAGTACTTATTAAATGACACGCTATTCGGCTGACGCAGTATATTCTATGGGGCTCATTATGTACGAGAATCTATGATTGATAGAAAGTTGAAATTATACATATGACGGAAGAACACGGTCGGAGCTAACTATACCCTTCATCAGCCCAAGATAGTCAAGGATAGGTTCGCCATCCGCATGAAGATCCTGCTGTATCCAGAACGATTGCACCTGTGCCCTGAACGCCTTCATGCTACGCACATATCCGTTCTTCTCAGTTCGGTCGATCAAGTTCATGATGGCTACTCGCTGTTCATCTGTACGCGCTTCGCCCGCGATGATCAGCAATGGGAAGAAATGGCGACAGTAACAGTTTCGCACAGGCCCGGCGAATGCACTTTCTACTATAGCGTCCAGGTCTGCAACGGGCTGCTGTGGATCTTGTGAAGCACGGGCGAGATACACGCGGGTGGATAGCCGGTACAGCTGCGCCGTGTATTCAATATCATTCATCGTCTCGTCTAGCTCAATGACTGAAGACGGAAGCGATGGCAGATTGTCTACCTTCCACTCCAGGGCTCTGAGACGGTCCTGGTACGCGATCTCATGGCTTCTAGGGTCATGGGGATCTAGCAGTACTTCGCATATCTCGGACAATACGTCTAGTATCGCATGAGGACGGTTATGGAAGAGTGAGCCCTATACTCAGAGATTAGCAAGTATGTATTATTAATAGAGGTTTCCCCCAACAGACTTACAGTTCTCTTCTCTACTGAAGGTGAGCGTTGACTAGTTGACAGCACGGGGCTAACCGTGGTCTCCGTAACCTCTGCTGTCAGATTCTTGTGTCGCCAATGATATAGCGTGAATTGAGACATTGAATCGTGGAAGTAAACCCAGTCCAGGAGGTCGCCATTATTGCATTGATTATCTAATTGAGCGCGCTTCACAATTTCCACCGCCCCCCGGATATACAGAAGCCACTCGCCAGAGTTTTCCGACGGTAGCAGAATCTATATACAAGGTCAGTACATTAAATTGTTAGTCTCACCCAGCTATGCCAAGACCTACTTCGAAAGCGCACAGAACCATACAGGCGGCAACATGCTGAGCAGCTTCAATTGGCCCCTGAGCGGCTTCTTTCGCAGAAGCGGAGAGCGCCGCCAGCGCAGCGACCTTAAAGGCCATCGCTTCGCGGTTCGCTCCACTGCGGTGAAGAGATGAAAAGCCAAGTACCGCATGAAAGAGGGCTTGTCTTGACAGCGTATCTTGCGTGAATATCATGTGCATGATTACATCGCGAATATGCGCCGTGATTGCACTAAACGTTACCAGCGAAAAGTGAGCAGCTTCTCGGACTGATGCGGTGTATCATATGAGTACTATATCTTCTAATCCAGAATATGCTGGCATATGCTCACAGTAGAATAGCAGTTCCTTGCGAGGCACCTCTAACTGAGGGCTTCTCCATAGTTTTGGGCCAGGAAGGATGGTGCACGGAGGCTTTGGAACGTCTGGAGAGGACAGATACTGATAGAATTCAATATCTTTAAAGGTCGTATTAATGAGTGGATTGCCGTCCCCATGTCGCACCTGTCTTCGCGTACTGGCAATCGGCAAATCCAGCCTAATCGCACGCTTCCTATCGTTGTCTCTTGGCCATGACAGGCGGAGTCCGTAACCTTCGCACTCTCGATGAGCTGTGGTACACCTCCGACATGTGGGCACGCTTTGGTCACATTGGACCTTTCGCGCTGAGGCTCGTTGGTAAGCGGATTGTTTAGTATATGCCCTCTAGGCAGCACAATTTACCAACCTTTACACGTCCAACATCCGTGCCTCGATTTCGTCCTGAGTTTCAATGTCGCCGTCGGCATCAAGCTTACACCGTATTACCAAGAACCAGTATATATGAATGTAAATGATTAGAACTTGAAAGAACCTAAGCCCGGAGTTTCGAGTCGATTGAGTGTTAATTCCGAGTTTCTAATGGTGAAGAGGGGTTTGTTTGACAATTAACATCGGACAAAGTTACTTGGACTGGAGCCGCCTTTTTATTAACTTCGACTTATTGGCGACTTCATGAGTTGCCATCGTTCGACTATAAGGAAGTAGCTGACATTGTAGTCCTTGATTGGCGCGTTCCACTTGAAGCAACTTTTTCCGGGTGAGCATTTGTAAGCGCATTCTAGCCGTTTAGGAGCAGAACGCTAGTACACCTAGATTCGCAATAGGAAACACCTAAATCGTGAACCTCCATCGGGCGGGGCGCATTCCAATGCTCGTTAGATGCTGACCATTACGGTGGGCCACTACCACAAAGTGCGAAAATAAAAAATCAGGTCAAGTGCGGGGTAAAACCTATTTTCCAACTTTACCTAAGGAATCTAAATATAATAAAGGATATAAAGTAAAGTTTTAAAAATATAAATAATTACTTAAATACCTATTTTAAAGGTTATATAAATAATATATAGTTTATATTAAGCTTTATAACTATTTAAGTTATAGCTTTTAGCTATATAGGTTTATA